GATGTAATTTTATGGGCCGAAGACTAAAGCCCCAAGCCCCAAAAGAGGCAATAGTATAGTGAAATCAGGGCAAACGCAGATAACCGGGGGAATCAGGAAATGAGCCGATGCTCGGGCAGGCGTGACTGTTTCAAGAATTCCAGTGTTTTACCGTTACCCGCTTGCCGTCCGGGTTCCGGAGCTCGGCGTCAGAGCTTACGACCCCACATGCATTGTGTGATGATGCTTGCCTGATCAGTAGCCGTCCGGACGCTATGACGTAATGCAAGTGTTTCAGCCCCCCAACATGAGTGGGTGGACTGGGGGACCTCGGAGCTTGTTGGAATGTATTGTGGCTGGTCACTGCCATAGTAAACTGGAGTGTTGTGGGGTTTGGGCACCTTCATATTCACCGGGGGCAGCCATAGGTCGAGAAAGAGGCATTCAGTCCTGTCTGAGCGGCCGTAGGGTAGCGAAGACTTGGTGTGACGCATGATGAATGATGAACCAACTTGGCGCCTACCCAAGCTGCAAACCATTTGGCGCTTGGAGCGTTTACCAGCATCAAGTGCAACCGGCCATGTGTTTATTAGAAGGGAGATATAATGGATCATGGAAGGGACGGTAAAAGTAAAGCTGCAGGCAACAAATACAGCCCCCAGACATGTATATTGTTTTAATGATGTGCTGTCTACGTAACTATCTGATTCGTTGCAACTCGGCAACGCCGCCTATGATCCGCCATTGAATGCTCAAGAGCAGACGGCCTGTCCCTTTCTCTAATCGCCAAAAAGCATTCCATGATACGGACTGTGCATGCTAGCCCCTGAGCCAGTGCTGACCGCTCCATCGAAGGCCCTGCTAGGGTGCATAAACAGCAGACCAGATGAGTGGCCGTGGCCGTGCTGGTCATGCGCGAGATTGAGTGAAAGTCCCTGGCTGTGACCGTATTGCGTCATGGAGGATGTCGCCGATGACGAGGGCGCAGGCAAGAGCGCCGCGCTGCGCGTAGTGGGCGAACCGGAAGCCGACGTCCACGAACCCAGTCCGTGGCCCATGTCGACACCGAGATGGAAGGTCGAATCGAGAAAGAGGTCAAAATTCGATACTGGTGCAGGCGGTGAAGGCTGGCGGTGCATGGACTGGGCGTGACCGTGAGGGTGACGGCGTTGCTTATTGTCAGCAGCGACGGCAACGGCGACGGCGGCGGCGTCAGCAACACCATTCAGCGAGGTGTGGTTTGGAGAAGATGTAGCAGCGACCGTCAAGCCAGATGCCTCGGATGGTATATAGCCGAACTGCAATGAAGGGTCGAGAGACAACAAGCCTCTTCTCCGCTCGCTGCTCAGGCCTTTGGCCGCGAGCTTGCCGCTGGCGCCGTCTCCGGCCCCTGTCCGTGCAATCACACCCGATTGCGTTTGCGAGAGGACTACAAGCTCTGGCCGATAGTAGCGATTATGCACAAGGGGATCTTGTGACGCAGGCGCTGGCGCCGGAGGTGGAGGTGGCGTTTCAAGCGTATAGTCACCTTGGAAGTGCGACTGCGAGTAAGAGCTGTCCGTTGCATATGCAAAGTCAGGGGAGAAGAAAGGAACTGGTGGCCGGAGTGCATCGCTGCGTCCATGCAGTTCACCGAGACCCGAGAGCGGAACCGGTGGGAAGAAGGGACTGGGTCGACGATGACTGGTGGAAGGAGAGTCCCGCGTTTTATTGTTGCTTTTACTGCTCGAGCTGCCGTCGTCATCGTCATCGTCCTCTTTACCGCTTTCGTCGCCCGCACCGCCCGCACCACCCACACCACCTGCACCACCCACACTGCCGACTTGACTGATGGGCCTTTTCTTTGACTTTGCTTCCTCTTTTGACCCTTGCCTCGATGCAGACTGCTTGGCCATGGACCCTGTGGCGGCACCGGCGACAGAATTAGCTCTTGATTCCGGCGCAGTGGAAGATGTTTGCGCAGACGAAAACGACAGCAAGGCGCTAGGGATTGGCTGACCCGCGCGAATGGCCGCCGCGGCCTGCACGACCTGCTCGATCCAGTCGCCGACGCGCTCTGGATGCTTGACGGCAACATGCTCGATGATTGCCTCATATTCTGCGCGGCACGTCTCCGCATCGAGCTTTGGCTCGCTGGCACTCGTGCTCGTGCTCCTGGTTGTTTTGCGGATGGCCATAGGCGAGGGACTTTGCACGGTGCCGCTTCCGGCCGAAGAGTTTTTGCGTGGCTTTTTTCGCGCTGTCTTGCCGCTCTGAATCTCATCAAGCAAGCCTTGCAAGCTTATACCGACGGTTGTTCGCATTGTCCCAACACTCGCTTGGTCATCCATGTTGCGCCTCTTTTCCTCCTCCAAGCATTGGACAACGCGCGACATGACCTCGTGAGACTCGCCCGCGTACTTGCGAAAGAACTCTGGAAGGACATATTAGCGTTAGCCTCCTGCGCAATTCTGGCAAAAAAGTTAAGTTACCGGCCATTCAACGCACCAGTCCACCCACTTCGACGGCGCGTATTGATGAAGAACAAACTTAAAGAGGATGCAGATAACGGTTTCTGACCCTCCGGCGTCACGCTCCTCGCCTGCGCAAGCATCTTCTCCTTCTCGGCTTTGTTCGGAAATGGGCGGTTCATATGCTCGATGAAGAAACGCCGCATGATGTTGTTCGCGCTCTGCTCGCTGCTTATCGACCACTTGGCCGGCGATGTCGGCGAAGAGGCCGATGCTGACGAGGCGCTGCTCGAGCAAACACCTGCACACGCCTGAATCGATGGGGAAAATGATTTCGACAACTTGGCCGGCGCCTCTTTGCCTCTTATGAGCACGGCCATCACCTTGGCCTGTCGCTTCTCTGAGATGCACTTTAGCCGCTCTAGCACGTGTAGCCAGACTTCGACGACACGGTGGGCAGCTGCATGCGAAGGTTGGAAAGTTGGCACGGCCTCTCCATTTTGATGCTCGGCATGGTTCACGGACTGGGCGGTCTTTAGCAGCAACTCCAGGGTGGTGATGAAGGGGTTGTATACCGAATTCGATTCCTTGCTTTCTTTGTTGACTGCTTCTTCCAATTCTTTGAGTATATGCCGGACCTCATTGGTATTCATTCTTGCTTGAGGATAATGTAGGTAGGTCAATGCTTCATTGGTGAGACGGGGTATGCTAGATGATGCAAAAAATGCTGTCAGATTTGGGATTACTTGCGATAGTTACCAATCCATCAACATGAGCAAGGTACCTTGACCATGGGTCAAGGCGGCCATTCGCCCTTTTGAAGTCACAGAAATTGCATGAGGACCACCCATGTGGGTGTGGGGATGGGCTGGCACACTTGGCGAGGCTGATGGTATGGAGGAGGGAAGAAGTGGAGGATCACAAAGGGGTTCATTGCGTTACGGGTTGCAGGCACAGGTTGTCTTTGTGTCACTCCCCTCTCACGCCCCGGTTCTCAGGCGCTGCCGACACATGCAGTCAAGATAGAATCATGGGCTGACGGGCACTTCGTCCGGAGAAACAGACCAAGTTACTATGCAAGCGATGAGCACAGTTACTCCATCAAGCACGCATCGCCGAGTCGCCGTGGGCCTGACCGCCTTTTTAGGGAATGCTTTGCTCAACATTGAGATCTGAGGGCTGAGGGGGGAGACACAGCGAGGCAGCAATTGAAGTGCCTTTCTTAGATTATTCACGGCGTCGTTTGCAAATGCAGGGAGAAGAGCGCTAAATGTCAGCATTGCAACATCAGCGAGGGCCAATGGATGAAGAGCTTTTACCTTGAGCAGAGCATATATGTTTTGGACGATGAATGAGAGTGTGACCAGAGATCACTGCTTGAATCATGATAAAGTGGATCGTTTGAGTCCTGATGAGGGTGGCGTTCACCAGTCAAGCAGCTGACACGCTAGCTTTGAATTATTGAATGCAATTGGGCATCTCCGATGTGATCTCACCAAGGGTACTTTGTCTTATTGCTCCAACCGACGGCAGCTAAGAGAGGTGCCTGCAGGCTCCTGTTGCCTCTGAGGGCTTGACTGCACCCGGACAACTTGTTGCGCAAGAAAAGTTCCCTCTCACCAGTGACGAGTAAGGGCACTGGAATTTGGTACTTGGTTGAACGAAGGCTGTCATTAGGTGCATTGAATCGGTTCGGGTGCCACATGATCTATGTTCACGGTTACAACTTTCTGGGTCGCCGTGTTGCACTTTGCATGAGAACCAGGACCCAGATTTCCTGCCCTGAAGCCTGTCTCGCCTCAGTCTGCTGAGACGAAAGGATCTATTCAGTGCCTCGATGTGTCGCAAAGTTTGCTCCTATGGACGAGGACACAAGCGGTTGATCTCTTCCCAGATGTAACGCGTCGCGTCAAAAACTACACAGTCCAAAGTGTGCCGATTGGAATGCGACCAACGATTGCATGGAGAAACGGACTACGGCCAATGGTGTCGCCCCCGGTCCTCAATGCGCTTTGGGAGTCTGGATCGACGTAGCCTCCTCATTGGTGATAAGTCCATCCATCGATCATATTCAGGTGAGCATCCGTCACTGCTCTTGCTGACGTCTTGACTGTCATTGCACGATTTTACCTGGATGAATGCCCACTGACCGGCGCAACACCGCCGTCATGACCCCGCACACATCGCGTCCACCGAAGTTCCCTTTGTGCTGTCGAGGCCCAAGCGCATCGTACAACGTCCACCAATATGGTGCATAGCAGCATGCTCGGTTTACTGCAGCTACTCGCTGATTGGCTGGCTGAAGTGTGTTCAACGGATTGAAGCTCGATATTTGGCCTTGCTTTGCGTCGGTCTTCATAGCCACCTGGCCAGACGTGCCGAACGTTGCACTTCAGCAAGATGCTTGCGCGGCTGGTGGCTCCATGGGTACCCTACCGCCTGGAACCCACCCGCCAATGATTCCTTCCTGCGCTTGAAAACAGGTTGATGACCTCCCCCTACCCTGCGCAGGCTCGAATGGAAGTCTCAGCCAAGCGGGGCCCGGAGCCTGCTCGCCACAGGACGGGTCGCGCCGAAGTTGTACATCCGATCTGCAAAAGATTGTTACAAGATTCAGAACAGCTGATCCGCTGCTTCTCTCGACTCTTGGGCAGGCGAATCGATGCTATCGGTGCGAATGTCTTGGTCATCATTTCGCTTTGATGCCTTCGCTCGTCATGTCTTGGACTCAGCCGCGCAGCTCGGCTTTTTGAACATCGACTGTACTGATCATTGGTCCATCGTGTCGAGGCATTTATTTGGTGGCTGTGGGCCGGCTGCAGACGTAAGCTGTAGCGCATAGTTCAGAGTGGTCTTATGCGACGAGCCGACTTGGTATTCTGACCTAGTCCCATCTAGCACTCATTTTCCTCGTCAGTTCGACGAGTGAAGCAGTCAGCAAGGGACTGCTGACCGCGATGCTATGATGTCCTCACCTTTCTCCAAGTGAGTTCCCTCGAGACCCTCTACAATCAGCACAAAGGGGTCTACCTATTTGCTGCACGACCATGATTTCCAGGATGGTAATAGCAACATTACGAGCAAGTCATCAATCCGCTCACGCTCCCAAGGCACCCCGCGAAGGCTGTGACGCTGCCGATTCGATCTCGGATCGGGTCTACACGCGTCATCATACTGACGGCCCTCTTCGCGTCTTTGAGTTTGACCAAAGGGAAAACTGACCTTTGTTGTGCTCAAAGAGATAGTTTCGACGGGTCGTACGTCCTATAGAAGCCGCGACCCGCGTTTTGTGTCGCACAAGCACATCTATCACGACCTCATCAACACCAGCCATCCTCGCACGCTGACACTGATGGTCCAGTGACAGTTTAAGGATTTGAGCATGAAGTCGCCTTTGATGAAACTCAAAGACGTCCTAACCGACCTCGATAGGATGGTCTCCACCATTCCTATACCTATTTATAGCCTGTGTCTGATGACCAAGACATGGGCAATCAACATGCAACGGTCTTAATCTTCTACTCAGGATGTTAAATGAATCAACGGCAATCATTCGTCTCCTAAAGGAGCTTCGCGAGGCGTTGGCGCAATCTGCTGAGCATGACAACCTCCAGCCTCTTGATAATCAAGAGCACATGGGTCACCTTCCGTCCCGTCGTACTAGCACGGCCAACATCTGGGCATCTCAGCTTTCTTTGGCAAAGAAGGACTTGCAGAGCCGTCTCCTGCAAACGCGCTTGCAGCCACACGAGATCTCTGAATTGTTGAGGGTCTTCAGTGCACATGCGGCGGACGCCATCACCTCGCTCACAATTGCAGACCAGGCTATGTATCGAGTCCTCTACCCGTCACCCGCTGCATCGGCACGTTCGCCGCACGAGACGTCTCTTCGCTTTCTCTATCAGCAGTGGCTCGATCAAGAAGTATCGACCATCATGGCGACAGTCCGTCAAAACATGTGTACAAAGCCATTCAGCCACATCAGCTCATCGCGCCGGCTGCATGAGGAATCTGCCATTCAGATTTTGGAGTACGCCTTCTCGCACTGCTCGGAGTCGGTCACTGCAGCGGAGAGGCAGTGGCTTGCAGAGATCATTGGGTGCCTGAACGAAAGACAAGTGATGATTTGGGTAAGCGCCGACTGTATTGCTGTGCATAGGACCGTGGTGCTCATGTGCTGTTGCTTCATGCCCTACACGCAGTTCCAAAATCGCCGCCACCGTGGAGGTTCGCGGCGTTCTTCCATTCACTCAACTCTTCGTTCATTTAGCCCGTCCACAGAGGACGGTGACACCAGCAGCGAGCCTCAATCCTCAGCTATGTCTCCAAAGCTTTCAGCACCAAATCAAGCCATTGAATCTACGACAGATTCCCCAATGACACGTCCGTCGGTTGCGCAAGAAGGGTTCGCTGATCAAGAGTGGCTCACTGTACCAATCTCAGTCCATGGGGATACACCAGGAGCTCCACTCGAGTTTGCATTTTTTATGGACGCTCTGGGTTTGCCCTCGTCTACCGATGTACAAATGCACGCCAATTGAGAAGCTTAGCAACTCGCTACTAAACAAGATGCTGATCAGTTACTGCTGCAAAATGGCATCGGACAGAGTGGATACGCCGAGCATTCTTGTAGCAGTGTCAAAGTATACGCTTCGTTCGTCGCTCCATTGTTTTCCTCTGCAGAACCAATCAGTCAGTATGGTTACCAGAAGCCTTGCTTTGCACCCGGTACTCACGGGTTGCGGAAGCTGCTGTTGATTAGCTTCGTCATCTGCTCCCTCAAAAGGAGGAGCGCAACATTTGTGCGCAGATCTGAGATGCAAACTCTGACGCGGCGATCGATGTAAAGACTGTTAGCACTGAGTTTCGCATCTGCCTCGCCGCAGAGCAGGAGGATTGCTCGGTCATCGAGGGCTGCTGTGTCCCAAGCGTATAACTTTTTGGATTGCATAATTGTGAAGTAAAGTAAGTGATGAACCGACTTGGGCAATTCACTGAGCTTGGACTTGAAATTGACCGAGCTCGGATGAATCGACACAGGCTGGTTGTTGATCAGCGTGCGCAGAGAGTAGTTGCTGGGGTCGATAGAGATCAGTTTCGGATACAGCCCTGCTGCCGCCACTGCATTCACGATGGAGACTCTGGAGCTGTAGATGTCGTACTCGGGCGGAGTCATTGCGAACCGTGGTCTACCCCAGGACCGGTATCTGGCCCGGGCAATGTCCCTCCGCATCTCTGCATCGATTTGCAAGAACCCTGCATCAATTAAGTATGCGAGGTACTGCTGCCTAAGCTCTTCAATTTGCTGCAAGTTCTGCTGTGACAGGTAGTTTTTCTGACAGAATTGGCGACCGAAATTGTTTGAGACGGCCCTTCGCCAAGAGTTGAAAGCGTTGGCGATCGTCATGAAGTCGCTGTCGGCGATCTTGAAGCCCGCCTTTGCAGCGTCTGCTTGAGCCTCTTTGCCAAACGGTGAGACGAATGGCGATTTTGAATTGAGGGCTGCGGCAATGGTAAGTGCCGGATCCAGGCACTTGAATGTTGCCGCAATCAACAGGAACTTAGCCTGGAGATGGGACGTTCTTGTCAGTGCTACTTCGCACCCCAGGCGTCTTACTTCATTACTCACCATGTGCACATCTAGCGGCAAGCGGCTCAAATGTCGCCCAAGTGGCGTGATGCCCTCCAAGGTCGTTAGAGCCTTGACCTCCACCAAAGACGCCACGGCGCGCTGTACATTGGTAGGCGAAGGTGGATCGAGAGCCTGAGAGAGAGCGTTCTCGATGCTCGTTCCGATCTTGACTTTCATCACTTTGAGTTTCAGGGCGAGGTCTTGCAGAGATAAGCGTAGCATCTCGGGGAGCGGATGCTCATCCAGCTGATTGATTCCAGGAAATTAGACGTTGTAATGCACATCACAGCGACACTTTTACTCACATATTCATCATGCCGGAGTTTCGTGAACAGATGAAAGCACAGCCCCTCCCTGACGCGTCCAGCTCGACCTCTTCTCTGCTTTGCGTTGCTCTTTGCGACAAAGCAGTCGACAAGGCGGCTGATCTGGCGCTTTTCATCGTACCTCATTTCGCGCTGCCGACCGGTGTCTATGACACAGGTAATGTCCGGTATCGTGATGCCCGTCTCGGCAATGTTGGTTGCGATGACGATCTTCCGTACACCTTCCGGCGGGACCTCAAAGACTGCACTTTGGTTCTCGCTGCTGATTGTAGAGTGCAAAGGGTAAATTCTGAACGCTTCGTTGCCGAAGAGGTGGTGCGCTGATAGCAAATCGAAGCAGGTCCGGATTTCAGCCAGGCCAGGCATGAAGATGAGGACGGCAGCGCTGTACGGCAGCAATTCTTGTTTGTTAAAACAAAGCTGCTCGAGAAGGCTCAAGATCAGTTCTTGATTGACTGTGTTCTCGTCCATGCGATCTATGGTCTCGATGGTTCTCGGTGAGTAGACCTTGTCGCTCTTCGAGAGATTTGTTGCAGACGGTCCATTGTCCTCGTCTGATCCATCCAAGTCATCGACCTCGACGTTCGATCGCAGCTTTGCAACATTGTCGCGCACCTCAGTCTGTCCCCACCTGCGCTTCTGCCGGCGCTGATAAGGCGAACCGTCCTCAAGGATGTATTTGCACATTTCGACCGCATCTTCGAGATATCGCACGTTGACGGGGAAGGTCCGACCCGGCACCGAGACAGTTGGACAGCCGTCAAAGTATGCGCTGATACGCTCCGCGTCGACTGTGGCGGACATTAAGATGATTTTGAGATCACGCCTGTATTGCATGAGCGTCTTGAGGATGATGAGCAAAAAGTCGGATTCGATCGAGCGCTCATGTACTTCATCGATGATGATATGCGTAATCTCGTTGAACGCTTCGCCTTCGAGCATGCGCAAGACAATACCTGTGGTGGCGTAAATGAGTTTCGCGTTGCGGCCAACGTTGCTCTCGAGGCGGATCGAATAGCCAACAAGGCTATCGTCACTGCCAACCGCGTTCTTCGCCTCTCCGAATTCGGCCGAAACGCGCTCAGCAAGCGAGATGGCAGAGATGCGTCGGGGCTCGGTACAGTAAACTTTGCACGGTAAGCCCCTTCCTAGACAATGCTCCAGGATGTATGCTGGGACCTGAGTCGATTTGCCGCATCCAGTCTCGCCAGAAAGAACAAACACCTGGCTGTTCTCCAAGACTTCAAGAATGTGGTCACGGAAGCTGTAGATGGGCAGCTGCTTGCGCCCCACAAGCATTGTCTGGTAAGATGGAGATGCGACACGTTTCTCGAAACTCTCTTGTAGCCTCTGTGCGCCTTTAACATCAAGATGCCTTAGGCCACTGTTGGCCAAGTCTCGGAAGTCGCGCTGCTTGTTCTCTGTATCCAGTGCGACGACGTTGCTTTCCTTGCTCGCTGGGCTGTTGGCCAGCCGAGGAAGGATGGCATCTCGTACTTTGCCGATCATGTCCCGTGAGGAGGAGTCCTTGCCCCTGCCTCGTGCATTCTCGAGCTCGTCCCACCAATCTCTGTAGCCAGTGCTGAGCAGCCGCTGGACTGGCCTGTCCCGTTCGATGCAGTTGAGAGCAACAGTAGCAATCAAGTCATGAGCTTGTTGTTGGGTCTCGCACCCTTCGCCGGTGAGCGCAAAGGTGTCGACGCAGATCTTGGTGTCAGACAGAGACATGAACTTGCGCTGTGCTGCTGGGACGGTTTGCAGCATCGATAAAGTATCTGGACCACACCAACGCATTGTCAACTGGCTTCTACACAGCCAGCCTCCACCACCAACAGCAGCATATTTGACGGAGGCGTTCAGATCCAGGCGTCGAAGCGTCTCAAGCAACACTCCCTGCGGCGATTTGCCACCCCCGCCCGATTTGGCTTGTGGGGGAAGCGTACGCAGGCGGACAATTGCGTTAGTCTTGGCGTCGCGAGTCTCTTGCGTCCTTTCCTCCAGAAGTTGTCCAAACATGCCACCTTCCTCCTCTGCGGTCTCTTCCTTTGGAACCGCATTTCCGGCTTGGGCATCTCCGCTCGGTCCTTGCAGGTTGTCATCCGGCTTAGACGCACTCCTTGCCTTCTTGCTATCCTTTTTGGCTTTCTTTAAAGAGTTCTCGTTCCCTCCTGCGGCCTCTCCGTCCTTCTCGGGTTCATCTTCGATGGCATGTCCCTGAATTAAGTCGCGGGCGTCCATCAACGCCTTGTTGTGCCCGGTCACCACATACCCTTCTCCGCCGCGGCGGCGCTCTTCTTCCTTTTCGATCACTTCCTTGGCGCGAGCCTGCTCCTCGACATCGCCCAAGATGTCCACCCAGACATCTGGGCCATCTTTCCGCATCTTCTCCAGCTCCGCTTCTTTCCTGAGCGTCTCTCGCAGGACGCTTTCAGCCGTATCCTTGCGCCAGCGTGGGACTTTCTCTGCCTCCGCAAGACGCTGGAACAGCTTGCTCTGTGTGTCACGTAGTGCATTGGCCGCTCCATATCCTTGTCCTAGCGGGCTCATCAGGTGTGCTTGTCCGAGCGCCCGCTTCATCCACCCGTACATTTTCTCGACATGAATGAGTGCCACCCGTGTTGAGACCCACGCTGCGATCGGACCCGCATGATAAATATCGAGGTCGTCTTCTACGTCGGCCAAGCGCTGATTGATGTCGCTGCTAATCTTTTCGGCGTGCTTGAGCAGCTCGCGGACCTTGTAGAGTGGTAAAATAATAGTGTCATCTGGCGGTGGCTTGATGATACGCTGCTTTCCCATTGGAGAAGCGTCTGCCCCTCCTTCCACATGTTTTCCATTCCCCTTTCCATTGGTATCGGATGCAGTTTTGTTGCTGCTTAGGCTGGGACCATCGACAGCGGCAGTGGCAGCGACGACCACTTTGTTGGAGGCAGACGACAACATCTCGGTGCGTCTCTCAAATGTGTACGATTCATGTTTGGGAGGCCTGCTCTCGTCGTGGACATCCGTCTCTTCGATGGTATCATCGGTGCCGTCCGAATCCGCATTGACGCCATTGCCCATTTCCTCGCGCTTCGGCGTGTTTATCCCAATTGCATTCGCGCTTGGATTTCTGCTCGTATGCTTTTTAGCCCCCTCCAATGTCCGGCCCCAGGCCTTTTCGACTTCATTTTCTCCCAACCTCAAGACGAGATACGTGATGCACTCTTCCAGCTCCAAACTCGGGGATTTTGCAATAGCCATGATGGCTTGCTCGGGTGAGAAGCCGAGCTTGATTAGGAGCGCGCGCGTAACCATCGCTCGTGGGAGGACTTTGTCGAATGGCTCGTGCGCTTCTCGTAGTGGAGGCGCGGGTAAATCTTCCCAGTCAGGTAGCAATGGTGGGTCCGCATGCGTAGGCTTGAATTCAGCAGCACTTGCCGACAATTTTGCAGGAGTCTTTGGGGTAAAAGAGGCGGCTTGAGGGTTGAGCGAAGGGAAGAGCTCATCAGGTTCGTCTTCTATGATGAGCCCGTTCGGCTTTTGCTCCTTGCGGTAATTTCCAGAAAGCTTCACCCGTGTGTAATGTGAAGCTAATTCGAGGATTTCATCTTTGATGCTTTTGTCCAGCTCGAAGGTTGGTAACGTACTTGCCACTCGCCGATCGAATTCGATGATCTAAAGATCAAAGGAGAGCCGTTAGCTGAAAGTTTCGTCAAGCCAAGGCGTCAGGCAGTTAGGAACATACCTTCCAGTATCGTGATACATCCTTCTCAATTTTGTCCATGTGCTTCTCGACGAGATTCTGCAAGTCCTGCTGGTCCGCATCCTCCTCGTCGAACCCGTACCTCCCTTTCGCAGCGGATGCGGCAGCCGGCCCGCCGGCCCCGGGAGTACTGCTTCCATTATACTTGGCGCCGCTGTGTACGGGGTTCGATGGTGTCTTTTCCTGTGTTTCACCGGTTTCATCTGGGAGAGTTTCTTCTGCCTTCTTGGGCACCGACGTTGTTGCAAAGCCGCGATTGAAAGATGAGGATTTGAGTGTTGGCTTCTTTTTCTTGGTCGGCATCTTCACTACGCGACTAGGCACGACTCAGCTACGCCACTACCTGCACTTCTATGAGCCTCTACCTAGCGAGGCCTTACGAATCAACCACAATGAGCCTTTGCGTCGATATTACGCGATGAAAGAGGTACGAAGCATGCACGTTGAACCATCTGATTGAGTCATTGGTGGAGTGAAATGCTCTGTTGGTGCTGCAATATGGTTCCAAAATTTGCTTACGTAACATGCCCGGTTGGTATACAGAACATAGGCTCAACAAACACGAGCGATAGTGTTGCAAGCGTGGGCGGTGAGAGCAGAGGAATTAGGGTTAGGCAGTGTAGGGAAGAGAGGGATGCTGGCTACACTCACAGAAGTCTCAGCACCATACACCGACTGCATATACCGTACAGGCTACCATCAGCAATAGCACCCCACGCCCGCACCCTGCAGCCATGTCACGTGACTATTTCAATCCACAACAGCATAAGCTCGTGTTCTGAGGGGGATCGATGGCAATGTAAGCAGGAAAAGCTACTGCACGAGGCTAATAGCGTTGCAAAGCAAAGCAAAACAAAGCGTCCACGTTCTCCAAGGTTTCTTCATCGATGCATAGAACAGGCAGGACAATCCAAGCCCCCCAAGCATGTGATTGAGCAGATAGCAGTACCTTGAATGCTTCTCAGTTACGCACAGGGTTATCAGATTTGTTTGTGTGGTGCATTTTCAGATAGAAATGACTAGCTACTCGTCTCCCACTCCCGCTTCAGCTTTCGCTTTTCGCCTCCTTGCCGCCGTTTCAACGCTTGCGCTAGAGGATGTGCTTCCTGTCGCTGTCCCTGCTGCTGCCGCCGCGGAACCGCCCCTCTCCTTGCCTTCAGCCCCAGCATTGGACGGCGCGTCTGCTTTAAATTGAAGCGGTATTCCCTGCGCCGCTTCACTTGCTGCTGTTGCAGGAGCTGTCTGCGCTGGCGAGAAGATGTCCTTGAAGCGCGCTTCTAGTAGCGCTAAGACGCGCTTGCATGCTGCCGACCTGTAGAGTGCCAAGATGAAAGAGAATGGGATCGAACAGCGTCCTATCAGAAAATTGGCGTGAATTAAAACATTGCAAGAAAACTCACCAAAAGGTAGCGCTAACCGCGCCCTTTGGAGCGCTAGGCAGACTAAGCACCCACCCTAGCGGGCCGAGCCAGTCACTGGGTGGGAGGTAGAAGACAGCTGTCTTGCGGTGGTACGTCGTGATCACAAATGGAACTCCGGTCGTGAAGATGAACATAGCTGCCTTGAATAGGAATGAAAAGGACGACCGTGTAGAGGCAAGTGATGAGTCTACACAAAGCATACGCGAGGGCGAGAGCAATGCAAATCAGCACCAGGCTCAGGCAGGGAGAAGCTGGAGCAAGAAGAGCAGCTTCACGCACTGATCACTTCTAGCTCGTTCAGGCTCTTGTCCACCTTCCTGCGCAGCTTAGCCCACTTGGCGAATTCATCCTGACTGCTAGTCTTATTGAGCTCTTGCTTGGTTGCATAGATTTCGTTGCGCAGTGCTGCTCGCTTAGTAACAGTCGATCGGTGGAAGATGTTGACGTAGCCAGCGTGGAACTACATAGTAGGCGTGCGCATGATAAGATGGAGACCACAATGGAAGAACGACAGTTGTGACAGAATAGCAAACGAAAGCCAGATAAGGAAAACAGAGAGTCAGCCCAGCCTTTGTATGAGCATAATGTAGAAAATGGGCTGTTAATGATCCTCTCTTTGGAAGCCTCATAGTACGCACAAAGTCAAGAAGGCGCTCCTTCCCAAGCCAGCTGATGATCTGCGTGATCAAGCACGCCAGCAGGATTAGCAGCGCTGGGTGCATGTTTCCGATCCTTGGGCCCGGATTGACCACGGCCTGCGTCTGCTACAGTTTCTAGCGGGTCCGAAACCGCTCCGTGAGCCTCTCACAGAGGACGCTGACTGTATGCGTTCGACTCTCGTCAGGATCAAGAACCGGGACCCGTCTTTGTATCGTGCCAGAATGCAAGTCGCAGACTCGGATACTTTCAGAAGATCGCAGCAGTCAACGCAATGAGAGCTTGGTCTTCTGATGACGGGGACGGAGGATCCGAATACTGGCTTTGTCTTCTTGTTGGCACGCTAGGGCGAGGGTTGATGAAGAGCCCAAGAGTGTGCCACTGCCCTGGTGCCGTGCCACTACTGGCAGATCGACGCTCGCCCAGATTCCGCATCTCCGGGGTTCCTTCCAAGTTTTGACCCAAAAACCCATCCCATTGAAGGACTTGAGATTCACTCCGGGCACGAGCTCTCTCAAATCCCCTTTCATTCAGGTGGCGGTGTGCTCATGGGTGATAATCACAGGAGCATGTTTCTTTTGATTGCTTTCCTCATTCGTCTCTCTCTCGTTCTCGTCATCCTCACGCACATTCGCCACGCCCGCCCGCACACCTCTCCTCTGTCCTAACGTACGTTGTGCTGCTTCCAGGCTGTCCCCTTGCCCAGCCTTCATCGCGGCGCGCACCCTTGCGAACACAGGTGGCGGCGGGGTCGAGGCAAAACATCGGAGCAGCTAACAATTCGTCAACTCCAAGCGACGCTCACGGAGCAAAGACGAGGCGCTCGTTGTGTTGGAAAGAAAGGCCAGAAACATCGCAGATTGCGAAGGAAACAGAAAACTCCATGAAAGATAATACATTGAGCTCATTCGCCATGGTCGCCGGGTCTGTAAGGCGTTTGTGGATCATCACCCTCTTCAGCATTCTCGTCATATCCTCCATCAGTGCATATGCACAAGCAGCCGACCCAAATGCAGGGCCGGTAACAGGCAACGCCGTAGCTCAAGCGCAACAGAGTGGCTCATCAGCCTCTGCGACATCCACCATCCCAGACTCGGCACCGATTGGTGGTGTAACAGTGACGCAGCCTGCTGAGACGGCCGACGCATCCTACTATAAGATCGCACCCGGCGTCAAAGTGACGTTTGGGTGGAACTTCACCTACGTCCTGCAGACACCCAAGACTCTCTTCATCAATGCGATTTGCACCAAGAACTCAAATACATACAGTCTCGCAGGACCGACTGGCCTACCCGGAACCGCGACCAACTTCACATGGGACCCATATGCATACTACCAAAGCGCCCCAGCGTCCGGCCTACCGGCGCTGATCCAAGCGACGTATCGACTGGTCATCAGCGATCCAGAGGTCACTGCAAACGCAGCGGGTAAAATGGCGACGAACAGCAAGGTCCAATTTGCACTCTACATTCCGCAACCATACACGCCTTTAGCAAGTGGGTCCATTCACTTGCCGGGCTCCCCGTGGCTTTCTCAATGACTGATGAGACTCTCTCTTCACTTTGTCCTAGGCTACATTTGCGGTGACTGCTCAGGTGCTGCAGGTCTACGTAGCGTACCGCCTGCTATGCTCGCGCTGATTGCAACATTCACAGTAATGCTTGCAGGAGGATACGGAGTCCTTGTTCGTGGCTTGGGAGCCGGACAGTTGTGACAACGAGGCCCTATTGGAATGTATCACATCAGAAGCTTCTCGTCGCTGCGAAGAGGACGAGTCTCTCAACGGACAATGCCAACAAAAGTTGACGCCTTCGTGTGATTTTATGAACACTGCTCCCAACGGGACTTCAAGTCTCCCCTGCCAGGCTGTTACGTCCGTCATTTGCTAGAGGCCTTGCCGGCTTCCCCAATGAAGATACATCACAGGCACATGCGGCTCAACCTCAATGTGCACGCTTTGCATTGTCACTGCATCGCATCCCCTTTCCGGCTTCGGCCGTCTTTCCCCTTCACACTCCACGTGTTTCTCTGTACTGCAGTCACATCATCTGCCTCGACTTCATTGCTTCGCGGAAACGACAAAAGAAGCAAGCTCGACGCACAATTTGATGTAAGTATTCTGCACCGCAATGTATTTGCCGCTAGGTATTAGTGCATAGCCAATACGTGATTTCTCTCATCAAGTCTTCGACCAGAAGAGGTGGTATCTAGAATACAGGAAAGTACGTTTTCACTCTTGCTCCTGCGCAGCGTGTCCGGCGTTTCCCTCTGGCGTACGCGCTTTCCAACCTGGTGCGGCGTCCATTGCTAACTGGCGCACTCGTTCACGTACCTCGTGCTGTAATTCCCGTACAGCCCTCTCCACATGTGTGCTCGTTCCTTGCTGCTTCGCCTTTGCACTTGCCACGCCGTTCATGGTTGCGGCGCCAAAAGTCGTTGGCGTTTGCTGCCATACTCTCCTGCGGCCGATCAAGCACCAATTTTTCGTGCTGGGTATCCGCAGCGCCTCCTTCTCCACGTGCCATCCCGCTTGCAGCTGCAGCAAGCCGATATAGTTGAGATAGGCCGAGTTGCGCGTTGAGGACTGTGCGGCGAGATGCGGAAGTGACATATGCGGCTGCACAGGCCCCAGCCTGATGTTGTGCAATGTCTTCTGCAGTATCTGTGCTCGCTGGGCGGACGAGGCAAAGGGCGCTGGGAGCAGTGAAGCAATTTGCTCCTCTGTGACTTCAAACTTTGTTCGCCCGAAGCGGGTGCCGTCCAGCTGCCAAGGACAACAGGGAATGTTGATGAAACCAACATTCTCACCAGGCGTGACGGTTGCCAGCAAGGGGAGGTACGGCGTAAGCTCATCGGCGTGATTGCCAATGAGGAACGAATCTTGCGGAAAGGCGAGGAACTCGCCCGGATTGCATTTCCCGTCGTCGGATGCTACAATACCAGGCGCATAAAGTGAGACGAGGCGCAGGTCCTTTCCTCCGCCCCTAGTCTCGTATGCCGGCCATGACTTGCGCGCTCTTAAGTCTATACCGTAGCCAGGAAAGCCTTCCCTGCGCAGGATGTGTACCAATAGACCGTTCCCACAGCCAATGTCGACGAACCCCCCGGGGGGCACACCTCCATGCTGCTCGTAAGTGTCGCGCCAGAGCTCAATCAGAAATGCAGCGATGCCTAAGTCTTCAAATACGTGCTTCTGCGGATCCGTGCGCTCTTGCCAACCTTGCGTCAGCTCAAAGGCGTACTTAACCTTGAGCCGGACGTATGTGTCTTGAAAGGCATCGCGCGGCACGACCACATCATGGTGCACGCGCTTCTGGTACGAATTGGCGCTGCCGAATGAATGCTTGTGCTGCGTTTCGAGAAGCGATTTCGCCGTTCGCATGAGCCTATGATCGAGCGGTAGGGCTGGTGAATCCAGTGGTGACGACAAGGTTGCGGAGGTTTGGGGAAAAAGCTGAACCTCTAAGCGCAACGTCCCATACTTCGCCGCGTCGGCTCGTTTATGGTCAGCGATGTAATGGTATGCCAGCGCCTTGACTTTTGGGTGGTAGAAAGGGATTTGCGCTTCTGGGTCTGTTTCCTGGCTATCGACCAATGGTGTGTAGATTACGAGGCCATCTTCAAGGGGTGGATCCTTGGTCCCATCTGCAATAGGATCGGCAGACCCCTCGTTGTGAGCCCCCCGGAGCTGACAACGTCGTCTTCTGAGAAAAGTGCAAGATTGGTCGAGGTGTCTGTCGATATTCGGATTCCGAGGAAGAAGCCGTCGAATGATCGTCTTCTGCCATTGATACACTGGGATTAATGGCTCTCCGCTGCACAGCTCTGCCTCCTGTTCGTCACGCTCGTGATCTGCGCCAACTTCGGCGCGCAGCCTGCTGGTGCCTGCATCATCTTCCGAAACAATGTCGGCGCGCAGAATGTATGTTGAATTGCGTTCAGGATGTCTTGCGAGTTCCAGCATGGTGATCCACCAGGCCCGCAATGGAAAGTGAGCATCGCACTCAGCCAAAGGTATCCATGTCTTTGGTGTGGCCTCAATCACTTCCGCGCGTTCAGTACACCGTGAGGAACCAACCTGCTGGGCAGCACCTTCCGATGCAACCAGATTACTGCATGAGTCGGCATTGCGCGGGAGAAAGCGGACATGGCACTTGGGTCGGACGACCATGTCCTCGGCTAGGGCGCACATTGGTCGGTCAGCGCTTAGTGCTCAGCGGGATTTTAAGGCGTTGAGGATGATCTGATGTTACCATGCAGGCAGGTACAAAAGTGAAAAAGGTCTCTAGGCGAAGGGCGATGTAGGACGAGAGTGTGTATTTGATTGAAGAGTGTTGCAATTTACAAAGCGACGCAGCACACTCACATGCTTACACGCCACAGCCTCACACACGAGAAAGAGTACAGACTGTTGCGTATGCCGGTACTTGTGGGCTACGTGGTTGTCACAAGCAGGCTTTGCGACGCCTGGTCTTCATCATGACGATCAAATATGCGGGCGTGAAGCAAGTGAAAGAAGGTTGATGGAGATGACTTCAACCACAAAAGTGTTGTACCAGATCTGATGCTGACGCCTGATGGCTCACACAGACACAGACAGACAACTGGAACCCATGGGCCATAGGGCAAGTGAACATTGTTACAAGGGGACAGCGTTATTGGTCCAGGCTTTGACTCGGTGTGCACAGAGGCCGGCAGAACGAGTGTATGACCAGCGATCAACATTACTGAATACGCATGCATCCCGACTCGAAAAGCATAGAGGTCGGAGGATATTCGACCTAGGGACGTCTCGATTCAAGCTCGATGAGAAGGAAACGAATAAGTGACCTGGGGAATGTGGGTCATTGAGGAGACGTCGTTAACGCTTGTCCAATACATTTAGTGAGCTGTGCGCGGGAGACCACAATGTCGTTGGGAACAAGAAAAAGTCAATAAGGCTAACTCTGGTTGCAGCTTCGCTAATATGATTCGGTAACACACCTTCTGGAGACTTTGCGATGTAGTCAATCGCTTGCTGCACTGTTGCAATGTTGTCAGCTTCCTCGTCCGGAATCTCCTGCAACATCAGTGATGCCCACGAATGATGTAATGATGGTTAACAATTGTGTTTGGATGATCGCAGGGTGTTGTCGTCAACTGAATTGCATCTTCTAATCCGACTTACAATTGAGAATTCCTCTTCGATGGCCATGACGACTTCGACAGCGTCCAGGCTGTCGAGTCCGAGGTCGTTTGTGAAGGACGAAGTGGCAGTGACCTGCGGAAAGAAGAGGGGCGATGAATTTGAATCAGCCATCACCTCGGGTCCGCATGAGTGAAAACATCATCAGAAGGCTGAGAAGTGGCGGCTTGGCCGAGAGCTATGAGCCCTTTTCCCTGTGTCCGACCTAATCGAGCAGGCATGCTAGGCGCTTGCAAAAACATGTGCACGGGGTGGGGACAAGCAAAGCGCGGCGGATGCTCACCTTGGCAGGGTCAACCTTCTCAAAGCTCTTGAGAACCTCGACAATCCTGCTCTGAATGTCCGCAGTGCTGAGCCCGCCACCGCTGGCGTACGTCCTACGGAAGATGCTTGCGAATGGCACCGGAGCGGCAGCCCGGAGGGCAATCGCAACTCGGGGAGTCGCGGTGACCACCGCGCGCGAGGCGACGGGGCGGGCGGCTGTACGAAGGGCTGCAGCAATCATGGTGGCTGACCGAGGATGGGCTGCTAAGGGCTTGGCTTGGTTCGAAAGACACTGATGGAATGAATATGAGAGAGGCGAGAGAAAAGATGACGATCGAATCCTGGCGGCTGCTTCCGACTTAAGAAGACACAGTCAGGTGCGCTGGGATGCCGGCTGGTGCCTCCGAAGAGTTAATAGCGAGTGGGAGGGAACGGAACATGAACATCTTCATCACCTTCAGAACCCTAACTTCCGTCACTAACAGCCGAGGCCCGAGGAGAGGCAACGCAAAAAGATAGAGACAGTGGTGACGAGCACGACCAGCTTTGGCATATTGGTCCAATTCTGTGCTGCGGACATCCTTCCAAATCTTCTGACATCGCTCACGCAATTCGCTATGCCTCAAGGTCAAGAGTGCCGGTTGTTGGAGTAGACGCAAAGGTGCACTGCGGTCGACACTATGAAGAATCACGCTTTCCGTAAATTGAGTAGGACTTGTGAGTGTGTGCTCACTGCTGGGAAGAAGCGCAGAGCACGAACTGACGATGCTCCCCGTGCGCTCGCTCAATCTCAGCCTCGCATCGGCGAGCCTTGCTACGGTGCGTTCGCAGCCAATAGACTCGCTAAGGCGTGCTTATTGAAAATAACTACTCCTTTTTCATTTTAGGAATCTCGTCACATCGCTCTTCGAACATGGTCGAATCGTCACTACTGTGGCCAAAGCAAAGGAGGCCGCTAGAGAAGCCGAAAAAGTGATCACACTAGGCAAGAATAACACCGCACCGTCTTTGTCGCAGGCGGGCGCTTTCCTATTCGTGAGCTTGGCCGCATCTCCCATCGTTTACTTCAGAGTAGAGTGTTGAATGTGCACCGCATTGCAGTCTCAAAAGGAAAGTATGCGACAGCTGAAAGACCTCGCTCAACGCTACGCCGAGCGACCCGGAGGATACACCCGTATACATCTGAATGGTAATCGCAAAGGAGATCATGCTCCTCGCGCGATTCTGGAGCTGGTGGACAATCCACGCGACCTGCGCTTAGAGATGACTGCAAGGGCGATTGCTCGTGAGACCCTTCGCAAGGGCTTTGGCAAGAATGCAGCTCTCGTAGACTATGTTTCTGGAAAGCGCTTCAGTGCAGCTGACTTTTCCGAAGGACACGAGAAGAGGTTCGCACTATTGACCGCTAAGAACATCAAGAAAGTCACCCAGTTTGGCGGCGAAGAAGCGCGGGAGCGTCTGGCCTTGAAAGCGAATGCTGCATTGCTCTGGCTCAGAGCAGAGGAGGCAGCAGAAGGCGAGCGCCGGGTGGACACTGCAAGAATGCAAGGGTGGCACGAGAATGCGCCAAGAGGTTCCACCACTCCAAGAGCGATCGTGACGAGGCCATACAAAGGCAGAAAGTGGCTTGCAGGCGAAGAAGAGAGGGGAAGCACAGGCGTCGTGTCTACACCTCGGCTGGTGAGGAAGGGTCTCCCGAGGAAACACAGCGTCATCCGGATCGGCAAAGGGGAGTTTGCCAAGAGGACAAGGGCACGGTCAGTGTTGCCTCCTATGCATCTCCTACCACAGCGAACACCAACCCGATCAGCTAGTTCCGCGTGATTTGCCGCGTTCACTCCAGCCCTCTCAATGCCTGTATAATATTACCTCGATTCCTCGTCCATTCGGGCAGGCGACTTGCATTGCCGTTTCCTTACAGACATAAAGAAGCTGGCCATGCGTCCTGACTCCTCTTGGGATTCGAGCTTTGACATTTGTCATATATGAGGGCGTCGAAGCATTCGACGATTGAGGAGAACCTTGAGCATGTGTTTGATGGTTCCGTGACCCGGGTCACCCGAATGTACCAAGAATTTTGAGCATCGCCCGCCGAACAGTGACCCATTGCTTTGACTCTGTCTCTCACCTCCCCGGTGCTGTTAATGATCGCATGCATCTTTGTTCTCTCTGCTTCAACCACGCAGCTCCCCTTTCTTTTTACCGAGTCCAGACACCAGCTTAACAGACACACACTCCGACCCGAACACCGTTTGAGGCACTGCGAGATCGCAATCATGTTTGGAGGTAAGCCTATTGCTCAGCCAAAGCTGACTATATTCTGTCCCCTTGCCCTGGTCCACTTGCCATTGGCTGAGGCACATGCTCCGGACCGCTGATATTCCCAATCTGATTCGCTGCAGCACCACCAAAGCCATCGCCAGCAGAGCAAGCTGCCAACAAACTGCAGGTAAGTCGCGTGAATGTGCAGCGAATCGGCTTTGGCTGCCCCTCGCTAATTTTCCGACGATACTGGTTTTCTTCAGGTGCAGCGAACCATCAACAATTTCGTCCTCGTTGCTGGGGTGCTGTACTCAAGTAAGCTCTGACCAAACTGAGGACATGATTCTACGCTTGCGATTGACTGACGTTGGGATGATGGTGATGTGAACCTTGACAGTACCGATTGTCCTTGGTCACCTGACGAGGAAGTAGACACGAGCGTTTGGCACGAAAGCTTCACACAACTGAGAATTGTATCAAGACCACACTGAACGCGAGGCGAATGATATAAAATCACTTGATGTGGATGCTACAGTACTACTATCGTTCAGTCTGCCTCGATACGTTGCAGCCCCTGTCTCCCTCGTGCCAGCCTTTCGCCCAGGTCGATATTACTGCCACCCACCATCTTGCGCTGCTGATCAATCAAAAAGTCCGCCTTCGGCGCATCACTGCATGCATGCGTGCCATACCGCTTGCGAGCTTTCTCTTGATCGGCCTCCTGTTGTGCCCGCTCCGCAGCCTCCTCCGCTTCGACTCGGGAGAGCAAGGCCGTTCGCTCTGACTGTACCGCAACTGCATTGCCCATCATCCGCGCGAGCTTCGCTGCCGCATCTTCCCCTGCTGCTGAAGAACTTGCGGGAGGTCTAGTCGTAGAACTCGAAGATTCGATTGAAGGCCGACCCTGGTCACGGCTTGTGGACCGCGGATGCCGCGGGTCGCCAGTTTCTGGCCACCTCGAGCGCGATGAAGGTCCAGCATCAGAAGGGCTTACCCTGTACTCTGCGCGCGAAGACTGTGGCGGCCTTGCCAGCAGAGGCTGGTGATCACCCGTGCCTTCTCTGCGATATGGCGCCTCCCGGCGGTCTGCGCGCCTATACTCGTACGAGCGGCTGGAGGAATGATCTCGATCACGAGATGTATAACGTGATTCTTGATCTCTGTATCTGCACTCCGCGGGACTTCGAGTCTTTGGTAGACGCTCATAATAGTCATTGTGGCGTCGCGATTCGTCACGATCCCTGCGCGCGGGGCTGCAACTCCTTCTGGGACTGAGACTTCTGCTCATGCTTGACCCCCTGCCTTTGCTTTGCGCATGCCGACTTGCACGCCGCTCCTCCTTGGCTCTGCGCTTCTCCTCTTTCCGCCTTCTGCGTGCCTCCTTGTCCTCGCCCGTGTCCAGCCCATTGGCTTTGCGCAGCTCACGCAATCGCGTGGGATCTCTGAGAAGTGCCTCGTAAGCTGCTTGCTCCTGCCGCTTGATGGTAACCAGCGGGTCCTCTCGCACTTTTGCAGCCAAGTCTTGCGCAGTGTTGGCGTTCTGAATCGCCATGAAGGTCTCCTCTCCACTTGCCTTGGACAAGTGTTGTCCTTCATCGGCGCGCAGCAGCTTGTCCACCCGCTTCTTTCCCAGCAGGTAGTCCTCCAAGTCACCAGCGCTGGGACCTCCGCCTGTCGATGGTGTTGCGTACATCCAATCAACCTTTTCTTGTCGCTTTTTCCCACCTGCTTCTTCCTGCAGGCGTTGCAGCTCCTGCATCTCGCGCTCTTGGTCACGCTCTCTCCGCAACTCCTCCAGTTTCTTGCGCTCTTCAAATGCTTTTTTCTCTTGCTTCCATACCCGTTCTTGATTCACCATCAAGAGCGGGTGCCAGCTCTTTTTCATATTCTGCAAGGCAAGTAATAACGTGATTAAACAACAGCCCTCTCGCTTGACTCCGACAGATTGACTCACAAGGTCTCCGCCACCCATCTTGTCCACGTTTCGCTATTTCTCGCCGGGGAAAAAGAGTTCTTGCTATACAACCGGCGGTATCCGTCACTTCCAGGTCTTATATGCCAGAACCTTGCAGAAAGAAGTTGCCAAGGCTTTCATTCCAGCGTGTACCCGTGTCGATTCAGATGGATGCAAGTCTATATAGTGTTGTTCGCGATGCGGATGTAAGAAGTGTAATCCTCTTGTTGAGGTGTTGAAGGGCGCTCTGTCGAAGGAGAGTCCGGCGAGGGCACTAACGCGCAGTTCGAGAGCCCACGCGGATCGTGGATGCATCTCAGCGCAGACGAGACGCGGTCGTATGCGATGTGCACATACTCAACAAAGCTTTCGACGTCGTCACAACTTGCTTCACTCTTCTTGACCACCGCCACGCTCTTCAGTCGTCAGCCACCTTTGCCATATCCATAGCGACAGATCGCAAGGGAAATTCACTGGTTGCAAGAGAGAAGTATCCAGTGGACAAGGCCAAGAGCTGGCACCGTGGCAAGCCGTAGTGGCGTCGAGAAGGTTCGCCGAGGAGTGTCCCCAGGTCGCGAGCGGTGCCCGTCGCTTGGATCGACTGTGCACTACTGCGGCGCCAGACGGATCGCGCAGGTCGTTAAGGGCAGTCAGGATTAAAGACTGGTCACCATGGCGGGTGAGCTTGCATATTCTGGTCGCATTCTCTTAAAGGCCCTTATTGATGATCTCTACATTTACGTTGACGTTCATTCGCGGCACAGACGTGTACTCCTCGTATGTGGCCGATCAGATGGACGCGGATGGCGTCAATGGGTTTCTTGGGAATTCCATGGGAGGAGATGGCTTCACGCAGGCAGAGATGGGATCAGAGGATGATATCACGCAGGAAGACTGCTGGGAGATCATCCGCGCCTTCTTCGAGGAGAAGGGCCTCGTGAGGCAGCAGCTGGATAGTTTCAACGACTTTCTGGGGACGACGATGCAAGAGCTCGTCCATGAAGTCGGACAGCTGACACTGGAGCAAGCAAAACAGTACACTGGCCAGGAGGACGATCGCACTGTGAGGCTCTCGACGGCTCAGAGCCAGCTGCGCAAAGGGCCATGAACTGACTTTGTCGAACTACAGATTCGTTACGAGATTGGGTTCGGTCAGATCTATTCGTCGCTTCCAAAGCAGACTGAGGACGATGGTGCGACTGCTCCAATGTACCCTCAAGATGCACGCCTCAGGAATCTCACGTGAGTCAAGCCTGCGAATGCCATCTTTCAAATCTGATGGCTGACATGCTGCCATTTGAAAAATACAGGTACGCTGCCCCCGTCTTCCTCGACATCACGCAGCGAAAGTACATCAAGATCGAAGATGCCGATGACGAAGAGGAGTGGGAAGAGGTCACCGAATCTCAGAATCCTACCCAAAAGGTCTTTATCGGCAAAGTGCCCATCATGCTGCAGTCCAATTTCTGTCGTCTCACCAATATGGACGACGACCGAAAATACTTAAAGGACGAGTGCCCTTACGATGAGGGTGGCTATTTCATTATCAATGGCTCTGAGAAGGTGCTCATCGCGCAAGAGAGAATGGCTGCCAATCACGTTTATGTCTTCTCGAAGGCGCCACCTTCCCCGATCACGTTCCTGGCCGAGATCCGCAGCGCGGTCGAGACTGGTGGCAAGACCATCAGCACTATGCAAATCAAGCTGCTATCCCGGACGAAGGACAAGGCAGTCAGCGGCAGCGTGATCCGAGCTACGCTACCATACGTCAAGTCGGACGTGCCGATCGTCATCATATTCCGCGCTCTTGGCATTGTTCCTGACAAGGAGGTTCTCCAGCACATCTGCTACGATCCGAATGACACACAGATGCTGGAAATGCTAAAGCCATGTATCGAGGAGGCGTTCATCATTCAGGACAAGGAAAATGCTCTTGACTGGATTGGGAGAAGAGGTACAGTCACTGGGCTGGCACGTGTCAAGAGGCGAGCGTACGCTCAGGAGATTCTGCAGAAGGAGATGCTTCCTCACATCTCGATGTCAGAGGGCAGCAACACCAAGAAAGCGTACTTCTTTGGCTACATGGTTCACAGGCTTCTTTTAGCGGCTCTCGAGCGACGAGAGATTGACGACCGTGACCATTTTGGCAAGAAGAGGTTGGATATGGCTGGGCCACTGCTGGCGGGGCTGTTCCGTATGCTGTTCAGAAAGCTCACAAGGGACATCTACCGCCATCTGCAAAAGTGTGTCGAGGAGAAGAAAGACTTCCACATCTCACAAGCTGTCAAGGCTGCAACGATCACCAATGGACTCAAATACTCCATCGCCACTGGCAACTGGGGTGACCAAAAGAAGTTCATGCAAGCGCGAGCGGGCGTATCGCAAGTGCTCAATCGATACACTTTCGCTTCAACGTTGTCTCATTTGCGTCGGTGCAACACACCCATCGGAAGGGACGGCAAGATCGCCAAGCCACGCCAGCTTCACAATACCCACTGGGGTATGGTGTGTCCGGCAGAGACGCCAGAAGGACAGGCTTGCGGACTGGTCAAGAATCTTAGTCTAATGTCGACGATTTCAGTCGGCTCGCCGTCCGGACCCATCCTCGAATTCTTGCAGTCGTTCAACCTCGAGTCGCTTGAAGACATGCCTATTGCGAGCAACAAGGCGACGAAGGTCTTTGTGAACGGCGTCTGGCTGGGAACGAGCGACGAACCTGGGCAGCTGGCCGTATTCATTCGTGAGCTGCGACGCAAGGACGACATCAGTGCAGAAGTCAGCATGGTACACGATATCAGAGAAAAGGAACTCAGGCTGTACACCGATGCAGGCCGTGTTCTCCGGCCGCTGTTCATAGTGGACGAAGACACTATGACGCTGAGGATGAAGAGGCATCACATGGACTGGCTCAGAAATAACTCCACACCCGATGGGCAACAGTGGAAATGGGCTGAGATCGTCAGCAACGCCCTTATCGAATATCTGGATGCGGAGGAAGAGGAGACGGTTCTCATCTGCATGAGTCCACAGGATCTTGAGGCTTCGCGGGCCTACAATGCCAATCCAAAGAGCTACGCTGCGCAGCACGCATCGTCGGACCCTTCGGCTCGTCTCGTCTCGACAGCATTCTTTGCTCCCAAGACTTGGACTCACTGCGAAATTCACCCGGCAATGATCTTGGGTATCTGTGCAAGTATCATTCCTTTCCCAGATCACAATCAAGTGAGTACAACGGTCATTTTCATTATCGAGCTGCTACTGACATGCCTCTCTCTTGCGCTTATAGTCGCCACGAAACACCTACCAATCTGCTATGGGCAAGCAAGCAATGGGTGTCTACCTCACAAACTACCAGATGCGCATGGATACGATGTCGAACATTCTCTATTACCCGCAGAAGCCACTGGCGACAACGCGGTCAATGGAGCACTTGAAGTTCAGAGAGCTCCCCGCTGGCCAGAACGCTATCGTCGCAATCCTCTGCTACTCAGGCTATAATCAGGAAGACTCTGTCATTATGAATCAGTCATCTATCGACCGTGGTCTATTCCGCTCGCTCTACTACCGCACATACACAGACATGGAGAAGAAGCTCGGTGTCATTCACCTCGAGTCCTTCGAAAAGCCGACTCGCGATACCACACTGCGCATGAAGCACGGCACATACGACAAGCTCGACGAGGACGGCTTGGTTGCACCGGGGACACGTGTGTCCGGCGAGGACATCATCATCGGCAAAACAACCCCGCTTCCTCCGGACAGCGAAGAGCTCGGTCTGCGAAATGCGATGCACGTAAAGCGCGATGTCTCTACGCCACTCAAGAGCACTGAGAACGGCATCGTCGATCAGGTTTTGGTTACTGTCAGCCACGATCACAGCCAACGCTTCGTCAAGGTCCGTGTTCGTTCGACAAGGGTTCCGCAAACAGGAGACAAGTTCGCTTCGCGACATGGGCAGAAGGGCACCATCGGCATCACCTACCGTCAGGAGGATATGCCTTTCACCAGCGAGGGGCTCACGCCGGACATCATCATTAACCCCCATGCCATTCCCTCGCGAATGACCATCGGGCACTTGGTTGAGTGTCTTCTATCAAAGGTCGCAACCCTCTCCGGCCAAGAAGGTGATGCGACCCCTTTCACTGACCTTACCGTCGAAGCAGTCAGCGAGATTCTTCGCGACAACGGCTACCAATCGCGTGGTCTGGAGGTCATGTACAATGGACATACTGGGCGAAAGCTCCAGGCACAGGTTTACCTTGGCCCAACGTACTACCAGCGACTCAAGCACATGGTAGATGACAAGATCCATTCGCGTGCTCGTGGCCCAGTGCAAATCCTGACCCGCCAGCCCGTTGAAGGTCGTTCTCGAGACGGTGGTCTTCGTTTCGGCGAGATGGAGCGCGATTGCATGATCAGTCATGGTATCGCCGCCTTCCTCAAGGAGAGGATGTTTGACGCGAGTGATGCGTATCGACTGCACGTATGTGACATCTGCGGTCTGACAGCCATTGCCAACCTCAAGAAAGGCACATTTGAGTGCAGAAGCTGCAAGAATCGCACGGCTGTGTCACAGGTACGTGCGGCGACATGGCAATCGGAGATTTGCGAAAAATGCTAATGGCCACACTCCATTTTACAGGTGTACCTGCCGTACGCGGCCAAGCTGCTCTTTCAAGAACTCGGTGCCATGGGCATCGCATCACGTCTGTGAGTGTAGCCATTTAGAAGCTGGGATTTACGTCAGACTCATCATGACATGTTAATTACTTCCACAGGTACTAAAACTAAAAGTGTATTTTAGCAGGTACTTCTGATTAGACCAGCATGCCCGCAGATTTTTAGCGAAGATGATCTCCGCCGTGCTGAGGCGCAGAATGAGGACGCGAAACTCAATGGGCTTGACGCAGTGTTTGTGGCGACTGAACCGGAAAAGTCTTCAAATTATGGTTAGAGCAATTCGCTGGATGCAGCATGGATATACAGCAGCAAATGTCACTAGTACGAATTGTAACCACGTCAATCACCAGACTGGATCATCTTGAAGTGATTGTGGTCTTCTAACATGATCTGTACCACCCACATATATGTGGGACCCGCATTGGTGCGTCCGCGGAGGGAAGCCCCTAATAAGAGACCTCCAACAATGTCCGTTTCTTGGCCCTCTTAGACAAGGGGGGCGGCTTAATAGGCTCCCTACCTCATATCGCATACGTGTTGGTAGCATTGATCATGACAGAAGAGAGATCGACAAAATCAACCATTTTGATGACGCACGCAGCATCCTACAGGCACGCCACACGCGTGACGCCACATTGCTTCCTCGGTTTGGACTTTTTTTTGGATCCCTGATGCTTGATTTCGGGCCCAACTTGATTTCATAGTCTATAGTTATTGGTGTTTGCAGCGAAAGCTCGAGGGCTATGCTCAGATTGCAGGTTGGATGATGCATCGAAACACGTGAGAATGGTAGAATCACGGAGAAGCGCGGCAGACACTTCTAGATCAACATCGATACGATGACTGACTCCCCAAAAGCCTCCAGGGGTGATAGAGACGCACATGATCTCATGTCTTCGCTTCGCGACAGGCAGGAAAACGGCAATGTTCATGGGGATCAGCCTCCGCCACGCAAGAAGTCTCGCTGGGAGCAAGACACTCAAGAAAATGACGAGGATGTTCTGGCAAGAGAAGCCGAACTGGCGCGAGCCAAGGCCGCGGCAAAGGCGGCGAGACAGAGACTTAAAGAGGCACGCAAGTCCAAACCTACTACATCTGTTGCCGGCACGACCTCATCACGGGGAAGCGATCACGAAATTGAGCAAGAAGGAAATAGTCAAAGTGCGCTCTCAGCACTACGCTCTGTCCGCGGAGAAGCCCGGGTGCCTACTGCGGGAAGAGCTCAGCCGCGTGTTCCATCGCGCAGCGCACACCCTCCCATTCATGGTTGCCGCAGCGTGTATGTTTATGAGCGGCTCAATCACATTGAAGAAGGCTCCTATGGTGTCGTCTTCCGAGCGAGAGAAAAGGAGACGGGCGAGATTGTAGCGCTCAAGAAGCTCAAAATGGACAAAGAGAAGAATGGATTTCCGATCACGAGCTTGAGGGAGATCAGGACTCTCATGGAAGCAAGGCACCCCAACGTTGTTCAAGTCAAGGAGATTGTTGTTGGTGATACCTTAACTCAGTGAGTGGGCGACAAAATCTCCATAAGGAGTATTTTAAGCTGACTTCATCTCAACAATTGCATTGAAAGAATTTTCATTGTTATGGAGTTCGTCGAGCACGATCTTAAAACTCTTCTTTCCACCATGCGCACCTCCTTCATCATCTCAGAAATCAAAACCCTGATGCATCAGCTGCTCTCCGCTGTCGCTTTGCTGCATTCGAACTGGATCATCCACCGTGACCTGAAGACGTCCAACCTGCTCATGAGCAACCGTGGCCAGTTGAAGGTGGCAGATTTTGGCTTGGCCAGGATGTATGGGGACCCCCTGGAGAAGGACGGAATGACAAGCTTAGTTGTCACACTCTGGTATCGTGCGCCAGAACTGTTACTCGGGGCCAGAGAGTACGATACGGCGATCGACATGTGGAGCGTAGGGTGCATTTTCGCCGAACTTCTAACAAAGGAGCCATTATTCATGGCAAAGAATGAGACGGAGCAGATTGCCAAGGTCAGTGCTCGCGGCGTCCAAATCATGTCAGTTTGAAACTCTCCTCATATGCGTTTCTATAGATATTCCGCCTGCTCGGTCAACCAACTGAAGACTCCTGGCCAGGATTCCAAGCCTTGCCGCTCGCCTCGTCGCTCAGCGTCAAAGTCGGTGCTCCGCCTTTCAGTACTCTGCGACAGAAATTCGCGCACGGCCAAGCACGAGGCGCACCCGTCTGTAGCGAAGCTGGGTTGGACCTTTTGCAGCGCCTGCTCACGTACGACCCGAGGAGAAGGATCACGGCGGAGGACGCGCTCAGGCATCATTGGTTCAAGGAAAGTCCAGCACCAGCGCATCCAGATACGTTTGGCAGTTTCCCGTCGGTCGCAGCGGGAGAGCGGTCAGTTCCACCAGACCGAAACACGGAGATTAGCTTGAGACTCAACGCATTCATTTTGCTCCTCCCGTACGTAGGCGACGCGACGCAAGCCCAAGTGCACCGCAACGTGAGTGAAATGCTTAACGGCACTTCCGAGGTGCGGGGAGATTTTTCTGACACCTTACGTTCTTTCGTTGCAGGCATAGCGGACCAAAAGCTCGCCTACAAACTCGAGCTGGACATTTGATAGGTGATCTGGACGAGTCATGAGACACTGATGCAGCTATGGATGGAATATACACATCACTACATGATACCCATTATCTTTCCAAGCGTGGAAGGATGGTCACCAAGCGTCAGTCGGGGCGTCTTCCCTGTCCTCATGTTTCACCGCTTCCCAGCGTTGACGCGCGGTCGCACGCTCTGAGGCTTCCGTGGAAAGCTCTTCGTCGGACTTGAAGGCATTCGCGCGCGGCCACAGTTTGCGGCACGCATCGTTGTACTCACGCAGCAGCGCAGCGTCGCCATCTACACCGCTGATTGAGCGCAGGAACTCTTGGCCGTCAATGAGACCTTGCAGCGACGAGGCCTTCGAAGACGAAGCCAGTTTCGGCAGGCGCAGGACGTACTCAGCCACATCGCTCTTACGCGCGTCGCCGTGTATGTGCAGCAACCCCTTTGCGGCGCCTAGGACGCGCAGAGCATTTTCTGAGTGGGCTTGTAGGTACTGCACGTTGAATGCATCGAGCGTCTTGCCGTCCGCGACTAAAGCTGACGATGGCGACGATGACGAGATAACGGAAGATAGCGCCGCTCTGATCGAATCCTGTACAGGCTCCGGTGCGCCGGAGAGGTCTGGGAGAAGCTGTTGGAGCCTGATGATGTTCACGTGCAGTTGATGATGAGCGGAGTCAAGGCAGTGGGCCTTGATGATCGCTCGTGCAGCAGCAAGCCAATTCTCTGCGAACAAAGCATGTGGTCCGCAGATTAGAGGCGTCAATAGCCATTCTTCTGATCTGTCTTTGTTGACACTGGCCACCATCCCGCAAGATAAAACTCACTCTCACGCACTGCCCACTCGAAAGTCGCGAGCCAAGTCTCGATTTGACCCGGCACGTTGGTCTGCAGGCCGCGACACACGTTCCTCGCAAGGGTGAGCGGTGCAAGGTCTGCCAGTTGCTGGACACCATCTGGATCCTGATCTTGCGGAGGCTGCGGTACCTCTTCTTCGTCATCTTTCTTCTTGTCCTTAGCTTCGGTTGCCTTCCCCGCTGCTGAAGCCGCCGCTTGTCGCGCAGCTTCCGCCTTGGCTTTTGCTTCGGCTTTTTTGCTCTTATTAGATTGTTTCTTGGCTTCCCCTTCTGCTCCCTTGACATCTGCTGCATCGGCGACGGTCCCGTTGGCGACGGCGCCATTGGTCGTGGGCCCGTGCGTCGCTGCACCGTTTGTAGCCATCCGAGACGATGCAGCGATAGCAGCGAGCCTCGACTTGCGCCCCGCCAGCTGGGCCATCTTGAGCGCCGGCTCGTCATGCATCTTGCAGCACAGCTCGACGGTCCGCAGCGCCGCTTGGACGTAAGGCTCGTGTGTCCGTATCTGGTCCGCGAACCGGATGGACTGGACGTACGAGCGAAGAGTGAATTTGCGGATGCAGTAGCCGTGGAAGTCCAGTTGGTCATTCCACATGTCGTTGATGACCTGTATCACGAAGCCAACACATTGAGAATCACGGATTGTCCTTGCGATAGGCAACACTAGAGCACTCACGCTGTCTATTTGCGATAACCGCTTGAGCGCAAGCTGGTAGTTTCCGAGTCGGAGATGGGCCTGTGCTTCTTCAGAGAGGTACCAGAAGGCCTGCATGTCGAACAGGTCTACCACGGGGTTGGCAACGTCTTGTTTCGTGAACAAACCGACAAGCTTGACCGCCGACTCGACATCGTCGATTCGCAGCGCGTACTTGGCTGCCTTGCAGTTCAGGTACCGGTCCTGCCCGTCGAGCAACCGCGCGTCATCTGCGGCGTGCGCGGCACCAAGCAGATCGCCGCTGCGCTTCAGAATGCGCGCACGCGTCATGTGCAGCTCGGGCATTGTCGGCGTGTGCGCCAGCGCCGAGTCGATGTACGCCAACGCGCGTTCGTGCTGTCCGGTGAAAGTGTAGTGTTGCGCGAGGAGATAGAGACACCAGAGATACGTGGATGGAGGCTCCTCGTCTTGCTCTTCGCCGCCTTGTCGCTCCCCTTGCTCTGAACTCGAAGAGGCAGCTCTGTCGCGCGGCTGCCACGCCTGACGCCTCGCTTCCGCGACCTTTTCAATCATTCTCTTCTTCTTTTCATCATCGTACAAGCGCTTGAGCGAGCTGAAAAGCGACGGCACGCCTTTCTGGCAATTCCGCACAATGTAGGCTTCCAGGCGCTTACGGAACTCATCGCCGTGCAGCAGTTGGAGCGCAACGCGCTTAACGGCCGCGCTGCTGGGTAGGCTCCGCTCAAGGTCTTCGATGACTTCGATCGCGTTTGACTGGTTCGATGACTCGGGGAGCTTGCCGGCTGACGAGGATGAGGGGAGTAGAACGCCTTTCGCCTCCAAGTAACCTTCGAGGTAGGCGTATGTATTTTGATTGCGTTCGAGGAGGGAGCGAAAGATTACGGCCGCCTCGTGAATCTTCTTTAGCGAGAGGCAGCAGCGAGCTGGAGAGGCAGAGAGGAAAGTAGGGTGTGAGCATGACAGAGCTTGAAGTTAAGAGGCAAGAACACACTCACCTCGAAGCTCGTCCTTTGCTTTTATATCAAGGATAGCCTTGCTGTTCTGGTCCAGCTTGTCTAGCGCTTCCTGATAGCGGCCCGCTTCCTCGAGAATCAAAGCATGGTATAGAATGGTCTCCGAATGCTCGAAGGACTTGTCAGGGTGAGACTGAAATTGAGCGGAATAAATGCTTCAACGAAACTGCTCCCACCTCTTCGTGTTCGGGATCAACTGATTGTATTCCGGTCAGGCTCACCTTGATAGTGTCCTCATAACTGTCCAGCACTCTTGCAGCTTCGTTCAAGCTACCAGCCAGATGATGCGAGATGGCGAGTTGGGTCCAATTGAGGCGGAGATGAGACTGCACCTTGAGCACCTTGAGGCGCTGTTCAATGACGGGCGCATGCTGTCGCAGCATTACATGCATGAGAGCGATCTCCCGATACATATTCACATTGGTCGGCTCCAGCCGTGCGGCCTGCATGTAGCATTTGAGCGCTTCTTCATAGTTGCGATCTTTGCGCTGGCAGATGGCGAGCGCGTGCCAGCACAGGAAGCTCGTCAGGTCCTGCCGCAACCCGCGCTTGGCCACGTCCACCGCTTCAGCTCTTCGCTCGAGCTGCGAGAGACAAAGCCCTTTGATGGCGAGCGTCTCACCGTGGTCGGGATACTTTTTGAGGATCTGCTCGGCACCCTTGAGCGACGCCTTGTACTTGCCGGAATCGTACTCAGCGATGGACCGACGAAGGATGGTCTGCTCCTTCGTCGCCAGCATCTTCTTGTCCTTCAGCGGCGCCATTTTCGTTGCCCTCGCCTAATGGGTCACGTGGTGCGAAGCACCCTCGACTATTGTTCACAGATCTAGGTGCTTTGCAAGGAAGGGGAAGGAAAAGATGCAATGCTTGAAAGTGAGTGCGTAGCAAGCATACGCGCATAACCCTTTGCCTCTCTCGCATTGGGTGCGAAGCATACGATCGTCCCCGTGGCAATCCTCGAAGCACCGGCAGCTAAAAGACGGAACTGGGAAGGGAGGACGATGATGCTGAGGCCTGGGAACCAGGGTTAGCAAGGCTCTAACCCTAAATTGTTACTCTATTATTTGTCGCTTCCTCACTAAGATGAAGCGTGTCACTGCGCTGCATTCCCTTCCTTTGCTCCTGGCTTGTTTTACGTTCTGGGGATCACAGCTTACACATGTAACTCGTGCAGTGCTCAGATGTGATAGAGTGGCTGGTGCGTGCGCCGCCTGCTTTTGTCTTCCGAGTTGAGAACATGGCAGACCGCAGAGGCGGCGGCAGCTCCCCGCTTGTGACTGCTCCAGTGCTTTCCGCCATGCCACAGAAAATTTTTGCTGGCCCGCGCTGGCTGGCTGGCTTCCACTGGACGGTCTCACAGGTCAAAGCGTGTCCTCCAGTGCTGTCGTCTCTCCACCAAGAATGCACACCACCACCTCGTCCACCGCTCGCCCTTCCCAAACTTCCTGTCCGCTCAGCTCACTCTCTTTTTTTTCCTGGTTCGTCCCTCCCCCCTATACACCGTTCGTGGCAACCACACCTTCACGCAGTCAAATATCTGGCAGCGAGAGACCGACACTGTCGTCCTCGTATAGCTCTTTCTGACTGCACATCCTTCGGTCGGTAGACTCTGGATTCTCGGACTCGGCAAGGTACTCTTTGTCCGCCCAGTCTTCCCTCCCCCTGCAACCCACTTTTTCCGAGTAACACCAGGCCCGGCAAGGGACATTCGCCAAGATGTGAGTTGCCCGGATATGAGCTTTGGTAGCGCTTGCAGGAGGTTCAGAGAAAGCTCTTCGGCGACTTGTGCTTGTGGCATGGGGAGTGTGCGATGTACGGGGCCGCGGTACTACATTTGCGGTGCTCGCAGTGGCGACGTGTGGCATGCAGGAAGATGGAGCAAGGACATACATTGCTGCACAGGGCCTTTGATATTCAGCATACAAGACATAGGCTGACGAATCTCTGGCTCCCTTTGCCTTTGCAGGGTTAACTTCACCGTCGATGAGATCCGTCAATTGATGGACAAGCCGACGAACATTCGTAACATGTCGGTCATTGCCCACGTTGACCACGGCAAGTCTACCCTGACCGACTCGCTTGTCTCCAAGGCCGGTATCATTGCCTCCGCCAAGGCTGGTGACATGCGTTTTACCGACACACGTGATGACGAGAAGGAACGTGGTATCACCATCAAGTCCACCGCCATCTCCATGTACTTCTCCATGGAGAAGGAGGACCTGGCCAACATCAAACAGCAGACCGAAGGCAATGACTTCTTGATCAATCTCATTGACTCGCCAGGGCACGTCGACTTTTCTTCCGAGGTCACCGCCGCCCTGCGTGTTACCGATGGTGCTCTTGTCGTCGTCGACTGCATTGAGGGTGTATGCGTGCAGACCGAGACTGTCTTGCGTCAGGCCCTTGGTGAGCGTATCAGCCCCGTCGTCTGCTTGAACAAGGTCGACCGTGCGCTTCTCGAGCTCCAGGTCTCTAAGGAGGACCTCTACCTCTCCTTCTTGAGGACCATCGAGTCGGTCAACGTCGTCATTGCCACCTACAACGATCCGGTTCTCGGCGAGTCCCAGGTGTACCCCGAGAAGGGCACTGTCGCCTTCGCCTCGGGTCTCCATGGCTGGGCCTTCACCCTCCGCCAGTTCGCCGCTCGCTACGCCAAGAAATTCGGTGTCGACAAGGAGAAGATGATGGTCAAGCTCTGGGGCGACAACTTCTTCAACCCCAAGACCAAGAAGTGGACCACCAAGGCGACCGACGCCGACGGCAAGCCCCTCGAGCGCGCCTTCAACACCTTCGTTCTCGACCCCATCTTCCGCATTTTCGACTCGGTCATGAACTTCAAGAAGGACGAGACCTTCAAGATTCTCGAGAAACTCGAGATCGCCCTCACCTCCGAAGAGAAGGATCTCGAGGGCAAGCCGCTCCTTAAGGTCGTCATGCGCAAGTTCCTGCCTGCCGGTGACGCTCTGCTGGAGATGATTGTCATCAACCTTCCCTCGCCTAAGACTGCTCAGAGGTACCGTGTTGAGACCCTGTACGAGGGCCCCATGGACGACGAGTCTGCCATCGGTATCCGTGACTGCGACGCCAACGGTCCGCTCATGCTCTACGTCTCGAAGATGGTCCCAACCTCTGACAAGGGCCGCTTCTACGCTTTTGGTCGTATCTTCTCCGGTACCGTCAAGTCTGGTCCCAAGATTCGCATTCAGGGCCCGAACTACAAGCCCGGCAAGAAGGACGACCTGTTCGTCAAGTCCATCCAGCGCACTGTGCTCATGATGGGTCGTTACATCGAGCCCATTGAGGACTGCCCTGCCGGTAACATTCTCGGTCTCGTTGGTGTCGACCAGTTCCTGCTCAAGAACGGTACCCTCACTAGCTCTGAGACGGCGCACAACATGAAAGTCATGAAGTTCTCCGTCTCCCCGGTTGTCCAGGTTGCCGTCGAGGTCAAGAACGCCAACGACTTGCCCAAGCTGGTTGAAGGTCTCAAGCGTCTCACCAAGTCGGACCCGTGCGTCCAGGCATGGATCAATGAGTCCGGAGAGCACATTGTCGCCGGTGCCGGTGAGCTGCATCTCGAAATCTGCTTGAAGGATCTCGAGGAGGACCACGCGCAGATTCCTCTCAAGAAGTCTGACCCTGTCGTCGGATACCGTGAGACTGTCCAGGCCACCTCTTCCATGACCGCGCTGTCCAAGTCGCAGAACAAGCACAACCGTCTTTACGTTGAGGCCATGCCTCTGGGTGAGGAGCTTTCCAGGGCCATCGAGGATGGCAAGATCACTGCTCGTGATGACTTCAAGGCTCGTGCACGTATCCTCGCCGATGAGTACGAATGGGACGTCACCGATGCACGTAAGATTTGGTGCTTCGGCCCCGACACGACCGGCCCGAACCTGATGGTTGACGTCACCAAGGGTGTTCAGTACCTCAACGAGATCAAGGACTCGTGTGTCGCTGCCATGCAGTGGGTGACTAAGGAAGGTGTTCTTGCCGAGGAGAACATGCGTGGTGTTCGCTTCAACATCATGGATGTCACGCTGCACACCGATGCCATTCACCGTGGTGGCGGACAGATCATTCCGACCTGCCGTCGTGTCTGCTACGCCGCGACGCTGCTCGCCCAGCCGGGTCTGCAGGAGCCGGTCTACCTGGTCGAGATCCAGTGCCCCGAGTCTGGTCTGGGTGGTATCTACTCTACTCTCAACAAGAGGCGAGGACAGGTCGTGCTCGAGGAGCAGCGCCCTGGTACCCCGATGTACACCGTCAAGGCGTACCTGCCGGTCAACGAGTCGTTCGGATTCAACGCCGCGCTCAGGCAGGCCACCGGAGGCCAGGCCTTCCCGCAAAGCGTCTTCGATCACTGGGAGCTTATGGGCGGTAACGCCGCCGACCCCAAGAGCAAGATCTACGAGCTGGTCAAGACCATCCGTACCCGCAAGGGCCTCAAGGAGGACGTGCCACCTCTGGACACTTACTACGGTGCGTACTGCGTGCATGTCTCATCCAAATTGACAAAGATCACGAAGCTGATACTCCTTATTTTTGCGTGCCTTGAATACACAGACAAGTTGTAAGAAGGCCCCGCCAAGCGACAAGCGTCACACAGAACGGAAAGCTCCGCTTTTCTTTTTGCATTCCTCGTACCTCTTACTCAAACCTCTACAACACCTGTACAAAATCTCCGCTTCACGAAGCATTTCTTTTGCCTGCTTTCCTCTGCCTGGCGTTCTTGTGATTTGCGTGCACAATTTGATTTGATGCTACCTTGCCGACCACAACGGGTCCAGCACTCAATTAGTCAGCTTTCGGTACCCAATGCCCAGTGCTGCACAGTGCATCTGGAGACGCTCGTGGCCATAGAGATGACTTTGAAAAAAGCATTGTTAGCTTTACACAATTGTCGAGTACTATTGCCAGCAGGTACCGACCAACCAGGAACTGGTCACGGAGTGCGGAAGGGTTGCTGGCCAGAGTCACGCTGCTTGCGGATCATGGCCCTTTGGGCGTCGCCCTCCACGGCACCACTCCTCAGCCTGCCAGCAGGAAGAAGTGAGAAGAGGCAAGACAGAGAGCCTTCAGCTTGAGGCTCCCCTGCCGCGTTCGGGTTCCCTTCCCCCTCCAACAGCTGCCTCACCACCAAAAGTAGCCGACCAGGTGAAGGAGAGCGATGAAGAGCGCCACCCGAGCCGGGCCGCAGGCGATCCTGATCTCAGGCACTTCACCCATCGCCAGGCTCGCGGCCGTCTGATTTCGAGCAGCGTTGATCATTTTGACATTGATAGACGTAACTTTGGTATTTGATATTGGTCTTCCAGCGAACAAACGGCTATAGCGTATCATGGCCTATGCGCAGGCAGGCGAATGGCTTTTCGACCTTTCGAGCAAGTCATCCTTCACAACAATTGCGCAGCAAGCCCACCCCTACCACTCCTCCTGCCCACCCCGGCACCCCATAGTCCACATACTCCAAAGCCCACCCAGGTCACAGCACTGCCACCCGACCCGCCGGCTAAATATATCAGAACATTCGTATGTGCAAAGGGTTGTTGTACATGCTCGTATGTACGAGTTCGTAGAAAGGTTCAAGCACTGGGTCAGGGTGCAAATTAAAGATTGGTGCCTTTCTTGGCTTCGCCCGTCGCCAGGCTAGGCCAGGCCAGGCTTGGTCATGCCAGCTTTCGACACCGTTTCTTGGTAAGACACCGCCGCCTTCAGATGCAATAAATACGGGGACGACAATCTCCATCATCACTGTCGTGCGCCGTGGGCGCTGGACTCAACCGCTCGTGCACCGTCGCGCCTGTCCCTCCATGATCAATACAACGGCAATAGGAGCCAGACTTCCAGATCCAGAGGAATAATGACACCACAATCAGCAGTCATGTGACCACGACCAGAAGTTAGTAAGATCGATCACTTCCACAAACCGAGGAACACTTGGGGTACCCTGTATGTATGTACTTTGTTTGTACGCATGACTATATGATGTGCCTACGACAAGCCATAAATAAATTTGATATTTGTGGCGAGCGATTCTCAACTGTGGCGTATCTAGCTGGTCCCGAATGTCCGGTGAATGTAGATGGACAACAGCACAAGGTCGCGTCACCCTTATAATTACTTCTGTTCACCGCTGTGACTACATTCAGTTCACCGTCATCCTGGATCTGGAAAGAGGTTGCTCAACCTTTCTATCGTCTGTCGCACTACATATAGGTGATTCCCAAATTCGGGTCGGCCCCCCGCCAATACTGCCTATCTCAACTTTCTCGGCTGCAGGGAGGTTGATGCCTTCATGGAGCGTGAACAATGAATGGTATAAAGGGTCACAGTTGAGCAGCACAAAAGACAAGGTACCGCACTTCGACTTACCAATGTTGCAACTTCTATCCCATTTGACCAGTCAAGTTTGTTCGATCGCCACCAAGGGCGCAATCTTCATATAGTGACATCGATTTTAAACCCCTTTTCAAGCCGCTACAACCATCAAGCCGCCTGTAGATAGGACATATTGGCTTGCGACCATCCTCGCCCGTTTTCACGCACTCGGAGCGGGGTGATCCTGGATACTCAACATTGGGTGCCCACGCCTGCTCTCGCCAACATCATCACATCCCCCTTTATCCATCAGACTGAAGCCATTGGTCATTTTCTAGCCCATGAACGACTCTCACAAACGTCTTTGCATCACGAACCGTACGACGAACCATGGATCAACACCCTTTTCATATTGACCATTTGCACTTAGACGACTGAGTCCATACAAGACACGTAAGGAAAACAGCCAAAACCGGCAGCACCATGTCCTTTGGGACTCAGCATGTTCAAGAGGGCAGCGACCCGCCAGCTCCGTTTCAGGATGCTGTCGATGGGCTTGGAACAACGGACGTAAGCTCTTCTTCGGCAGTTCGCTGTGCAATGGAGGCTATGGCGGCAGTGGAAGGGTTCGAAATCAGCCGCTCTACCCGTTCTTCCAGCTCGGAAGGGTTGCGAATAGGCGGTCAAGCGATGTCGCGCGACGCTGGCACCAGCTCCCGCTCGCAAGCGAATCAGCAGGGTACCGGCAGCAGCACCGAGGCCACGGTCAGCAAGACTGCTCTTGGTGCTGCAAGCCGCCTAATGCCGGAATATTCAGAACCTGCAGACACATTCGGTAGTTCGGCATCTGGCTCATATCCCGCTGCGCGGTCGCCGTCTCTGCGTCTCGAACTATCCCACTTTCCATCATCCAGTCGCCAGACCAAGACTTTAGCGCCGGCGGTGGCATCAGCAGCAGCAGCTGGCAACGACGACAGAGAGGCTATCCACGTTGAAGGAGCCGTTTCTTATGTGAACCAGGAGCAGCCCGAACTTCTCGAATTGCCGCGACGCAGATACAGCGCTTCCACTGCAAGGGAAAAAGGCAAGATGCGCGAGCGCGACGTCTCGCCGGATAACGATGACGCCGTCCCCAGCTCTGCAACTGCAGGGGGTCTTGAGAATCGGGGATCGGCCCCGCGATCGCAGACGTCACTATTGTCCACGTCATCCTCCGGGTCATGGCAGCGAAATCGCTGTACTCGCGATCGAGCACTACTGCGGGACAACAGTGTCGGCTCGTCCAACACTTTTGGAGAAGGAACCCGCAGCGTTCCTCCACCAGGGCCGTTAGCCTTTCCATTACATTCGGTCCCCTCAACATCCGACAACGAAACACACGAGTGTGTCAGCTTTCCAAAGCGAAACCCCTTCGCACCTCTACAGGTGCAGGATCAGTTCTCGCCCATTCCTTTAGAAAGAATGGGCAAGCATAACAGCTTGTCACCCCCTTCCTCTACAGCACGGTCTCATCAAGCCTCGCAGTTGAGCATGTGCACGATGGAGTCCGCAGTAGCGCCAAACAGAGACACCAACAACGCCGGCTCGCTCACCGCAGCGGATGTCATGGTGCACCGTGCGTCCGGCTCTGTCTCTCGCTCCGGTTCGACGGGCAGTGTCGGCAAGAGGAGCCGCAAGGCCAGCACAGCTATGGTGGCGAATAGAAGAAGCGATTCGGCCGGCAGCCGTGGCTTCGCGACAAATCCCGTGCCGCTGTCTGGGGGCAGCTCAAGCGGCAGTGCGCACCTTAGCACCAGCAAGAGCGGGCTGAGCGCGCGAAGAGCTCGTGCGCAGAGTGTGCCACACATCTTGACGAGCGGCCCAGTACCGGCAATCAGAACAAATTTGAAGCGCCCGTCAGTTGATGCTGCAGGAAATGTGAGGGTCGCGTCATCATCATTCTCATCCAGAGCTCGGCTAGCCTCCCACAAGGCTCCACCGGTCGTACGCAGCACAAGTGCTGCAAGCCGCATCGAGGAACGCGGCCGCGCAGCCTTGTCGACATCGCTGGCGAGCCAAAGCTCCGAGAGGACACCTCGGCCTCATTCCTGGGGTCCTCAGCGCACCATTGACGTGCCGGTGCGAAGAGCAAGTCTCCACCGCGAGCCTTCATCTGCTCCACACCTTGCAGACAAGACCGGCCGTCGAAGTGGCACGCCTCAAGCATTAGTCGTTAACGGAGCTCCTGCTCGACATTCCCTTGGCCACCTCGAATCGTCGAATCCGACAGATCAGAATAGCGCATTGCTAAGCATGTGGGCGCCAGGCACGAACTCCGTTAGTGCTTTCCCCGCTGATGGCCTGGTCGAACTGACGCAGGGGCAAGATGAGTTACGACAGTCATTTCAGTCTCGGGGCGCGTCCCTATCGACTGTGTATGCGCAGCATCAACGTGCACGCACGCACCAGCTTCTCACTGCGCTGTCAAAGCTTCAGCCACGATTTCCGGACGAGCAGGAGTTCGCCTCATCCGGTGTCAAGCTGTCCAGCAAGACACCGTTGACAATACTGACCCGCATACACCAACGTCTGCTCTTCCTTTTGACCAACTTGCATGTATTCACAACGCTCTTCTTCGACTTCAACGTGATGTTCGTCCTTGTTCAGCTCGCTTTGCAGCCGGATAACCGAGCAGCAGATAATGGTAGCATCGCAACGGCTTGGTGGGTTGCCACTGGCGTCTACTCATTTTTCACGCTCAGCTGGTTTCTCGGCGTCGTTCTGCTGCACGATTACGTCTTATGCTTTCAGCGCGTATTCTCAGAGGGTAAGTTCCACGCAACTGTACTCTGCAACAATCGTGATGAGTTCTGATTCGTTGAAGCAACGTTGACGCTTACATGCACACTTCCACTTATAGCCAACGCATACATCCTTTCCATCTACTTATCGTCAACAGCATACACACTTTGCAGCCTCAAATCATACAGCCACTATTCCTTCTTGCATCGAATTCGCTGGTCAGCAACTTCCACGGACTTTTTCATCGAGACGTGTTGGTACTATTCACAAAGTGAGTTACACTATCGCACTCTTTTGCTCTGAGCACATGTTGACAGCACTTCCTTGCTCATAATGCAGATTGGCCCACCATAATCACACTTATCCCACGAGCAATTATTTGCATAATTGTGCTGGTCCTCTACAATCCTTCGGGCACCCTGTCGTCCACCCTGTCGTCCACCCCTGGCCTCATGTCCGCACGCGACCCATTCTTCTTCGATTCTGCCACCGACTTGCTTTCAACCTACGCCAGCATCGTGCTCGTTGTGTACCTTGGCTGGGTCTCTTGGCGCGCTCTTGTCCTGGTCGTCAGCTACTTCGGCCTTTTGTTCACGATGGGCTTCAGCGGACTTCGGCATGCTAAGTTGAATGTCATCCTTCCACAAAATGTGGTCAACTTTGGCAGCTCACGGCGCTTCAGCTCGTCCGTTCCACTGACACGCCCGTCCGATGTCACTAGTTGGCTGGACAAAGAACCAGGAAGCGAAATGATGATTCATTTCACACACGCGGACGGCCAGCCTATATTCATGCAGCGTGCCGAGGACAGAATTCGCGAGCTTCTCTTCGAGTATGCCCCGCATCGGTTCAGTGCGGCGGCTGATCAGGGCTTCAGCCGCTCCTTCGGGCGGTCGATGGAGCAGGCGCGGCCTCGATCGTACGCAGAAGAGCTCCCGATGGGAAGCTATCAATCGTCTCGCCCCGGCCCTCACGGACCTGCTTCAGGCAGCAAGTTTTATCAGGCGACGATCGGGCTGGGCACCGTCGATGAAGGCTCCAAGTCCAAGCATAACGTCCCAGCAGATGACAGCGCAGACCGTGCTCCGTCAGAAGAGGAGCGACGAATCCCGTCGCATGCTACTCCCATGTTCTCGATGGGAAGGCCAGTGGCAGCAGCAGAGAAGTTGTCTTCGGACAACGCAAGGCCAGTGGGAGAAAGGGAAGGCGGGAAAGGGCCGCCTAACCTAGTGCCTTTCCCATTCCTATCTCTACGAAACAATGATGTCGGTAGTCCAATCCGGATTAGCAACGACGGCAGTTTGCCGCGCTCAAGTATCAGTCGCGATGGGGCCCTCCCCATGCCAAGCGCATTTAACGACGTTGTCCCTGCGGTTCCACGCGCCTTATGCCGTCGCGAATCTGCGTCATCCAGTCTCTCTACCGCATCGACAACGCGGGGGACGTCCTCGTCCATCTACTATCAGCCGGAGGAGATGATGCTCCAGCCATCTCAATCCGATGAGCACATTGAAGACCGAACGGCTGAAACCCAATCACCTCTCTCGCCTACGGGCCAACGAGAGGAAAGCACTGATCCAATAACCCCTCATCGGTCATGGCCCATCTTGCACCAGAAACTAGACTTCGTAAGCAGAAAACCGGAGGCTTCGACTTGGTGGGCCTTTCTCCCAGGATTGCGAGCCAATCCTGCCTCGAGGGTGGACAAGTCCCAGCTTCAAAAGACGGAAACAATGCACAGCCAAACAGATCAAACCGACGCTGAGCGTCCCAACAGCATCGAGATCGTATTTACGGGGGAGGAATCGGCAACGGACCCAAGTGTACAGCCCGCCGCGCCTGCTCAAGAGCATCATGACGTTCCTGTGGTTCCTCCCTCGCCGTCGCAGACGATGGAGACATCTGAGTCAGATGATTCAGCCGAGCTCCGCTTGTGGCAGTCATTTCCGGAGCAGTCGCGAATCAACCCGCCAGGCCTGGTCGCTCTTCGGCTTGAACAACATTCATTTGAGGAAGCGGAGTGGAAGAAAGACAAGGCACGAGAGATGGACGCTGAGCGGGCAGTCGCACAATTACAAAACCTCGCGGCGGCAATTACCCCGAAGCTGGCTGCAACATCCAGCCAGGACCTCTCAAAGAGCCCTTCAGAGGGTGGCCTTATCCCCATCAAAGAAGAGAGCTGGGGAAGCTCGCTAAATTCCGCTATTGCAAGTCATGACGGCCACGAGAGACCTGGCGAGGAGGTTTCCGTCAGCATCCCCCAAAACATTGACATCCCCATGTAAAAGATGTCACAGTCATTGTCACACTTTTTCAACTTCCGCGTTGATACAATCTCGCGCGTTCGCAACCAGTTTGTGTTTTGTACATCTGCATCAATGATGTTACAAAAGGCCTTGCAGGACCAAAAGCTTATGCTCTGTCAAACACACGACGGCATCAGGAGAACTGGATGCACCATGTGGCACAAGTGTGACGTCCAGCAGAGCACCTGTGTCATTCTTGCCAAGCGCAATGACACGACTCTCCCCGTACAAACTTTGCTTTCCTGTCGATTGGTCCCTTGGTGGACTGCGGTAGAAGAAGAGGCTGCCAGCACCACTTACACCTGTGGCTCTGCTTGCCAGACCCGGAGTCGGGCCTTCAAACGCAAAGCATACGCCCTGGCTGTTCGAACCACGCGAGCTGGTGATGCAATGGCACCGGTGCGCCTCTCTTTTCGAGGCCAACACGTAGCTCAGAGCGGGAATCGTCTCGACATGAAGCAAGTTCCCGTGCTCGAAGGTCCAAAGGCAACCGTCTAAATTGGCTTGTATGGCCACGCAAGGTATTTGGCTGACCGAAGAAGTCGGCAATGGTAGACAAAGAATCTTGGAGGTGGTCGTCGTGCGATCGATGCTCGGGGACTGGTTTGAATCGCCCATAGAGATAGTCGTAATTTGAAGGGGCCGACCAACACTGGCGTCCTCTTCTTCCATTTCGTCTTGTAGGAGTGACGTGTGCGGCCCTGCCATGCCGGTGCGATCGATTCCCAAGTCTGCTGCCCCTGCAGACCCTTCCACTGCTGTGTACTTTTGCAGTCCTCCGCGTGCTTCCAACAATTCCGAAGGATCCACCGTCTCGTCGACGTCATCTGTGAGACTTAGCCTCGAAGTCTCGACGGATTCTTCCTCCAAGCTTGGGGCGAAGACGTGCGTCCATCGTGTACCTTCATGCTTCTTTTCCAGATGGACGGTCAGCAGGCCGATGACAGAGCTCTTATCGGACGGCGACCGCGCCTTTTCCCACGTCCATAGACTTCCCTCCATGTCGATCGGGCCCCAGAGTGATCGGCCTTCGTACCTTCCACGTTGCATGGCTAGAGCTAGTATCTTTGCATAGCTGTCTGGCGTCGATTCCGAGGTAGTGTGGTTGGAGGGCAGTTCGTAGATCTTTGGGTTCCCCAAGTCGGCCTCTGTGCTTAGCATGAGTGAGAAGCCACTCGGTGGCGAGAAGTGAACACGGATGTCTGCTTTGTTCAGAGTTGGCGGCAAGGAAAAGGCAATTGTGACAGTGTCGGCAGTTTGGGCCCATGAGTACGCTGGTGAGATGTTGCATTTCTCTGTATCGGACATGAGCGCAGGTTGGCCTGGATTTGCCGAAGGTGAGGTTAGGGCCACAGTGGGCTTTGCCGCAAGGTCCATAGTGACGGCTTGCAGAGGGCCTTCAGAAAGAAGCGACCACGTTTCCGGAGCACGCCCTGAGAGGACAGCGATGTATAGAGGCTCATCGCCAATAAGCCTGTAGACGAGCTGGGCCGAAGTCACGCCGACCGTAGAGTCACCTGCCTCATCGCCAGATTTCGATGATGGGGCCGGCAGGTGTACAAGGCTAATTTCAAAGCCGAAAGCCTTTGCCGATGGTCTCGGTTGATTCTGATTGTCCAACTTCTCACCCTTCGAGCCGTGATCAACATTATCCGGACGGTGCGTTTCAGCTTGAAGGAGGACGTGAAACTCGCCATTTGTATGCGTGTATCCATCAACGACCTTGATGCCTCGTTTGCTACAACTATCGGGCAAGCTGTATTCGTGCAGGACTTCTGCCGACCATCGTGGAGTGCTCAATGGTGATTTAGATATCGCTTCTCTTTGCGTGCTGAGCAAGCGGAGGGGGGAATCACTTCGACCATCGTGAGCAAGCCAGAGGTGATCGCCGCAGCTGGCAATGCTCGGCAGTGCCACCGTTGGATCTACGTCCAGGCGAAGCAGCGGATGGAAGCTCGGTTTGAACTATTGTGACCGACGATAGGATTAAGCGGCTGGGGAGTTCAAAGTGTAGAAATCGAGTTTACTCACACCTGCCTGGAATGTCACTAGAATGACAAAACCCTGCTTGTCGATATATACAAGATGGTCTGATCCGCCTTTGGAAGGACACAGGTAACGATGAAAGAAACGAGACTTGAGCGTCTTGTACGCCAGCTTCAGCGGATCATCGACGAAACCGGTAAGAGCAGATCCAGGGAGGTCGTGCTCTGTCTGTGAGAACCCATCGGGTGCAGCACCATCGTCAGCTGTCACCAAACGGTAGGCCTCAAAGCGTGGGTTGAGCAGCTCCTTTGTCGGCTGGAGACTATTGTGTCTCAGGCGGCTGGGTTCCATGACGCCATGTCAACTCGACCTTTCCCGTCAAGTATCACACGAGGGACGAAGACATTCTTCGCCTTTGATGCTGGACAAGTGACATTATCGTGGAAGCACGAAGAGTCGCTGAGGTTTATGCGAACGAAAGTTGGATATGACCTCATGATTGTCACAGATGTCTCAACTTCTCTTTCATTGCTCTCATGTGGAAATGCCAAGGAAACTCAGGACTTGCACGACGCATGTAGATGTGGCGAATAGGAATGCTTTGCCATTTTTGATCTATAACAAGAGAGGCGGCCTTCTCGCCCTTTGCATGCGTTACAATCTTTTCCATGCTTGTCTCCCCATTCTTGCGCCTCGCACCTCAAGCGCCCTTCGTGCGACTGCTTCCTTCTTCTTTTCTTGACCATACTCCAGCAAACGTCACAGGTATTCATGGATCGGAACTACCGTGCCATGACAAAACTGCAGCCAGTGTAGTAGCTGCCCCTGATGCGTGTTCGTGCTAGGAGCATAAATCACAAAGTAGCTTTGTCTGCACTTGAGCAGCATTTTGTAGCTGTCAAAGACCAGTGCTTCTTTCGCATCTGTGCGAAGTGGGTACACCCTCCGGTAGTCTCTTCACAGCCTAGCAGCCTCAGGTGACGACCTTCGAGCACATTGCTCGCTGGCGGCTGTCGTTCAGACTCCAGCCTACTTGATCTAGCGAATCCCAACCAGTGTTGAACCATCTGATGACAACATAGTTACTATCTTGTTTTCGCGGACGTTCAATCTTGAACCATCACAACCTTTCGGTAATGCTGCTTTCATCCATGTGTGGAGAATGCAGTTTATTGACGTTGAGATGCTTGCGGAGCAGACGTTAAGAACGGTGAAGGTTGCAGAGCATGTTAAAATCGTTGCGACAAGCTCGAAAGCGAAAGGGTCGTCTTGTTCGTTTGATACAGATCATGTCGTGAAAAAGCTTGTGTGATGATGTTTTTGTCGATATTGTTTCATAGGTGGTTCAGAGTCGTTGCTTCATATCCGGGTGATCAGTCCGGACTTGAAGCGTTTACTTGGAACGCGCCCTCATCTTTCTCCGCTTCCGGCGCAGACGGCGCATACGCTTCTTCCTCCACTTAGCTCTCACTACGTAAAACAAAGGTGGTCGTTGTCAATGTCAATACGTCCCACAAAGAGGCCTAGCAGAGGCTCAGTTGCTTTCAGGAGGGCAACATAGGCAGGCATCCTGGCCTTAACCGCTCTCAACTTTGTGCCTGCACTTACTTTTGACTGATTGTTCAAAATGAGTCCTGGGTAAGGGAAGCAAGTGAAAGGATAGTCATAGCATGAAAGAAAGTTAGAAATGCTACTGGTGCGAGAGGTGATGCGCGTACGGGAGAGGGGAGGGGCGGAACGGGTTCCGATCGCCACTGCTGCGGCGAGGTGGAGGGCGCAAGGCGCTGGGACGGACCGCCCAAATGAAAAGGTATTAGGCGGTGGAACAGTGTGCAGTTGTTAGAGCATTTGAAGTCATTCAAGGGCAATTTTGCACGTGACATCTTACGCGCTTTGTGGATCGCCAGTCAAGAGAACCAACACTTCATTCGTCGTCAACGCCAACAGCATCAAGATGATCCCAGATAACCGGCAGTGAGCAAAGGGCAAGTCTCGCCGAAGGGGAATGGACATATTGGAACAAATGTGCGTCAATTTAGCTGCAGGTGGACGATCTGATGGACTGTGATCTATATGGCCTGCAAACAGCAGAGCAGAAGAGCCAACCTGCATTGGGTCTTTCGCGGATGGCTGCAAACAGCGTCACATGCTGTCTTCCGCCATTTCGCGTCAGATTCCATTACGCTACGCCATGTTCTGTAAGAACGTATAGGCCATAGCAGGCTTCTATGATGGAGCTGCATCTCCGAGACATCCAAGTCAAAACGTCAAGCCCGCAACTCCTCCATTGCCAAGTTGCTGAGAGTGTGAATAGCCTGTTGTAGTCTGAAAATTTGCATGATGGTGCGATATCTACAATTTCCCGACTGTGAACGCGAATCGCTCACCCAGATCTTCAGTGAGAGAGCGCAATACAGGATGCTGGAACGTTGTGGGGGCTCGACGACTGAGCTCGTCTGTGGAGTTGGCAGCTGCATCGCTTTTCTCACCCCCTGAGGATGACTGGGGAGAGGGACTGAGCAAAGGGGGTTGCTGTCTACGATTGTGGGCAATTGAGTGGTGCGGTTTGCCTCTGAAGCTGCTCTGATAGTTGTGTTGTTTCTCTGAGGGCATGCTGCTCACCCCTGCTAATGCTGCCCCTGTTTGTGAGTACGTGCGCGCCAAGGCTCGGGCGGTTGCAGCGGGTAGTGCGCTCCTGCGGGCGGCGTTCGTATCGGCGAAGAGGATTCGATCAGACTCGTAGAGTTGCCGATTATGCAAATGTCCATGAGGGTAGTGCACGATGTAGGCTCTCGTATGCGGTCGGATGGCGGTCGCCTGTATAGGCGCGATAGCTAGGGCGCACATGGCGACTAGCATCAATGCCGCCATGAGCCGGGTAAAGGCGAGTTGTGGCGTGGCGTTAGCCTTCGCGTTTATAGCGGAAGACGCCGAGAACGTGCGCGAGCTTACTCGGCGCGCACGCCCGATAGCTTGGGACGCCCCATGCAGTGTAGACGGGAGGCCAAGCGAAGGAGGTATCAGCGTTGGCGCGTGTGATTTCGAGCACGCTTTAAGTGCTAGCGGATGGGAGAGGATGATATGCGCGTTCGGGACCTCGTTGGTCGTCGACGACGCCATATTTGGAAGTGTACGAGGAACCTGGGCGGCGTATCGCTTTTTGCTTCCGTTAGAGGCAAAGGCAGCCCGAGATGGCTTCGGAGTTGTAGAGGAGTTGAGATCACTGACCATGGAGGTGTGTGAATAGACGTCGGCGAGCATGCTGCGTAGAGATCTGCTCAATAGATAGTGCGACCAAAGTGCGGGTACTTTTGATGATGAAGATTAATGTTGTCTGATTGTTGTTTTGGACAAAATCTCGAGTGATTATTTGCGCTTGATGCTCGGATGCTCAAATGCCCGGGTGCTTGCTGCTCGATTCTTGAATGCTTAGATGATTGGAACGTCGAGTGCCTGAATGCTTGAATGGTTGGATCGTCAAGTCTGTGCAAGTGAAGGAACACTCAGAGCCAGTCTGAGTGAGAGAAGGTCAAGATACCGATAAGGAGCGAAGTATGAGCAAAGCAACATGGAGGAGGAAGTATTTAACTTCTTGGAGAGCACCATCAATCCGGACTATGAAAACTTTGAGAACGATGAGGCTTTGAAGCACATCTTGGAGACGACTGCGGCCGGTCAACCGCGTAAGAGAAGGGTTCGTTAGACCTCGACGAACGAAGCAATCCGGGCGTGACGTCACCCGTCGCCACCAAGCTCGGGCGACTGCGCAAGCTGGAGGATGACCATGCTCTCAAGGCCGGCCACTCCAGTCTGCAGCATCAGTCGGTCCGCGAGCTTTTGAACACAATGATACGCATCGTTGAAGACTCTTGGAAGCACAGATGATGCGCGAATTGCCATCAAATGTGGCCGACCGCTTGCTGGTGCTGGATCCAGTCCGGGAACTGTGGCAGCGGTGGTGCGGAACAGGCGTGGTTGTTGGTGACGCAGCAGCCGACTGACTGGCCACGCGCATCGAGCGGTCTCGTGCCTGGGAGCCCGTCTTGTAAAGGGCTGCTATCGTGCCGGCACTAGGCCAGTTCAGCCTTGTATGAGGCCGCGCGTTGACCACAGACCAGTCAACCAACCAACCAATACCTTCATCAGACTAGCACAGCAATAAGCAAATAGCTTCCCTCATTACGCATTGCGGATCAGAAGCGCTACTCCGCCAGCTATCACTGCTCACCGTGTACAGATCAGCAAGGGTGCTCGACCAATAGATCGTGAAGCGCGCGCAAAAATGAGCGGGTCAGCGCCAGAGAAGAAGCAGGAGGCTGACTACACCAATGAGGTTGATGAGCTTACTCCGGTGGTGCGGAGCGCTGCCACGGTGAGCACAACATGAGCTTGCGAGGTCTTGAAAGTCGTCAGGCTAGAGTAGCTGACGGAATGGATATTCACAACAACACAGAGTGGAAAGCTAGCCGATGCTCTCGAACAGGTAGGCGTGTTCGAGAAGAAAGCGAGAAATGTGAGCATCAATGATCTGGCAGCCTACAGCCGCCGCTTCCTTGGTTTCGTGTTGGCTGACCCTATTTGCCCGCATACAGGCCGCCGACCTCGCTAGCACGACTCGACTTCTCCTTCTCTCACTGCTTCTGATTCGCGAAACTCCTTCGACAGCATCAACAGATTGGTCGCTCCTGTGCGAGACAATTGTTTCCCTGTCCAAAAAACATGGCCAGCTCAAGCAGGCCACCACAAAGATGGTGCAGCTGGCCATGTGCTTCCTCAGGTCGCCAGGGCAGCAGGATGTAACCTCTGGGTCGATGCAGGAAGAGGAGGAGGACGTAAAGATGGCAGGGGATGAGTCGCAAGAGCCTGGGGAAGGAGCCAAGGATGACAAGGAAAAGGAGAGAGCGACAGTCCAGAAGGAGGAGGATAAGATGGACCGAGAAGGACAGGAGGCGAAAGCAGTCACCAAGCTCATGGAAGAGGGCCGGCAAATTGGAGATGTTGGCCTCAGCCAAGAGGACAGGATGAAACTGGTAGAGACGCTGCGAACGGTGACTGAGGGCAAAGTGAGTGTCTCGCGATATCAAGCACGGCCGGGTCGCATCACGCATTCAGAAATTGATAATTTTCTTCGTATCTACGAAAGATTTTTGTCGAGGTTGAGCGAGCACGAGTAACGCGCATGCTTTCAGATATGCTATATGCCAAAGGGGACGTGAACAAGGCCGCCGATGTGCTACAAGAGCTGGCCGTGGAAACGTTCGGCAGCATGGACCGGCGAGAAAAAACCGAATTCATCCTCGAGCAGATGCGCCTAAACCTCGAGCGCGGAGACTACGCTAGGATGAACATTGTAAGCCGGAAGATTAACACGAAATTCTTTGACGACACAAACCAGCAGGTGAGTCACTCCCATTCCATCCTCATTCGTAAGCTTGCACCTTGCAAGCCGATGTGAGAACTCAACTAATCCCTTTCTCTGCTATCTGTCTCAGTACCTCAAACTTTCTTACTACGACCTGATGATTCGATATGCGTTGCACGAGAAGAAGCACCTTGACGTGTGCAAGTACCACCGAGAGATCTACAACACGCCTCGGATAAAGGCCAGTGAGCAAAAGGCAGCGGACGTCCTGCGCAACGTGGTCATCTTCCTCATACTCTCGCCATACGACAATGAGCAGAGCGACCTGATCGCCCGCGTCGAGCTCATGGATGATCTGGATAAGGTGCAAGAACACAAGTGAGCTCCACCTCTTCTATTGTGGTTGCACCCGTATCTGGGGTTTTTTTACAACTGACACTGCTCATCCCGGCCTTTCGACCAACAGGAATCTCCTTAAGTGCTTTACAACCGCTGAACTGATGCGATGGCCGGGCATCGAGGCGTTGTACGGCCCGCTCCTGCGCAACTCGGCCGCCTTCGCGCCGGATGCGGACGGAAATGCGCGGTGGGAGGACCTGCACAAGCGCGTGGTCGAGCACAACATCCGCGTCGTATCCAAGTACTACACGCGCATCACGCTTGCGCGTCTCGCGCAGCTACTCGACTTACCGCAGGCGCAGGCGGAGCAGTCGCTCGCCGACCTCGTGTCGTCCAAGACGGTCTACGCTAAGATCGACCGCCCGGCCGGGATTGTGGATTTCGAGACAAAGCAGCAGGATGAGGATCGGCTCAATGTCTGGGCCAACGATCTGGGGAGGCTGCTCGATCTCGTCGAGAGAACATCGCACGTTATTGGTAAAGAGCTCGCCATCCACCGAGCAGGTTTGGTCGTCAAGGACTAAGCTAGAGTCGCCACTCACGGCTTTACGTTCGCATTGTATGTAATGTCACTTCTACTGCCACGAAGTCATCTTCGGTCGGTCGAGCTAGCATTCAGCGCAACACAATTCTCACTGCGGAATTGGAGTGGCTGCATTCGAGTATATCATGGAAGAGAGAGGTGCATTGCCGTTGCTTTAGTTGTGTCTGTGTACATGAGTTGTTTGCATGCTGCCCGCGCGCCGAGGGAGAGACCCAAGGCGGGAGAAGAGATCTTGAAAGTGGAATCGGGAGTGGGAGTGTAGTGGAAAAGGGTGGAAGATAGGGTTGATGAGAGACCTGGGGTTGGTCGTTGAGGGTGAGAAGCACAGCTGGGAGTGGAAGGGAGATGTGGGTTGGCAGTTCGTTGACCATGCTGCAGGAGTAACGCAGGATCCAGGTTGATCAGGCTGGCAAGGGAAGGGCGAGTAACTGAAGAGTGGCGAGAGTGGATGGAAACGTTGTCATCGCGCCATGACTTCATTGGCACGCCCCAGGATCCATACCAAGAGTAGGTGATCTCTGCAATTTGCTCCTTAAGCACCTCCCAAGGTTGCAAGGATCCGTTGGCTGTGCTGTGCTGTCCTGCATCTCCCACACGCAAAAAGGGTCTCAAGCGCATCCGATAGTTCTCCATGGTGACAACGCCGCCACTATGCGGCAGGCCGGCGACGAAAACCATTAGCAAAAAGCTGCGCATCAGCCTTTGGCTCGTGCCAGTCTCGATCCAAGGCATGCGAATGCGGTGCAAAGTCGGCCGGGCAACAGTCGCATGACTACATTGCATCGATGCTCCTTGCATCGATCTTCGAAGACCGCGCCCGCACCCGACTGCAGGACTCTGACTTGCCGCACTGTACAGCGTTGAGCTGCGCCAGCGAAGCATGCGCCGGCAAGCATGCGAGTGTGCATGTGCACACGTGTGGCGTATGCGTATTTGGCAGGATGCAGATCGGCCGGGAACATCGAGACGGACGACAGAGGGGAGCGCTTCGTGTTGCGTGGAAGGGTGAGACCGTTTTGTTCGAAGGGGAAGGAGGCAGCGGAGGACTGGACGACGGGTTGCTAGACGGGGAGAGGCGAGATGCATGGTGCTGGGGAAAGTGTCGGTCAAGGGGGGTGCGCGTGCGTGTGCGTGCATACCGAGAGGATGATAGACGAGTATTGAGAGGAGAGTAGGGAAGGAGAATGAATCTTGTGCGCGCGTTTGCAGAGTCGAGTCGAACAAACACCGCCATAGTATGCGCCCACGCACATAGGCTGACGTCATCACCGTACGTGAAGACAGCCTGCCTTTCATCACCCCTCCTGTCCCATACACCGCCCTTTCGATTGCGGCTTCTGCAGTTACCCTTGCTGCTGCCCACCACACGTACCGCACCGTGCCACCCTGCCTTGTTGGGAATCCGAGAATGAAGGTGCACGAAAAAGAGAGAGTCAAAGAAAGTGGAAGAGAACGAAGACCATTCTGCCCCTGAAGTCCATCTAGCGCCCTCTCGCTCGGCGAGGAAAAGCGGGGTGTTGGGCTTCACATTGGCAAGGCGGTGTACGAGTTTCTGCCTGGTGGTGTGAAGTGAAAGGCGAGAGGAGCGCTCCATATACGTCCGCCTTGCCTTTCGAGATGCGATCAACCAAGTCTTGTTCTTTCTCTTCTCTTCTCTCTTCCCTCTTCCCCTCCTTCGTGCTTGTACCGACGAAGAGACGAGACGAAACGCACGCGGTCAAACCCAATTGTTGAGCGTAATCCATGCGCGCTCGCCTATTGACTCGTTCGCTTAGTACCACCCGCCAGCTTCTTCGCGACGGCGCGTGCTGGACGGCTGCTGCTTGCTGGTGTCCCAGCCGGCGTCGCCGGCTGCGACGGTCTCCTCGCCCTGCGCGAGAACCTTCCTACGTGGGAGCTGCTGCGATCCGACACCGCCTGCACCGCCGGCGGCGACCGCCTGGCTTGACCCACCTGCGCCGGCCGTGCCACCCGCGGCGGCGGCGAGCGCGGCGTTGACAGCGTTGGCGTTCTGCCTGCTCGTGCTCTCAACCTTGGCCTCCTCCTTGCTCCGCTGCTGGATGCTCCAGTCAAAGACGTAGTCGTACTGGAAGCCCTCGCGGACAAAGAGATCGCGGAAAAGCTTGCGCAGGTAGCTGTAGTCTGGCTTGTCGTCAAAGCGCAGCGAGCGGCAGCAGTTCAGGTAGATCGCCATCTCGCTCGGGAAGCCGCGGCAGAGCATCTCTGTCGGCGTCGTCATCTTCTTCTCCATGATACGGTCGTACTTTTGCTTCTTGGTCGCCGCCTTCAGTCCTTGCCACGGCAGCGAGCCGCGGAGGAAGTACATGAGCACGTAGCCAAGCGACTCGAGATCGTCGCGGCGCGATTGCTCAACGCCCAAGTGCGTATTGATCGACGTGTAGCGCGCCGTGCCGGTCAGGTTCTTGTTCTCTCTGTATGGGATGTGCAAGTGCGTCTTTGGGTCACGATATTTCTTGGCAAGACCAAAGTCGATTACGTTGACCTGGTTGCCTCGCTTGCCGATGCCCATCAAGAAATTGTCTGGCTTGATGTCACGGTGAATGAAGTTACGCGAGTGGATGTATTCGATGCGTGAGATCTTGCAGCCAAAGATAGGGAACATGTCAGCGATCCAAGCCCTGCAATGACTGCTTCATTAAAGGTAGGCAACACGCACCATCTGATCAGCGAGGAGCAGAACGGTCTTCAGGCTGAATTTGCGGTTGCAAAAGTTGAAAAGATCCTCCAGACTAGGGCCAAGGAGGTCGATGACCATGGCATTGTAGTCGCACTCCTGGCCATACCAGCGAACAAAGGGCACACCGACACCGCCGGCGAGCGTCTTGTACACCTTGGCTTCGTACTCCAGCTGCGGATGCTTGGCCTTGATCGACTCGAGTTTGATAGCGACTTCCTCGCCGGAGATGATATTGACGCCCAGGTAGATGTCTCCGAAGGAGCCGGAGCCAATCTTCTTGCCGATGCGGTACTGCAAAACGCGTGGGATAAGCATGAAGACATGTCAGACCCGAGATTGAGGAGAGACCAGAGTGAGTTTGCTTACCCTTGATGAGTGCAATGAGCCGCAGCAAAGGATGTAGTGGGCCCAAGAGGTCAGCTTGCTTCGCACAAACAGGCAAATGGAGGATGTAGGAAGCAAACACTCACTTGCCGCCGACTCGGAGATCCATGGTGAGCTTTGCTTCAGTATATGCTGGCGTGTGCCCTGTGTTGGTTTGCTCTGCGATGCAGCAAAGATGCGAAGAGGAAACAGGTCATGGCAATGTCCACCGTCAGTATCTGACATGTCCAAAGGGGACTGGGCGTGAAGCCAGACGCGGATAGGAGGCCCCAGACTAGCACGCAGATGGAGCCTGGCTATCTGCCTGCTTGCTGGTGTGAATGTGCTGTATTGGCCGTGATATGATAGCCGCTGCATCCAGCACAAGAGTGATGGATGACGTGGGGGATGACTGCAGGACCAGTGGACCGCCGTCCGAACATGGGCCGGCCATCCAGGCAGGGAGCCTGCCAGGGAGCCTTAGCCGCGCGTTGCTGCCGCCCGAGGTATTCGTAGCGATGCATCCTAGCGTGCTATGCGACAGGTAGGCAGACATCTCCACGCCTGCCCAAAGCAGCACTGGCGGGCGACGCACGTCCTACCTACGGCGCGTGAGACCCCCGAGGGGCAAGCATATGCACGCTCACACTCACCTTTGTTGCTGCCCCGAACGAGGGGAAGGGGTCGATAGGAAACAACCGCCGCTGTCGGTACTACAGATGTAGCGCCGAGGATCCCTCCTTGTACTGCTCTGTCACCTGTGTGCCAGATGCGATGCTCTGGTGTCTCTGGGGGAAGGAAACTGAATACACTGGACGCGCAAAGGGGATGTTGGTCGATGAGGTGGAGGGAGAGATGATGTGGTTACAATTGACAGGCATGCGTGTGCACTATGCAGCTGTGCTGCTGAGTCTCGTCGCTCGTCGATGGTCGGGGGGCAGGAAGAGAAAAGGAGAGAAAGGAGACTTTTGGCGTGTGTGCGCGCGCACAATGCCTAGGCTGGGCACTGGCCCAAAGACGGTGTGGTGACACTGATGAGGTGCTGTGCTCGTGCTCGCATGCCGGACAATGGCGAAGTGGAAGGAACTATGAACTGATCTCCAGACTGCGACCAGTCAAATGTGACTATTACTGGTACATATGTGACTGAGTACGGCGCGCGTCGACACGCGCGCCGTGGGCCCCAGCCACATGGTGGTGCCCTGTAGTGCTGGCAGCATCAGATTCATTGCATTTACGTGCTCTTTTCGTACACTGGCCTTGGGCCAGACCGGTTGCCAGTCTGCCACTCCCACTGCCACAGCAGGCAGGCCGCGCGCTGTCGGTCGGAGCTCCGTTGCGCTACCCTCTCGCCCCTGGCCCTGGGCCTGGGGGCACTGTTGCAGCCTGCAACATTGTAACTGCCAGCGGGGAGAGCTGCTGGGGGGGGGGGTACGGGAACGCTGCCTTTGAGGGGAGGTTTGTTTGGCTGTCCGCGTCGGCACGTTTCCCTTTTTTGTCCGCGGCAGGCCTGCGGACAACCGCATGATGGGGACGATGTCGAAGCATGTTCGCTTGCCTGCGGACAACCCAAACATCGTTGCACCGATGGTTCTCTATCCGCGCCCATAAGAGGCTTGCTGGTGCACCAGCCAAAAAGGCATCTGCAATCCAGCCTGATGCAGGGGACCAGCCAAATCGACGTGGATTGTAGAGTTGTTGGCATAGTCGGCGTGGACAACTGGAATAGCAAATAAATCACTGCACCGACCCACCCTGTCTTCTCCCCGTGGATGAACCTAAGAAGCGAAATTGCCGACGCGGACGGCCGAACGAGCGCACCCTTGGCCCAAACCCTTCTTGCCCGCAGCAGTTGAGTCTCGTCCCCAGCCTCTGCCCCAAGGAGAATGCCTACCCCCAAACCCCCTCGCTTTCACCTGATGAGGCGATCATCGCAGTTCTCGCAAAAGTCGAGGCTTTGCAGGAAGGAGATGAATGCAGCTGTGGGCATTGAGCGAAGAACCCAAACTCTGCATATTCATTGCATGCGAGAGATGGATTGAATCCAGAGCGAGCATATACGAAACGCGACAAGGGCGGGGAAAATCATTGCGGAGGGTGGGCTAAGTACAAGATGACGTGTGCGGGGGGATAATGTGCGAATCAGATGTGAGGAATGTCGCTTCTCGGTTGGGCTTTTGGGGTGTGCAAAAGAGACCGCGAGGCAGTGCATGCGAGCATGTAGCGAGCGAGTCTCTCGCTAGCTTCAAAGCATGAAACTGCTCGTGCGGAGAAAAGGGAGCAAAAGAAAAAAAACCGGCTAGCGTCAGCATCCGTGCGCAGTGCATCCCAGCAGTGAACAAGCACACTCACCTCAGCGGGTTCTCAAGCGCGTCCTTGAATGCCTTCATCCACTTGGCAGCCGTCGCGCCATCGACGGTGCGGTGGTCCGCACTAATGGTAGCCTGCATGATCTGAGCCTTGCGCCATCCCTGCTCACTCCCCTCGTCCGGCACGATCCTCGGCTCGGTCCCGCCGATGGCGAGGATGGCCGACTGCGGCGGGTTGATGATTGCGGTAAAGTGCGTGATGCCGAACATGCCCATGTTGGAGATGGTGAATGTCCCGCCCTGGTACTCATCTGGCTTGAGCTTGCCCTCGCGCGCCTTGCTCGCCAGCTCCTTGGTCAGCGCCGAGATGCTCGTCAGGCCCTTGCCGCCGACATCCTTGATGATCGGCGTGATCAGGCCCGTGGGCGTGGCGACGGCAATTGAGATGTCCTGCTTGTGATGCTGCCGGATAACCTCGCCATACCACGCAGCATTCACGTCCGGCACCTCGCGCAGCGCGACAGCCGCAGCCTTGGTGATAAAGTCTCCGACGCTCAGCTTCGCCTTCTTGGCCTTGTCCGCATTCGCCGACCCGGCCTTCTCGATGGCAGCCTGGTTGAACACCTCACGCAGCTGCAGCACGCGGTCCATCTCGATGTCGATCGAGACATAGTAGTGCGGCAGGCCCTGCTTGCTCTCGGTCAGCCTCTGCGCGATGACGCGTCGCATCGACGAGACTGGAATGTCCGTGTAGTCTGCTGTCACTGACCCAGACGCAGGTGGAGGGGTCGCTACCTTTCCTGGGGCCGGCGCAACTGCAGATGGCGACGTTGCAAAGGAGGAGGCAGCGGGCTTGAAATTCTCTACGTCCGACTTTGTGATGCGGCCGTTCGGGCCTGTTCCCTTAACTTGTGCCAGCGGCACACCCTTCTCCTGTGCAATCTTTCGCGCCAGAGGCGATGCGAAGATCCGGTCTGTGGGCTTGTCGCTGGATGGAGCAGGGGTCGATGCCGCAAGCTTGGATGCCTCGGGTGCCGGGCTGCTTGACCCCTCCTTAGCTGGCGCGGGCTCATCGGATGCCGAAGCAGCGGGTGCTTCCGTTTCCGCCTCTGCTGCGAGGGCATCCGCCCCCGAGAGATCATCACCTTCCTCAGCCGTAATGGCAATGATAGAATTCACTTTGACGTTCTTGGATCCGTCCCCGACCTACATGAGCAACAATGTGAGAAGCGCGGTCAGGCTCAGTTTCCAGTCATCAATGAAAAGTCTATGCGTTTACACACAATAATTTTTGCCAGAACACCGTCCTCCTGGGCCTCTACATCCATCGTCGCTTTGTCCGTCTCAATTTCGAGGAGGACATCACCGGCAGAGAACTTGTCGCCAGGCTGCTTCTTCCACACGGCAATGCCTCCTTCGGTCATCGTGGGCGACATGGCGGGCATGGCGAACTTCTGCAGCTCGTACGCCACCCGCGAAGTGTGCAGCGAACTTGCCCTCACGAATGCAGACGTGCTGCTGCGGCCAACTGCAAGCGCGGACGACGACGACGCTGCCGCTGCTGCAGCCGGCAACGATGATGCAGCGGCACAGCGCCGCGACGCCATGACGGCCGACGATCTGAGCCTGGACGCGTACATGCTGCCTCTTTCTTTCGGTGGTCTCTGCCCAGCCTACCTTTGAATGAAGGGATGGAGCAACAAAAAGAATGCAGAGGAGTGGTTTGGAGAGGAGGATGGAATTAACATTGGTCAGTGTTCGTGCCATATCGAGTTGGCTCTGAGATGAAGAAACTTCTCTTCCCAACGCGACCGTAGTGAATGATGGTGGCGCAGCAGCGCGCTCGGGCCTGCCTCGGAGCAGATCCCCACCTGCATATTAGATGAGACAGTCTCGTTCTGCGAGTGCGGACTGAAAAGGCGGCTCGCTGTAGACTGATGCAGAGCCTGCACACAACGCTTGAAGCCCAATGCCCACCACGGCAGCGCTCTCCATCCTTTGGCCTTCCTATGAACAGCTAAAGAGTAGTCCCCCACGCAAAACTTTGACAGCAATACATCCATCCACCTCCTCCGGCAGGCAATGGATGCGTTTGATTGGATTGTAAATTGCTTGGATCTCACCGTCGCCTCGCGGTCTCGACGGCACAGAGAGAGTGTGTGTGTGTATTGCGAAGCATTACAGTACAACCATGTTGTGCAACATCCTTGGCGCTTTGTGGTCTTGGGCTACGCTTGCCGCAAGAAAATAGTAATCACACTGGACTCCTCGATGAGATTCTGCCTGTGTAGCGGCGCGTTCCGGGTGACGCGTGCTGGGCTGCTGGCTGTAAATGTGATGTGCGCCAATCACCTTCAGTGACCATCCCGCCAGCGAGACGAGATTGGAATCATTGGATTGCGCGATGACGTTGAGTCCACTTCGATGAAATACACTGCAACGAAATAGGCATCCCGAGCCGTCCTCATCGGCTCGCCATAGCCCCGTCGATCGGTGCCACAGCAGGGAAAGGACCGGTCCATTCACATCCCAAAAGCTCGTGCGACGTATGTGACAGCTCATGACGGATCTTTTAATCTCGATGGCACGGGCCGCGCCGCCTTTGTAGCCCCGAACTGTACACTGCTTGCTTTGTGCCTGGTGAGCTGCGCTGCTTGGGCGACCATGACAGACGGGAAGTCTGAGAAGCGCAAGGCGTCTGGGTCACCCGCTTCTTCATCGGCCACTGAGCCAGAAGGAGCGTCAGCGTCCCCGCTTGCGCAACCGTCTACTTCAGCATCAGCGCTAGCGCCAGCAACGCCGATCCGAAAGGCTGCTCGCACTGATGATGTGACGAAGGTAGCGACGCCGCACCTGCGTGTCAGTGGTGTCGGCGGCAGTAGCGCCCGGTACTCTAGTCCGCGCTCCGCAACACCTCCCACGCCACCCACAAGCTCGCGACGCTTGCATCCCGTGGCGGATCCTCTCATCGGCTTGCGCTACAAAACTTTCGACAATAAACCATCTGGCGAGCGTATTTTCAGCCAGAGCTGCCGTAAGCATCCATCCGAAACGGAGCCAAGCTGAACGACGCAACGTACTTGTGCGTAAACTGAATTAGCATCTCTGGCCCTGCATTGACGAACCCACAGGTACTTTCATTATCCCCGTCCAACTCACCGACGCAAAGCTCAGGGACCTGAACCGCTTGCTTCAGAATCTCGGTGCACTCGGTGCCACATTTCGCCACGCCAACATCCTCATCACGCAAGTTAAAGCGCCCAAGCGCGTGGAGCGCGAAGTGCGCGCCCTCTGCCAACAAATACAACTGGAGCAGCTGGACAGTGTGCGGGCTGTTGATGCAGAGGATGCCGAAAAGATCGAACAGGACCGCAGACAATCTCTGCAGGAGGAGCTAAGCTCCAAGTTAGTCTTACACTCTGACTGGCTGGTCGCATGCGAGCATGCTGGCGAAATTGTCGACTTTGAGCCGTACCTGCTGCTTGGGAAGGAGGAGCAAGGGGATCAAAGCAAGGCATCACAATGCCCCCCGCATAACGAACCGAACTCCACTCAGATAAGGAAGGGAGTTTTTCAGTCGGAGACGGGCGATGATGGGGATGAGGACAATCCTTCTGAGGGCATTGCTTCTGATAGATCCGCAACGGACCTAAAGGAGGCTTCAGTAGCCGGTTCTAGCAGCGGGCGGAAACCATGCCTGCCTGCATCGCAGAGAACTAGCCATGCAAAGGATCCGGCAGGCGATCGCGCACAAATGACGCATACGAATGAGTCCATAGATGATCCGCCGCCATGGGAGAACAGCAGCAGTGCATGCAGGCGGCCGACGCCGCTGAAGAGCAAGTACAATCAGGACCTGGTGGACATGCTCGATATTGTGCAACGACAGCGGGCGTTACTGGATGATAAAACGGCGCTGCCGTACGCCAGGGCAGTTTCGATCATCAAGTCTTACCCTGAGGATCTTCGTCAGGATCCGTCGAAAGCGAAGACTCTCAAAGGCGTGGGGCCGAAGACCTTCAAGATGGTCCGGCAGTACTACGAACTTGGCAAGATCAACGAGGCGGAGATCATCAGGCGCGACTATGCCTTCCGGGTCCTGAGCGACTTTACTCAAATCTACAAGATCGGCCCCAAAAAAGCTCGCGAGCTGTATGCGCAAGGCTACCGTCGCATTGAGGAGCTCATCGTGGCGAAGGAGTGGCGCCCTGGCAAAGGCGGCGATATCCAGGTGCCCGAGGCGCTTAGGATCCTGCCAGACCTACAGGTGCCTATATCGCGCGAGGAAGTCGAAGAGATCGTGCGGCATATCAAGGCAGAGATGGATGAGGTGATCGCGGGGACAGAGCACACCATTGTTGGTGGCTACCGCCGTGGCAAGACTTCGAACAACGACGTCGATGTCATCTTCACGTACCCATCCGGAGGACCGCACGGTGTGCCGTCCCCGTCGCAGATGCAGGAGCTGCGTGAGCGACTGGAGAGAAAAGGGCTCATCACACACTACATCTCGTTGAGCAACATGAACGGCCGTGGCTCCAAATCCGATGGCTTGCACACCATGGAGATTGTCTTCAAAGCGCCTCGCTCGCCCATCGTGCCCGTCTCGCGGCACAGGCGCGTAGACATCATCTTCTGCAGATATCGAGTCTACGGCGCCGCCATACTCGGCTGGACCGGCTCCAAGCAGTTCGAGCGCGATTTGCGCGTGGTCGCTCAGCAGGAGGGCTACAAATTCAACTCAGATGGCCTCGTCGAGAAGGATACTAGTCGTACGCTCGACACGTTCACTGAGAGGCAAATCTTCCACAAGCTCAAGCTTCCGTACATGCCCCCGGAGTGGCGTAATTGCGACCCGTAATATCGGCTCAGGGCAAGGACCTCACACTTGCTTGTCTTTTCTCGCGCTCTGTTGTAATAGTATAGCACAGAACATTTACAGCATCATATTGAAACCAGGTCTCTACGCAAAGTAGAGGTCGACGATCACTTTTGGTTTCCAAATCGAAAAGTGAAAAGGGTTCAGTGATCGGGCTTTGATAGAAAAAGTGCTGGCTGATCAAAGCAAGCTCACTGGTGGCGACACCGAGGATGATTTCCAATACGATGAGCACGATCACGATGATCTCGAGCCATTCCGAATGACTGGAAGACACTTGATCCTTGAGCAGCTGAAGCATATCCTGCAGCACTTCGACGCGGGCGTTTAGCAAGTCGATCCTCTGCGGGATCTCGAGATAGCTGCGCGCCGCCGAATACAACGGTTCTGCAAAAGCGGTGGAAAACAAGGTAGCAGATGAAAGGGGTAGATAAGTCACAGTATGTAGTCACAGCCTCGCGTGCAGCGAGTTTGTTAACGAAATGCTTACCGAGATCCGGTTGAGCCCAAAAAATCTCGGGAGAGTCAACGATGGATCCGACAAGGTGGATGTTCATTCTCAGGATGAAAAGCTGCGCATTGCATTCGAATGATCATCAGCCCCTTTAGAATTCGGAACTGATCAGAGGAAGTGTCGGCTATGCACTCACATGGCCGATCTGCTTCATAATGTCCGCCGGAGGCATGCCGATTTTGCCGCTCTCGGCAATACTCTGTGGGATGCCCTTGGTCGCATCGATTGTATTTTCGATGACCCCCTCGAAAAAGCTAATCTTGGTTGACTGCGCAAGCGCATGCGAGAGTGAGAGCTTGGTCATGTAGCTTGAGCCACGGCGTAGGGTGATAACATCGTTGTAGATGCTGTGATTTGGAAGCGGCAAGAAAGCATAAGCTATGTGATAGGCACACGGCCCGGCTGCTATTCGAGCCGTCAATGATCGCTACTCACCGACTGTAGTCCGCAAGATACCAATTGAGGTCTTCGCTCTCGATGTCCTCTGGCGAGAGCCTTTCGACTTCAAACCTTTTCAATTCCCTGAGAAAACGTCGTTCCTCCACCTCGGTCATCCCCCATATGACGATGGTTCCGTACTCCATCACAAAGATTTCCGGTATGATGTCCCTCACCAGGAATCGTTCCTTACGTTTCCTCCGAGCCTCTTCGCGCCTGCGCTGCTCCTCACGCAACTTCGCCTCCTGCTCTGCTTGTTCGCGCTGCAACCGTGTTTCCTCATTTTCCTCCCCGACATCGCCAATGTGGCCCTGAGCATATGACCCGTCCTCCTGGTGGTCGACAATCGTGGTGGATGACGCATGCGTGCTTTCGCTGCGATTCCCGTTGGCGCTTCCGCTGACGTCTTCCGCCTCATACTCATTACTTAGCTCGGGGATGCCCAGCAAGTCACCTGTTCGTGCTCGCACCCGGGGACTGTCGAGGTAGTACTCTTTGTTACTATGATGGTGGCGTTGTGGATGATGATACGAAGGCTCATTGCGACCGTTAGAGACGCCGTAAAGCTGCGAAGATGTCCCGTGCGAAGCGTTGATGAGTTCGTAAGTGTAAGTGGAGTAGACACATTCATCGAACGTCATGGCATTCGTCCGATGACTGTTCTTGCGTGCTTGCAGCCATTTTGTCAGCTCTCGCATGCGATAGGACCTGCAAAGGGTTCGCACACGAAGGATTATTAGCATGCACGGTCTTATGACCTTAGACGGCCTGCCAAGCTACTCACGTTGCTGTACTGTATGCTGTTACCCTGGGCAAGCTTGCTCGAGCTTTCCGCGTCAAGCGCCTCGCATCCCTTCGCATGGACCCTTCTGGAATCTGACTGAGCTGTGCATGTCTCTCTGCGAGTTCATCGTGATCCTCTTGGTCAACGTCGTCATCGCTGCTCTCCTCATCGCCTGACCCTCTTTGACTCTCAGTTGACAAGTGCACGATGGGCGAACCCCTGTGCTGATCGGGAGCGCCTGCATCTGGGAGAATCTTGAGCTTTCCTAGCGCCTTTGTTGATCTTGTGTCAAATCAACCAAAAGAAAGAGCGAAAAGATCAAGTATTCGTCATAAATCTTGAGAACACTCGCCCCACTCACCTCTGCGGGCCGGATCTCTGTTTCCCCTGGTTGCCATTCTGCCTCACGCCCCCAGCGTAAAAGCTCGGTAGCCGGTCGACCGACCCCACATGGCTTGGGCCCGGACGCCTTCCCTGACTACTTCCTTGGCGGGCGTTGTCACCCGCAGCTCCGCCTTGGTATCCATGCGAGCTGGGGCGCTTCTTGAGCGCAGAAGGCATCTTGATCGCCGACATTTTACTGGCGCCTGTCCGTCCGATGCGACAAGCAGAGTCCGCTCCCCACACGCGCTCTCTCGGCAGTAGTTCGCGATTCAAGGGGCTCAACACTTCTAGCTTATGCTAGTCCTTAAGGCTCGCGATGTCGACATATGTCTGTATCAGCCTTCCCTTTAAAGATCGTGGAGACGTGTCAACGTCAGTTGAACGCATCTAGGGCAGTGTATATATATATACACCACATGACGTGAGCTGGAGTAGGCAACAGTAGTAGTGGCCAGGGAGAGCAGTGAGCAGTCGAGTGCGTGCAAGATCGTTGCGTTCACGAATTCCGAGTTCCGCGTTTGATCGTCTGATATGCAGCCTCTCACTAGCTCGCTGTGAACTGGTCAAAGCTCAATGAAGAGATGGAAGGAAGAGATTGAGTTCAAGGCGAGGTCGGCGCGCATGTTATTTGAATGATGGTCTAGGACTTGGCGTGCTTTTCCAACAGCGACCGCACTGCGTGTGATAACAACAGCTCATTTACGTAGAAGCCCGCAGGGCTGCATAGGAAAGATGGCAGCACACCGTGCGACGGCGTCATCTATCTCCGCTGCCGCCACCGCCACTTCGTCCAGCAGCGGCAGCGCTGGAAGTAGTAGCAGCAAGCTTGGCTCTGCTTCGCGCCATTCTCAGTATGCAGCTGCTGCACAAGTATCACTGCGAGCTTCTCTTGCACAAGCCCGGCCACCAAGGCAGCCTTTCCCCGAGCTACCGCACGATCGACAACGTAATGCTCATCACGGCGTGGAAAATGTCGTTGAAGCCTCAGAACAGAAAGGTGCCTATATGGATCTCAAGGGAAAGTCCAAAGCACTCCACGATGAAGAAGACAGGAGCATCGAAGGCGAAGGCAATCTCACCTCATCCCTTCGGCGACGAAGTCCGGCAGCTCGCTACGGCATGACGCTGAACGGACGGATATCTCTGCCGCAAGTGTTGATAGATAGGACGCAAACTATCATGTCCAGTGAGCATGGTTTATTCAGAGGATTAAGAAGATTTCTCGCTTAAAATATGCATGTTTCCCTTCACACCCCTGCAGAAGCCAGTAAATCTGCTTTGAAGGCAGATTATGCGGCTCAGCAAGAGGCAGCCTCCACGTCTGGCACGTTCTCCAAGTATGCCTCCTCTACCCCCCCTCCTTCCGGCATTGCGACTCCCCGTTCCGTCGTCGCGCATTTCGCATTGAACTCTCCGTTCCGCTATGCAGCTATTCGCAGCGTATTTACTGAGGTGCAAAAAAGACTCGGGGGTGATCTACCTACCGCTGGCGGTAGCAGTCGTTCAGGCTGGAGTCCGCGGCGATTGATCGAATGGGACTGCAAGGGCGGCGAGGGCCTTTGGGCTTTTGAAGACACGTTTTCACAAGATGAGGTAATGGGGCCGGCAGAGTACCAAGGGTCTGACTCTGGCATGGGCATCCTGCACGTGGGTGCGGATCTGGCGGCACAGTCATCGGGAACGCCTTCACAAGCAAGCCGTTCAAGCTTAAAGGAGGACCAAGGCAAGGGGGCTTTCACATTTCCGTTCAAAGACAGGATCTATGCCACCTTCTCCTACCGGCCTCTCTACAGGACGGAAGATGCAAGCGCAAAGACACCCACTATCCTGCTTTCGGCATTCAAGCTGAGCGCACTCGCCACGGATCATGATAGGCAAGAGTACGTCAAACGCATGTGGAAACGGAAGGACGCGGAGGTGATCGTGATCATCGATTCCGCGACGCCGCGGGGCTTTGCTTGTGTCGCAAGCGCGCGATCTCAGCTCCTTGAGCTAGGAAATGCACCTGACAAATCGAGCAAGAAGGGACGGCGGGAGGTAACAGTCGTCGAGGACGGTGAGACCCTCACCATTGGAGACAATGTCTTCTTTCAGCAAGCTTCGGGAGAAGAAGGCGATATTACGCCATCGAGAGTTGGAGAGGACGAGCAGACACTAGAAATGGCTCATGTTGTGGCGCCTGTGAGTCAACAAGCTGGTGGATAGAAGAGCATCCGCAATGCTGATGACTAGATACACCTCGCGTTGACCATTGACATCAGTGCCCACACGATAAGCCTTGTCCACTGCTGCACCCCTTCGCTAGCTGGCTCCCGCCTTCATCGCCTTTGGGTAGGAACATGACCAGCTTCACGCGCGGACTGCCCGTCTGCAGCTTCGGGCAGAGTCTTCATCTACCGAGATACAGCCGCACCGCTCAGAGCCGCCGAGCCGCCGCTCAGGATGGCGAGGCGCGTTTCAGTTATATTGTCATCAGACGTGGGCCACGCCCGAGCCTTGAGGCTGGATACTCTTCGCCGGCTGTAGAAGACGGCACCCTGGAAACAAAAGATGCGCTTCAGGATGCTGCTGCACAACTTGAGGCCAGCTTTCGACTCCGACAGGCGGCGGCTAAGACAAAAGTGGGAGATATCGATGCGATCAGGCGAGGTGAAGTGGCAGGGCAGACAGCCAATTCGATTCGTCTGCTTTCCGAGATCGGGTCGCCTTCACAGGTATTAAAGAACGAAGAAGAGGCCGACGCGCAAGAGATGGCTCACGAGGCACGCGACAGATCGGAAGATGCGGCTGCGCGCAAGGAGCTGATGGATCTGATGCCTAACATTTTGCGCAAGATGCAAGAGGAAGCAGGTGTTGGTGCAGAAGAAATCACTAAAGAGCAACTGAAGGACGCTCTCGCCACTTTCTCCCTAGAAGGGATAGGTGCCTCTGCTGCTCATCAGAAATCGGGTGTCTCCGCTTCCTCAAGCTTCGGTGATGACGTTGCAGACTCTGCAGTTGTTGAGGAAGTCACACCTGGAGACCTGGAAGCGATGCGCCTCGAGGCTTACAGCTGGCCAAGGCTGGTGAAACCACCTCTGAAGAAAGGAGGGCACGTCACATTTGACGCATGCAACGCGTCAGGAGCTATCGAACGCTTCACCATCGCCAAATCGGCGGGGAGGCAAGCATACCAGGATGCGCGTAAGGCGCAATGGGGAGACCTTTTTCCCCACAGCAGCAAGAATGGGAAGGCGACGGTTCAAGTCGCACCTGCGCTCGCTGACGAGGCCACCATGGTGGCTCCGGTCCTTACGCGAAGAAGTGCAGCACCCGTTGGCACCAGCGTCGTTGCTAGTAGCGGCAGCCTAGAAGGGACGAGCGAGAAGGAAATGCTCGAGGGTCTCTTCGCCAGTGACGATGACGCTCTTAAAGCTCTTGAGGCAATCGAGCTTCCACGGGCTTCAGATCGCGCTCAGGAAGCGCGTGCAAAACCCCCTGCATTGCGCAAAGCAGCCCATACACTCATTGGCCCGGATGCTCTTGCCCTCGCGCGTGGAGAAAAGCTCCCGGCCAACATCACCAAATACAAAGGCCCATCTCGCCGGTCTGGCCGCAGAAGCATTGTTGAGTATGATGCCGCACCAGCAACCAATGGCGGCGAACAGAAGACCGCAAGGCGCCTATCGCGGAAAAGGTCAATGGGTGATTACGACAGCTTCCTCTAAGGGGAATGCCGGCATCATATTGTATTCTTACACGTGCGATCAAGGCCAATGCCCGCTTTCCCTTTGAACGATGCACATCAGATCAATTCTGGAAGTTTGACCAGAATGCCAGGCCCTTGGGTGGAAGACAGGTGCACTTGCTTGATGACACCCGAGGCTCTCCGCATCATGGCGGCGCTCTTCTTGGGATCGCGGGCCTCGGCAGCAGCTGCAGAGCCAGAGAAAATTGCAGAAGTGGTGCCAGCTCCGCCAGATACCTTGTCGACAATGGCAAGCAGGAAAGAGGTAATGTTCCGCTTGAGGTCCTCCGGAGTGAAATGAATGCGTCCAACGGCTGCGGCAAAGCAATGAAGTCAATTTTCAGGACCAGATGCAATTCGCTGTGAGACTGACACTCACCGCCTCGAACAACGCCTTGTCTATCCCCTCTCCAGTCCATCGCCCCTTTGGCCTCTTGAATAGCCTGCTGCATCTCTTCTGCAGTTGCAGCAACGGTGCCTCTCTTTGCGCTGGGCATCAAGCCACGAGGACCGAGGCTTCTCGCCAGTTCCTTGCTGATTTGTGGCATCAGCGATGGCGTTGCGAGCACCTTGCTAAAGCCTGAGATGCGATTTGAAAGCACATCATTGATAATCTCCCCGCCGCCAATAATGATTTCACTCTCCGAAGCTGCTGCTGACTTTGCATTAAGCGCGGTTTGAGCAGCTGGCGAACCTGATTCGGCAAAGATGAGCAGCTTCTCGGACTTGGTTCTTGGATCACGTGGTAGGGCTAGACGGCCCCTCAGTGAATTGGACTGATGCGAGTCAACAGAGGTGACAATGTGCAGCTCGAATGCGTTCAACGGTCGAGCGATTTCAACAGCCTTAAGTACCCTGATCGCTTCGGCCAGCGGCATCGATTCGTCCTTCTTGATTGCATTCTGACCTGACTGAGCCGCTTTCTTTGCCTTCATCCGAGCATCCTTTCCCTGACCGGGACGAGACTTGCCGCATACCACTGATGATGTAGAGAAAGTAGCTCCCCTGCCGAAACAGGCTGAGGAGCCCGCAGGATGAGCGTAGGAAGTCGAGGCGAAGGCTTGCTGGACCACTCGATATGAAGAGGAAAAAGACGAGGGCGACGGTATAGGCCCGACACCGGCCCTGAAGACTGCACCAGCAGTCAAAATAGTGGTCCGCATGTTGTAGCCAACCTTGCAGTGCGATTAGAAACTCACTGCCGCCTGCTCGAATGATGATTGCGAAATTCCATGCTGCAATATCTTCAACCAACCAAAGCTGGAAGGAAAGCGGAGCATCGCTCTTTCGAAGCTTTTCGTCATTTCCCTCAGCAAAGAAGAATACGGTCACGTGACAATCGTTGAACGCGACGCGTTCTCTTCGACTCAACAAACTTCACCGAAATTCTCGCCTGAAAGTCCAAACGCGTCAGGTCATCCACAGCTTGTAACGTGTTTCGTCCTTGTTCCACTAACAGCACGTCGTACACCCGCTTCGTGCACAATCCATTACACAGTCGTCTTGCAGGTGGTCTTCTTCTCCTAGCTACCATATACCACTTCCTACTGCTGGTCACTGACAAACTCTGTGTAGCATTTGATCACGGTCTGACAAAACAGTCGGAGGTAGACGAGATGCCTCTCTTCGCCTCCAATCGCGCCGCCAACACCTACGGCGGCAAGCGACGCCAACAGTCTCAACAGACACGTCTACAAGTATGGCAAGACCCACCTTCCGACGATGAGGCGGTAGCTGGTCCTAGTGAGAAGGTGACAGCCATGAAAACGCTTTCGAATTCATCGAGAAAGCAGCCTCTCGGCCAGCGTGATAGCAATGGAAATATGATTGAGAACAGATATCAGCCTTTCAAGGCACACAGTGCTAATAATGATGCCGTCGTTGCCCAAGCTAGCAAGGCTACGGGAACCAAGCATAGGCGAAAAGAGTCTATCGGCAAGGAAAACGTTGCACCAACACCTGTAGCAAGGCAAGGTGTCAGCCCGACCGTATTCCGACGCGGAAATTCCGACAAATCTACCAAGGCAGCAGTCGTTGCAGCTGTTACGAACTCAGAGATTTGGACTCCTAGCAAAAGGCGCACGCGCCGACCACGACGCCAAGCAGCTCAGAATGTGAGCAGTTTCGATGAAACAACTAAGGAAAGTGACCTCTCCTCGCACATGGACTCGCTCAGCATCATCGATGACAGCGATACGTCTTTTCGACCGGAACCCTCCTCACCTGCAATCAGTTTGGGAGGCTCAGTTTCCAGGCCAAGGCGAGCTGTACCGACACTCAGCAAGCTCAGACATGCGCTCGCGGACATCTCAGCAGACACAATCGCTTCTGACGATAATCGGGCATCCCCGAGCCTGAAGACCGGGCGGATTGATGCTTTCAGCGAGTTGCTTGCACTTTGCAAGCAGCAACAGGCACTGGACTTTAATGACTACGTCAACCAGCTGCTGCATTCAGAGGCAAAAGAAGCGGAGAAAGTTATTGTCAAAATTGGCGAAGCCAGCTTTTCTGAGGTGTATCGCGTCCAGTCCCGCGAGACGGCTCGCGGTAAGGCCTCCAGGAGAAAGATCACGAGCGAGTCGCAACTAGGCAAGGTGCTCAAGGTCATTCCATTGCGTTCCGCGGATCCGTGGGATTACTCTGCACTGAACAGTAAGGGCGAAAGACTGCCTGCCATGACGACCCCAGACGGCGCTTTGCGCGAAGTTCGCGTCACCAAAGCCGTCGGGGACATCGACTGTGAAGGTGACGACAGACCCACCGAAAATGGCTTTGTCAAGATTTTGAATTGCCATGTCACAAAAGGAGTTTACGCGGAACGTCTTGTGCGAAGCTGGAACGATTTTGATGCAGCCGTTGAAAATGGATCGGAAAACAGAACACCGGGTGTGTAGATTCTTGGAGTTCAAAGGTGAGGTAGTGGAGCTGATCACAATCACTCGGTTTGTGCAGAGCGCTTCGAAGAAGAGCAAAAGTACCTGGTGGTCGTGTTGTCCGATGGCGGCACCGACCTTGAGCACTTTGGGGTCTCGAGTTGGGAGCAGGCTGCAAGCATCCTTTGGCAGGTCGTCACCTCATTGGCTACTGCAGAGGAGCAGAAACAATTTGAGGTATGCCGAATCTTTAATCTGACGTGCAACATGCAGCTTACTGAAGTCTTTGCAATGCAACAGCATCGTGATCTGCACTGGGGAAATGTGCTCGTTCGATCAACACCCCACACGGCTCAGGACCAGCACTCGATCGCAACATTGAGCCAGCCTTCTGCAACAGGCGTCGAAGCGATTATCATTGATTTCACCCTATCTCGCATCAACGTCGGCCCGAAACAAAACGTCTACGAACAGCTCTCCGACGAACAGCTCTTTGGCGGTACCGGAGACATGCAGTTTGATGTCTACCGTCAGATGCGCGACGCAACGCAATCAGATTGGGAAGGGTTCTATCCTATCACTAATGCGTTATGGCTGCGCTACCTCGTCGATAAGCTTTTGCACGCGAAAGGCCTGAAGGAACCTGTGGTTTCTGGCCGCCGCAAAGCGCATGCAGCGGAAAGCTTTGCGTACAATAGTCTGAGAGACGCTCAGCAGCAGCTTGCATCAGTCAAGCCCGATGATTGTGGCTGCACTTCCGCAAAGGAATTGCTTCACTGGGCCGTGTCGCGCAACAGCAGCAGTAAATAGTAGTGTGTCTTGAACTGGAAATCAAGTATGGACGTTTTCTGTTGTACAATGCATGAAATGCGGCACCCAATACAATGCAATTTCATCAATCTGTGCCGACAGCCCATACCTCCAAACCGAGACATTCAAATCTGCCCTCTTTCGCATCGACCGAGGTTGTTGCAGAGCTGCCGTCGCAAAGAATGTCGTTGTCGAATGCAGGACAACGCGACGAAACGCCGTTTTCAAGCGCATCGTCGATCCAAAGGCCAAAGCGACCCTCGCCACCTCCAACCGAGAGGAAATGCGCTTCCGTGAAGATCATGTATTCATTGCGGCCGGTCCACTTGTAGACTTTCAGTCGCTTGTGCGCATCGGACGAGTCGCTCTTTGTATCAACATCAGGAGCTTGCGGCGAATTTTCGCATGTAGTCTTCCACAAGAAGCACTCGCCACTGCCATAGTAGTGCGGTTGAGGGCGAAGACGCTCGTTGACGAAAGCGCCAAAAACGTTGTCCTCTGCATCACGAATTCCGATCACAAGACCTGCATCTGATAGGGCCAGGCCACCGCCCACATGCTTGACTCTGCCACCACCGCTGCCGACGCCGAGTGCACCTTGCGTTTCAGCGCTAGCACCACGTAGCCAGCCCTCGGCGTCCTGAAGCCCCGCTACAGATTTCTTCGCTAAGGTTGGGTCCAGTGCTTTTGCCACGTTATGATAGAGGGTGCCCAGGCTGATGCCGTGCTGATCAAGCGAGTAGACCAGCCTCCATGTCTTGCCGAGCTGTAGCCGTGGAGGCAGTGCCGCCTGGATCCGCGCCGCATGCCATTGCTCAATGACCTCCGAAGTCTCTTCACGGCGTCCCGTCAGACTGACAGGGATGTACTTGCGGTGCTTCTCCTTCTCCTCCATCTTCCAATGACCAGTGTTCCATTGCTGGTCAGTTGCGGAGAGATATGCATCAAATCCAGGCGCGCCTGAGATGGGAAGTGAGCCTGCTCGCGGTGGTGGATAATGGTGCGGTGCAGAGCTACTGTCCGAGCCATTGGCGTGCCAGCTACCGGTCCCACCTCCGAACGATGGGGAGAGCGAGCTGTTCGAGGCTGAATGTGACTTTGTCGGTGTACTGTCAGGTTGACTAATTCGCCGCGCGCCCTCGTTCTGGACAAGGGGGTTAGCTGACTGCTCGGGCGTCTTTTGGCCGCGTGGGTCGGGTGGAATGGTTCGCTGTACATGCTTGGGCAACATAGCCGCTTGGAAGTCGTGGAACTCCTCATCATCGGGAGGCACCAGAAAGTCTGAAGCGCTTGGAAGGTGGCTCATGACGTCTCCCGCACGATGTCGCAGTGTACCGAGTGTCTTCTTCAGTCCGCCCGCAAAATGCCCAGCCGTTTCGGACCAGCTGCTGGACCCCGCGCTCTGAGGCGACTTGGCTTGCGAATCTTCGTCGCCAGTTAGATAGTCTAACCACCCTTGCGACTCTTTCGCCTTCAGATCCATTGGTGTTGCCTGCGCCTCTGTCATGTGCTCCAGCGCTGTACCTGAAAGCCCCGCTGGTTTCCCGGCTCCGCTCGGCTGCGCATCTATCTCAAAAGCCGCAAAAAACCTTTCATCTGCGCTCGAGTCAGCTCGATGGGATCTGGAGAATTCATTTTCAATGGCTTCGCTTTTGGACTCCGTTAGGCTGAGCTTGCGCTCGACGTCTCTGAGGTCGATCATCGGTGGGGACGGGACTCGAGCGGCTTTTTCCCTTGCATCTTGTTCCAGCGCGCGAAAGAATGCCTCATCTTGAGCGCTCGTTTCAATCGGCTGTCCGCTCGGCGGTGCTGGAAATCGAGTCTGAATTGGTGAGAACGACGCCACGACGTCTCCATCGGTCCAATCATCAGCGGACGGTGGGGGCTGCGGATGCTGCGCGACGGTCTGTCCGATGGGTCCTGCTTCGTCGAAGTTGGGGGAGACGGCAACCATTTGCGCGCCTTCGAAGTTCCCGAATTCATCTGAAGGCTGCCATGTATGGGCCGCCAAACTTTTAGGTAAAGGCTAACAGGTGCAAATGGAGTAAGTGAAATAGTTTGAGTACATGTAGAAATTGTAAGCACTGGCTTACCTGGGCTTTGGCGTTGTGGCCTGTCGGATCCATGTTGAGCATCCTATACCTTGCGCCGCTTACTCGTCCATGCGCCTGCGACGATGCCACTCCATTTAGCATACACGATCACTTGCCCATATGCGAACAAAGGCACCTGCGTCGGGTGTTCGTAGGGAGGCAGAGAGGGTCGGCAGGCGATTGAAGTCTGCAAGAGCCTGGGGTGATGCTTGCGAGTGACGGCTTACTCCACCCTACCGCTAGCACATGAGAGCTCACGCTGCACGCGTCATCTACACTGCCGACAAGTCGATATAGCGAGTATCTCGAAATAAGTCTCGAATCAGAGTCTTCAACCCAGTGAGAACGAGCAGGACTGCCATTTTACCGTTCAGAACTAAGATGCGATGCTATGCTATACAATATGGAATACAGATGGTCTGCCCTACGCAGAAGCCAAAAGGCGTCCAAGCAGCGCAGCCTTGTCTGGACCATCCTCAATGAATGAATCTTCCAAAGCCATTAGATTGAACTGGCGGAAATCGTCCATGCCCAACACCGGCCAAGTCTTCTTGATGATTAAATACTCTTCCGAAAGGGAGCTGCCAAAAACAGCACTATCATCCGTACAAACCGAAAATCGAGGTCGTGACGGAGGGCCAGATGTCAAAATTGGCCCGCCTCCTTCTCTGCCCAGCTGCCAGCGCTGCAGGTAGCTCTGGCAATGATGCAAGTCGTACCGTGCAACGCTTCGCGAGAGGATGTTGGATGTCAAGCAAAGCTCGACGGGAATGTTAAGCTCTTGCAGCCGTTGCTCATTCTCCGCGGAGATGAAGCAAACGTGCCCAAACCTGTCAGGCCGAAAATCGAGCATTTCTTGCATCTCCTGATCACGGTCAGGCAATTCGCCGGCATGCAGCGTGACACGGAGTCCAGCGGCCTTTGCTGTCGTCAATGCTTCTTTCCACTCGTCCCATTCACCCTTGCTTGGGTCCCCGCTGAGGTCTATTCCAACAACACCGCGACGGCGAAATTGAAGAGCAAGCTCCACGCATCGCTTTGCTGCAACTCTGCCCGCCCGTCGGTCTATCGAGAGCAAAAGTCTTGCGACGGTTCGTTTCTTAGACCTTGCTCGGCTGCTTGCGTAATCCTCCATACCTTCCAGGACCGCATGGCAATAGTCCTCCTCAGTGAGGCCGTGATCCGGCTGTGCTTTCGGTGTCGTACGAATCTCCACATACGCAACGCTGTCGGCTTCCATGTCCTCTAGCACCTCGCGCGCCACTCGCATGATATTTGTTTTCCCGCGCACAGACTTGTGAATGACGTCGAATACGGCGAACATCTGTGATAGGGTCCTTGCGTCGTTATTGGCAATGTGCGCCGCCTTGTCGTCTAGCCCAGCTGCTTTCGCTAGCTCGGCAAGCGTCGATCTCCGGATTGAGCCGTTCAAATGTGCATGCAGCTCGACCTTTGGCAATGTACGGCAAGCCTTAACAGTCTCTTCGTCGCTCTGATCACCTTGGTTAAGCTGTACTTGAAGGAAAGTAGTCGCGCATCCTGCCCAAACGTCGGTGACTTGCCCTTCTTCGTCGTGGAGTATGGGTTGTGGAAGGCTCCGGTCCTCTTCGTCACCTTGGCCAAGGTTACCGTGCTCGTTCCATCCCCATGCGACAACCCTGCGGCGGCTGTGATTCCTTTCTGTCAGAAGAGCGACAACATGCTCACTGCCGCAGGCAATGTGCTCTGTGATCGCGTCCACAGGCAGCAGAGCATCATCAAGGCCAGTTGCGTTGAATGTTCCGTTTCCGAGTTGACCCTTGGAGTTTGCTCCAGTTGCGAGCACGCGCCTACCATCACCTTTCGACAGAAGCAATACCGTGGTATCCCAGCAGCAGCTAACGTCCAAGATGCTGCTTTCGGCTACTCGATCGCCGGCTTCTTTCGCAGCAGTGCCGCATAGATACAGCTTGTGCTTCCCGCCACGCTTGATCAGGACCGCGCTATGTCGCTTTCCAGCTGCGACGCTGATCGAGATGCTCTCGGTGCCATCGGTGCACAGCGTAAGGATGGACTTAGGCAACCACTGCACCTTTGGCTTGTCTGCGCTGGCTCCCCGGGATCCACCGTCCTGCTGAGGCGAAGCGAGCGAGAGCTGACCGTGCCTCGCAGCCCCCCAGCCAATGACCTTGTGGCACGTTTGCGTTCCACCTGACTTGACGTAGCTGACATGGCAAAGAGCGTGGCGAAGCCCGCTAACCAGTGAATGGATTCGCAAGCAAAAAGCCTCTGAGTTGTCGGCTAACTCAGGGAGGATAGCCGCGCGGATTGGAAGAAAGCGAATCGTATTGGTTAATACAGACCTGCTAGCTGCACCGGTCTGCCCACAGCCTAGCTCGTTGAAGTCATTTTCACTTCCGAGCGAAACGATGAGGTCGTCTGTTTCTTCTCGCAAATGAACGAATATGATGAAGGTGGAGTTCCAGCCGCATCCAACAAAATTTGGACGGTAAGTGTCTGCTTGGGCAGCACCATGTCCGGCCTCAACGAGCCACTGTCTCCAATTGACCTTGAAAAATGCCGATGATCCCTCGTCGAAGTTATGCTTGCACGCGTCATTGATATTCGGTGGGCCGCACTGTCCGAGGGAGGTGTTACCCGCGAACCAGAGATCCTTCAATTGAGGATCACGGCTCGACGCGAGCAGTGCTATGGTGTGATTGGCCCCAGAGGCAAGCTGTTGCACTTTCCAGCCTTCGGGTGGGAAGTGCTCGCTATCATCACCGTCATGTCGATTCTCAGCATCGTCGCGTCCTCGAGACAATCGACAGCGCGCAAGGCGGTGAGCGTCGCTGCAATGCCCGAGACCGAGCTGCCCGGCCGCGTTGGAACCGCAAGCAAGTAGCAAATGCCGGCCATTGCTGCCCGCTGCCATGTTGGCTCATTCAACAACAGCGCATTCTCTCAAGCATCCCAGGCCCCAGGGATCGCATGCGAGAAGCGCAATAAAATATACTCGTAAATACATCGATGTCTTTGTTGCCTCTTCTGATGAGTGCTGAGAGATCAAGTGGTTCAGCAAGCGTCTACGGTTCCCGCATAAAGTAAATGCTGCCTCAAAGACCCCTCTCGAGTCCCGTGGGGATCCGCAGCTCTCGCTGGTCTGGCGATGGTCCAGCGGACTTCATCGCGGTAGCAGTGGAGGGAAGTATCAAGTTAAGGAGACAGTCGTGAAAAGTCGATTCATTGAAAAATTTTGCGTACATGTACATTGGCCGATGTGACAGGAAGTTTCAAGTTCATTATGTCCTCGTCGATCAGTCGCGTTGAGACTACCAATTTTTTGGTTTCTTCTTCTTATCCCATTGCCCCCTGCGCTTCTGTCTCTCACTTCAAAGCTCGTCCCTGGCCTTGGCAGACGCGGAGCTGACGCTGGCGCTAGCCGCACTGGCTGCGCTGCTGGCCGAGATGCTAGCACGCTTGGCGTTCTGTTCAACCTGGCCTCCAACGTCCTGCACACCGGCAAAGACGTGTCGCACGCCCTCCTTGACGTTGTCCGCAATCTGGCCAAAGAACGACTTTTGCGGCACATAGCGTGCACGCATCTCGCGCAGCATGTCATCGCGCTTCTTTGGGAACTTGTTAGCGTCCATACCGCTCTGGTAGAGGTACAGGCGGATGCGCGAGTCAGGCCACTCGAGGTAGTCCTTTGCGCTGTCGACAGCGCTCTTGCCTTGCTTCTCCATTAGCTTGATGTAGTCGTCACGCTTGGCCTGGAAGCCTGACTTGATATAGCCGTTGTTAATGAGCCAGCTGCGCATGTCGCTGTCGCGCCAACCCTTGTAGATTTCATCTTTGCTGTTCTTGTACGCGTTCTGGATAAGCGAGAGGTACGTGTCGCGTCCCGCCTGGAAATCGGACTTGATCACGTTGTTCTTGATCAACCAGCTGCGCAGGTCGCCGTCCTTCCAAGTGCTAAAGACGTCGTCCTGCACTCCGTAGTAGTAATCCTTTGCCAGGGACAGGTACTCGTCACGCGTCTTCTGAGCAGGGGTCTTGATCACGCCGTGGTCGACGAGCCAGTTGTGCTATGAAATTGCCGAAGAATCAGCAGCACGTCCGGGTTGCTCACGGAAAATCAACCTTTCGCAAATGCAATTCGACTCACCAAGTAAGAGTTGCTAAAAGCCTCGTACGGTACATTCACTGTCTTCGAGTATGCACTCTTCACGCTCCTGACCAGTTCGTCGCGCTTCGCCCCCGCTGGTGTCTTGACGATGCCATTATTCACAAGCCAAGAGCGGAGCTCATTGTCGCTCCAGGTAGAGAAGACCCAGTCGGAAGTGTCGTTGATGTTGTCGTTGACGGCCTGAGTGGCTTGGGCAAATGCACCCGAAACAGACTTGCTCGCACCTGACGCCAAGGATGATCCAGACTTAGAAACGCTCGAAGAGCTTTTGCTGGCCTCCTTTGCAGCGCTCGAGCTGGACTTGCTAGCGAGGCTGCTCGCGCTACTAGCACTGTTGAAAGCGACACTAGATGCGCTCGAGACAGACTTAGAAGCAGGGTGGTAAAGGTCGGAGAGCGCGTAGCTGCTTGCACTGCTAGCAGTGTCGGTCAAAGCGACACGCGCAGCAGACTGGTAGGAAGATGCGGCGCTCCAAGCCTTCTCAGCAGCACCCTGAACGGCAGAGAAAGCGTCCGACGGGGCGGCGGCGAGGCCAGAAGAGATGCTGGCGTAGTTCTGCTTGGCAAGAACAACGAGTTGCTCTCTGGTGTTGGACGGCGCAATGATGCCCTGCTCGAGGAGGTACGAACGCAAGTCGGATCTTCAGGTTCACGTGGTACAATGAAGAGGATCAGTAATAACCGCAAGGGTAAAGATCGAGCAAACGTAGGGCTTCCTAGCATGCAAATCTACTCACTCGGTCCATGAGTCAAAGGAAGCCTGGAAGACCTTTTGACCGCCAAACGCAGTATCCTGGATCCAATCAGCCTTGACACCGGCCTGACGATTGGAAGCGACAAGTGCCAGGCAGAGTACCAGGGTGCTGGCCGAGATGAAAGTTGGGTTGACCATCGTGCTCTGGTGAAATGGTGAACAGCCCGACGCGGGGTTGAAGTCGTGGAACTTTGCCTCCTGAAAGAATATAAGTGTGGGTATCGGTTAAACCAAAGCTATTTCGGTAGCGTGTGGTGGCAAGAATATGAAGGTCAAAAGTGCTGCAAAGCGAAGATGGACACTGCATATTCTACAGATGAGACGAGAAAGGCAAGTAGTAGAAGTCATCCTCCACGCATCACGCCCTTGCAAGCATCATCATCAAAGTCCTCTATGACGAACGAGTGGATTCCCCTTTGCGGGACAGCTGCTAGCGTGCTAATCTTTGCTGTGGGGTGCGCGCATCCATTCGCCAATCAGCCGTCAGGTCTCCGCATGACGAAAACAACTAGCAAGTGCTAAGTCAAGCCAGGGCCCTGCCTGCTGCTTCTGTGCAAATATGCACATTCCATTCGACTTGAGTACCTGCTCATGGCGTCCCCGCACTCCACTTAGTGTGATCTCTAGTACACTATTCGCCGCAGTCCGAGGTGAACCCTTTTCGCCAAAGAAATGCAGTCCTTCTCCAAGCAACCAGACCCTGACGTCATCGTCAGCCGCCAAGACGTGGTGGAGATAACAATTTCTTTCTTTTTGAGAAAAAGATGTGAAGGAAAACAAAGAAATGGAGGCCCATGACGAGGATGTTGAAGTCCACCTTCGTCTTTGCAGTCCTAAATTCAGCAAACTGATACTCCCCATTCGTCCTACACTTTTCTCCACGCGACCTATGAGGATTCGCACTTGTCCGCCACACTATTCGAGTGATTTTGTTCATATTAGTCCATTGTGATACACACGATTCAATAGCCTGAGCGTAGCGCGCCGAGCCGCGCCCTGTAGGAGGGATGCCTGCGAGCTGCAGACTAGATACTCGGCTAGGGCATCACGGCCATCGCCCTGTCACAGAGTCAGTAACTCCGTACAGGCGGCCGTTCAAGTCGTGAGAGTAGGCCTGGAAACGGTCCCAGTCGACCAAGATCCTCTGCGTTTAGAGACCAGTAGCTATGGCCCAGTGAGTATATTCAACAAGGACTGCCACGTATTCCTCCAGCAGGCCTTGTACTTGTCCCAGTGATATTCACCAAAGCATAAACGTGAGCCAGGGCTGAGGCTAGATGTGCCCATTCTAGTCATCCTTCTGCGACCTTTATGTGCGGCCTTCTTGGTTTCAAAGCAACCGTTCGAACGGGGTTGCCGCATCTGCATCAATTTCACAAGTCGATGGGCAGAAGGTGACGGTCACTTGTATGGAAAGTCGGCAGACGGAAGACAAAAGGGACCAGAGGTGAGGAGACGTTGAAGAGAAATCGCAAAACCAATTGTCCATTCAGCGAGGGGCGATGCGTCGTGTAAAATGATGGTACAGGAGACTACGACACATATAAGGGAGTAGTAATGTATGATGCTGAAAAGTGGTGTAAGAAACCACCAGGAAAGAGTCGTTAGTGTAGATGAAAGCAGTGAAGCGCGCAATCGCTGCTTCATGAATGAGACGAAGCGAAGATGAAAGCAAGAGCCTGAAAGGTAGAAAAAGGTTACAGCTACCGGAACCGCATTATAGCTGCTCGTGCGACTGGGGTAATTGCGTTGCTCTTGATGTGATCGTCCTGAATGGAAGAGGAAAGTCGCAGTTGCTGGACATGGAAAGTGCGTGCACACATTCCTTCTTTCGTTCGGCGCTTCAGATCATGTTCGCCTGTGCAGCAGGTGCAGAAGGAGTAGCCGGCGCACCCTTAAGCGCTCCAGACGCGCCCGAACCGGTACTAAACACCCTTGTCACGACGCTGCCAACGCTCGCGTTGGCGTTCCCACTGACACCGGCTAGTTTGCCGTTGCCCAGCTCCGACACAAAAGCTGCAGCGACGCCGTAGCTCCCGCTCATCTCCGTGCTGGGCGTACGGACGCTCGCCGCTTCGCCCATCGATTCGCTCGTGGGTGGCGACAGGTCGCCATCAGCACCTTGCGAGCCGACGCTCGGGCTAGACGACGGCGCGCGATGCTGTGGCTGTTGGTGTAACTGCTGTCGAGGCTGTGCGGAGCTGTTGGACAAGTCTAGCTTGCGACCCGCATCCGCATTGTTGCTGGCAGGAGCACTGGCATTTGCAAAGGCTGCTGCTGGTTGAGTCGCTGCGTGTGTAGCAGTACCCTCTGGTCTTAACCCGCGCGCCTGTTCCTGCAGCGACGTTTCAGCCGATGCGACGCTGTGGAACGTTGTCGCTGGCGAGTTTGTGCGGCTCCCCGGGGTGGACGGCGCTCCGCGAGCAGCGGCACCCTGATCCACCCTTTGTTGCGCTTTGGTGAGTGCGGCCTTGTTGACCGGCGGCATGGATGGCGTCGTCGCACCGGATGACTCGGCACTGTTCTGCTGCGATGACGTTCGCGAGTTGCCACCGAAGCGACTCATGAAACGCGACAGCCTGCCAGAGCGTGGTGACGATTCCGACTTGGAGCGCCGTCGCACGATATGGCATGCATCAGCTTGTACCTGTATGGAGGCGGAAGACCCCACAGGCGCGGCTGCTGAGCCATTCCGTGCGACAGGACTGGCAGGCAGCGGCGGAAGACTTGGCGCAGTCGCAACTGACGGCTTTAGGCTCCCATCGTGTAGGTCAACCTGACTCTTGCGCCTGAGACTGCCAAAGAAGGACATCCGCGACTGTTGCTTCGACATGGCAATTGTGTTGACCGACAGCGTCGAGCGCCCGGCTCCAGAGGACTGCGAGAGTATGGACATGTCTGCTGCAAATTCTTGTTGCTTCGCACCCGATTCCTTGGCTGATTCATTGGAAGCTGCGGATAATTGGCGCGGAGCTGTGGGCCGTGTCTCCGTCCGTGGTCCCGCATCTTCTGCAGAGGCCGCTGCAGCAGATGGCCTCGACGCGTCCTTATCTTGCCTCTTTTCTGATGCCTGTGCCTTCTCATGCACCGCCATTTCCTGCGCCTTGGCCTTCTCGCGCAAATTGCTGTTGCTGTGCGTCGGTGTGACTGAACGACTCGGTGGTCGGCTGTTGCTCCGACTACCTCCGCCGAACGGACTGGACCAACCGGACCTGGATTGCTTGACGAGTCCCTGCGCTGCCGAGTTGGGATCGTTCATCGACATGGATATGACAGCCTTCTTGAGGTGCTTTGAGTCGTTCGAGCCGATTGATGCGTGTCGGCTGCTGGTGCTGTGCGTTGTGATCGGTTGGCCGGGCAGAGAGCTGGTCTCGAAGAGGGATTGGTCCCGGGAGACGGGGAAGCCGAAGGGATCTAGGCCGATCGCGTCCATTGGGTCGAGAGGCAGGCGGCGTCCGAGCGAGGGGTACGGTCCGTCGCCAAGGCCGGTGAGCATATCCGGTGGCAAACTGCCGAGCTGCGAGCGAGTGCTGGTGTAAGGCGTGCCAGGCATCGAGCGTGTGGTGCGCGGGATGCTACCGACGCTGTGTATGGACATCGAGTCGAGCGAGCGTGTCTCATTGGCATTCTGCGCATCCAGGAAGAAGAGGGAGAGAAAATCAAGGTCAGCCTATGCAGCTGGCGGAGATATGCACGCCAATTCTTACCATTGCAAAGCCACTCCCAGGTGGCGACGAGCGTGTCATCGCGCTGTCCGGCACAGCGCTAGCCGGGAGAGAGTTGGGCTTGATCTGCGAAAGGGGGCCGAGACCGCCTCCCAGGACATGCCCACTGGCGGAAGATGTGGCGCTGCCGGAGCTGCCGCCATGGAAGCTGATCTGACTCTGATTAGACGGAGTCATGAACATCCCACCACCACCACCGCCGCCGTTGCCGCCGACGCTGGCGCTGCCGGGATTGCTGTGCCCGTGCGCTGAGTTGGCGCGCGAAGAAGACGACATGAGCTGCTGTGTAGGCATCTGCATGAGCTGCGCGCTGATCGGTGCTGAGAAGGGGAAATGGCTTACGCCCTGTGAGAGGTGCTGATCTGCAAGCGCCTGTGCGGCCAGCTCCGTAGCGAGCAGGTCCAGCTCGCGCGTGTCGGCCCATCTACGTCTACGACCGGGTACGCTCGTCCCCTCCTCCATCGCCGCTTTGCTATTCCCATTTCCCGGCGTCCCTCCACCACCTCCTGTCCTTGGCCCTTCAGGCGGTGGAGTACTAGCACGCGACGGCCCGCGACTGCGCGTCTGCCGCTTGTCCTCCTTCTCCTTCTTCTCCTTATGGAAGCTGGGCATGGAGAGCAGGCTGCGTCGGCGGGAGTCCTTGACCGAGTCTTTGCTGCTTCCATGGACTTCGCTTGACTGACCAGCGCTTTTGGCATCTTCACTTCTGTTACCCCTCTCGGTAGCCACGGCTGCAGCCGGGGCCTTATATGCAGAAGGCGGCGCACTGCCGCTACTGGCGACTTTGGCCGGCCCAGTGCCGTTGCTGCTTGCGCTTCCGTTACCATTCAAATTTGGTACTAGCTGCTGATTCTGCTGCGGCATCGACCTCTGGGAAGGCGGACCAACATTGAGAGCGGTAGACTGCGGGTTGAGAGTCGTAGCTCGGCCCATCGCAGCGCTTCGAGCCTCCTGCAGCACTCTCTGCGCCGCCTCGTTGACGACCCGCTCTGACAGGCCCCTTGCCTGCTGCGGCCGGCCGTTGACGAAGACAGACCCCGAGACGGGCGATGCGCTGCCGGCACCGGCACTGGTGCCGCGGAGCGAAGCCTGGCACATCTGCTGCGCTGTAGACGAGGAAGGCGATGTGGAAGCATCAAGCGGAAGTGACGCTGTTGCTGTGGCGGGGCGCAGGGGCGCGCTGCCAGGCGCATCGCGCGGTGACGAGGGTGACGCTTGCAAGCGGCTCGAAGTAGGAACAGACTGGAAACCCATTGCAGCAAAAGCCTGCGCGTTGGCCTCCTGCTGCTGCACCGCCTTGCGCGCCGCGGGGAACAGCACGGCACTGAGGTCAGAGTTATTGGCGAGCGCGCGTACGGCAGCCGTGCTGCCCATGCCGGCGATCTCCTGCAGCTCCTTGATGTTCGACTGCCGATGCGATCGCGCCGCGCCAGTTCCCTCGGCAGGGCCAGAATCTGTTGCTGCTGATGCGGAGGCTAATGTTGATGACGCTGCTGGCGCGTCGTCCAGAGCGCCTATCTCGTCCTCGAGCTCAGGCCCGCCCTCACGCGTGGGCGACGACTGCATGAAAGCATCATCGTCGGGGTTGGCGCCATACACGCCGACGGCATTCCAGTTGACACCGCTCTTGAACTTGCTCTTCGGCTTCGCAAGGTCAACCATGTCCGCCTTGGGCGATTCGCTCGCGCGATTGTTGCGTTTCGATGAGGAGGACTGCGAGTGGGTGCTGTCGCGCGATGGGAAGAGCGCAAGGTCGTTGGACGCTGAAGAGGACGTGCGGCCACCGCTGGTGATGCGCGAGAGGAAGCCCGAGCTGCGCCGGCTCCCTGACCGGGGTCGCCCTATGATTGGGGAAGGCGGACCACCCGATCTGGGGGAAGATGTCGGCTCGGGTGAGGACGACGCGGGAAGCGGCGATTGAACTGCTACAGGTGAAGACTTCATGGTCGCTCCAGGGTAGGCGGATGGGCTCGCTGTCGCGGCGGGCAACTTGGTCGCCGCCGCAAGAACAGATGATTTTGGCACGGGCGGCGCGTTATCATCTGCCGTAAAGCTGGCGCCCGAGCGCAAGGTCGTCGACCTCGGCGGCGCCGCTGCGCCTCCATCGATAATCGCATTCGCCAGCCGGTCCTTCGAAGACTTGTGTTTGAGGCCAGCTGCAGGATCAACAGTGCCGGATGGGCTTTTGGAGCGTGCAGAGGGACTCTTGGACCGGCGACTCCGGGGCTTTTCCTCGTCCGAGCTGCTATCGTCTGGCTCCAGCAGGCCACTAATCAATGTCAAGTCCTCGATCGGCGCAATGAGCTGAGCAGGTGGCAGCTTTGGTGCTGTTGCTGTAGGACTCATGTCGCCCACCCGCTGCGGTTACGCCCGCCTCTTTGGCGGGTGCGAGGTTTGTTGCGTTCTGAGCGCGATGACCATGTACGAGGGTACCAGGGTAGAATGGCAGATATGAAGAGAAGTGCATGCAAAGCAAGCAGATAATGCAGGTAAATGTGATAGAGGGGCCAAGTCATGGAAGGGTAGTGGAAGGGAACAGGGAGACAAGAAGGAATCGGTCCTGTCGTCAGCACTGCCATGCCGCATGCCTGTGGGCTCGGTGCCGCCGCCCCACTCACCTCGAACCACTTGGTCAAGCAACCCTCGCCAGAGCAGACGACAGGATGTATTCAATGGAATACGAAGTAGCGGATGCTGCTGCTTGTCGTCGAAGAGCCAGCAAAAAAGAAGCTTATGCCTTGAGGGCGACAAGATATAGGATTGACGTGATCGGGACGGTTTGTTGGAGTGCTTGATGCTCCGTCAAATTGCAACACGAGCGGGCAGGCCGGAAAGTGCCCGTGCGACCGGGGAGTGGGGGATCAGGGGTACTCAACGGCAGTTCTCGCCAACCAGCATCGATGCTGTTGCGGAGATGTCGTGGCCGTAGCCGATGGTGTCGGTGAAGAAGGTAGGTGAGGATGTAGCCTGCAGGTAGGATCATAGATGGGCGAGACGAAAGGCTGTTCCTCTTAATGATCATGGTGACTGATGGTGAGATGATGCAGCCAGCACAGTGCACACCGAAACAGGATCGACGGAGTGCCGTGCCAGGCAGGAATACACAGGGCTGGTGCCTTGTCATCAAGGGTGCAGTGTGCGCTCATCCGTGCTGCTGGCCACAAGCCAACAAGGGAGGAGGTCCGCGCATCGGGGCATAGGCGCGCAGTGCACATACGAGAAAGGAGCACACACACAAGCACCCGGGACAGCGTCTAGAGTTTCGGTCATTGTCCAATTTTTCCTTTGCGAATCCTTCCGATCGCCCGGAATTTCGAAAGGTGCTCCGCGGGATTCCGGAGCATTCAGACGAACGCGCGAGGCTATGGGGGATCCTGGCGGCCCCCTGGCCCTCATTTCTTCGTCCGTCTCGTTTTCCGCGCTTGGAGATGCCGCATGTCGGGATTGGTGACTCTCGGCCGCCGTGCCACAGTTGCCATGTGGCGCCTAATTGCAGCCAAGGTTTTCCACAGAAAAAAAGACCCGCTTCCGCTCTTTTCTGTTCTTTCTTCTTTTTTTCCTCGGCGTTCCAGGAGTATGGGATTTGGAAGAGTCGTGCATCTGCTGTCAGTTTCGTCCCCCAAAAATGAACAAAACGCATCTTGCTTTCTTCAGTAGGAGACTCGAGGATTGGATCAGCGGCGAATGGCGATGAGGTACCGGGTACGCAACCCGTCAGCATCCCCCAACTCAGTGCACAGCCATTCACAACAGATTGACGGATCACCCAAGGCGCCGCCTGCCAACTGGGACGGACGCCCAGCAATTCATCATCAATGGTGGCCTCTCGTAAAAGAGCATGAGCAGGTCTTCTGCACAATGCACGCAGATGGCAGCTCGCCGCATGCCAAGATGGTGGCATGTAATCGATGCGTGCCGACTGCCAGCTTTTGTCGTAATGGAGGATGCCGCCAACATTCCATTGCAGTCCTCTCGAGATGAATCCCATAAAAAGACCTGTGTAGGTAGGTATGTCTGCGTGTGTTCGACGTGCCTTCCATTACATATGTCACATGATGACCGATGAATTAACAGGGGCAGGCGGTGGTGCTAAGGGATGGTACATGCAGGAACAATAGATATAGAGACGAGTTGCGAATAGCAATGGGAATGGACGACGAGCTTGCATGGTGCTCCATCCGGGCGGTGTCTGGTTGCGTAGGTTGCAGCCGTGCCGCGCGAAAATAAACGACCGTGACGATGGTCGCGCGCTGCTGTAGAATGTGGTTGTTGCAGAGCAAATACGGATGATCGGGCAAAGGGGACAGAGATGCTAATGTGCAATATGCGCGAGAGGACGAAGGATGGTATCGGAGGCTGATATTGTCCGCTTGAGGGCGCTGTTGGAACGGGCGACAAACTATGGGCTCGCACTGTCCAGTGTGCGTGGAGCAGGGTGAAAAGAGCGTGTGCATGTGAATGCAGCTGGCGATAGAGCGCAAAGAATGGGTTACCAAAGAGTGCCGGTGGCGGGAAAGCAAAGAGAGCGCTCAGACGGTTAGGAAAGGCGAAGTAGCTGGCATACGCTTCGGACGCGACAAACAGAGCAGAGAAGGACGCGGGGCGCATGCCTGTGCAACAGGCAGCTGCAGCGATTCCGTCAACCTTGGTGACCTTCTTGAGCAAGTTGGACGAAGCCGTTGACAATCTGACCCAGTCCAGCCAGGTTGGAGTCAGAGCCTGTCGATATGACCATTGGCGCGCCAGACGCCATCGTACTAGTATCAGCTGCGTTGATGTAAGGGGTGCCTGTATTGCTCGTCGCGGAAGTGCTGCTACTGCTAATGCTGGTGGGCGAACTCGATGTGTTTGTGTTCTTGCTCGACGACTGGTTGCTCGATGAGGAGCTTGTCTGCGCATTGGCGTCAACGACCTGCCAGTTCATCTGGAACAATCCTTGCGAAATGGGTGCGAACTGGCTGAAGAGCGCTGGCGACATGTCAAGTGCTTCGTCAGGGCAGCCAGGGCATTCGTCGACAACCTGAGCTGTTGCGCTCTGCCCATTCGCCCAGATAGAGATCTGCTTCCCGCACCACTCTTGTCCAAATTGCGCAGAGTTCAGCGCAACCACGTACTCGCTGGGTGTATTGTAGCCGCCGCACGCGCTGACAATGGATCATCACCATGCAAGGTCAGTACGTCTGGCCAGCATCGCCTAGAAAGGGCCGTGACAAAAATAACTCACCCTAGCCCTGGTGCGTAGTTCGTAGCTCGTCCAGAAAAGATGCCGCTAAATTCTGACCCTCCTCGCGCCTGCAACGCTCGCGACGCATACAAGCTAATCCTCCGGCCTTTGGCCTTCACGTGCCTTCTGAATACCGACTGCTGACCGTGTGAATGCACAGCTTCGGTACCGCTGGCGATGAGGAGGGCAGTCGCAAGGACCAACGATGCAACCGATCTGCCCAGCATCGTCACTTTTTGCGGGGATCCTCCCAGTCCTGCACTTGATGTCCGAGATGAACGGAAGCTTCGCGTGGACTGACCCTCTAAAGCGAGCGACACTCTGAAACGACTTCGGTGGAGTTGAACGAGTGTGGGTATGGATACAAGGCGACCCGCAGGACGCGGAAAAGGGTGAGGAGTGGGTGAAGGGGTTTTGGACTAGGAGAGGCGGGGCGCGGATGAAGGCAGATCGGATGGGATGGGAGTGGTGGATGTTGGACGAGAGGATGCGGAGACGAGTTGCCAAGGCTGATGCGCTGATGTACAGGTGACGCCACCACCTTCCAAAGTGTATATCTCCACTCGCTTCAGACTCGGGAGCTGCTTATGAACTTCATTTCCAAAGGAGATGTTGAGATTCATGATATCTTTGCACTTTGCAGTGCTTCATGGAGGGGAACGAGCACCAGCCATCGAAGCAAGGAAAGAAAGGAGATATCTCTCATTCAGATCTCTCCTTTCTGCTGTTCCGCGGGGTGCAGTAGATGAGCCTGAATTGATAAGCAGACCTCTTCGACACTTGGTCGATGAAGCGAATTTCGTCGTTTTTCATTCGGTACCGACATTCGAGAGGAAAGGAACGGATGGAGGATCGACAGGGCAGCGCTCTGTGCCTCTGCCGCGCTTGAAACAAATTCAGCGCGATGAGTTGTAGCAGCCCTACATCCTCCTGCTTCCACGGCCTCTTGGCTGGCGACACTAGTGCAACTTCCATCAGACTGGTCAGGTGGAGGACAACGGGCCAACTGAAATTTGATTTTCATCTTCAGCTCATCTTCATGGTTAAAAACTCCAGCCCCTTGCCAGTGCGGGGGCCTACCACTGTGCCAGTGTCATCGCACCCTCAACTCTTAAGGGGTCAAATGTACGATGTGCAGCTACAAGGCGCCAGAACAGTGCTGCCCTTCTGTGGCCGGCGGCCCTGCACCATCTTACCAGATCCGCAGTCTCTTGCCTCACTGCCTGCCCTTTCACGCTCACAAATCACCCCAGCCCCACCCCCTCTGACCTTGTGCCTCCTCGCGTCTCATGCAATCTTGTAGTCTACGGACAGAGGGGCTGCACCGTGTGGGGGCGACTGACGGAGAGAGGGACAGTATCAGGCGTGTCAGGCGCGCTGCGCCCACCCGATCGCCACATCTTCCAGTCCATATATCTTCTACACAGTAACCCTATACTTAGCCACCTGACGTTCCACCTTCGTATTCGCTGTTGAATGTAATTCGGAGATCGTCAGATCAACGCCTGCCAACGCCCTGACCCAGTTGGCTCCACGGTATACACAGTCAACGGATTCATCAACGGGGAACGCGATGCGCACCTCTGCATCGCCTCACATGTGTTCTTTCACTCATTCTTCTGGCCGATGTGTGGATGTCTTCCACCGCCTGGCCCTCTGACGAGCTGAAAGCTGACTGCTTACCTATGCAGATTTGTCCTGTCTGTCAAGCGTGCCCAGCTTCGGAGCCGGTAGCGGCATCCGCAGACCGCACTTGTCCAGAAGAGGAAGCTCGAAACAGCAGTTTTGTCCATAGTGGGTTCGCTGGGAAGATGTTCTATCAGCGATCGCTGCCGTGCTTGGCCCCACCTTCCCAATGTGCTGTGACGTCACCCCACCGTTGGATCTTGAAAAGTGCAATCAGGGAGCGAGCCTAAAAAGAAATGTCACAAGTTCCGCTCTGATGAACTGTGTCACGCACACACGGTGACGGTTGACCCGGATTGGAGCTGCCCTTGCGACACCTTCCACCAAAAAGGAAGCCTTTGTTCAAGCAGTGCGCCAACATTGAGAACATGGCGAACCTAGCTGTATGCTGCTGGACTCAGAACTTACGCTCGCCACACCGAGATCAATCGCGCTCCTCTACGCAGGCTGACAGATCTGAAGCGATAGCGTCCGCAATCATCCCACTTACATCAGCAAGCTCGCTGGCAGACGCTCCTCGCCACTTCCACTCAGTCTCTTTGCACGTCGATGCAGATGATTTGCAAATGGCTAGGGACATCATGAGCGCTACAAGCACAAGCCAAGGTCCTTGCAATGCCTCTTCTGCGCAAGCTCAGGAAAGAGGACCACAGCGCAAACGCATTCAGCTGCCTCCCATCAAGCTTTCACCTGCCACTTCAGAGGCTACCTGGGCTCCTCCATCTGGTATGACGGCAATGAGCTCCAGAATCTGCGACCCTCCCGCTCGCGCTCTTGTGTCGCATTATCCCAAAGCTCCCAAAGTGAAAGACGCGCATACATCCGGCTTTACGACCGCGAAAGAGCTCATTGCTTGCAAGGTCTGGGAGCTTGAGGGAAAATCATGCGAAGATTCTGCATTGCAAGACATGGCCTGCGCGATCGAACCATGCAATCAATCAAAGCCGAAATTCAAAGATGAAGCAAAGAGCAGGGAAAAGCGAAAGATCCCCCTGAGCGACGAAGGGTTGGACTTGCTGCTGCTGCCCTCCTCGCCTAATATGCTCACGAGTGATCCAGTCGCCATGAACGTGGATGGCAAAGATGAAGCCCAATGCAACGCGGGCAATGTGATGGCTGCTGGCAGCACATCTCAATCGAGGCCCATGAAGCGCAAGCCGGCAATCCGTATCGTGCGCAGCTCTAGCGAGGACAAGTACGATCCCGCGCATGAGGTGGCCAGACTTGAGACCGGCAGAGCAGGATTGAAGCAGGGTATGCCTTCCGCACAGTTCCCCTCTGCCACAAACATGATTACATCTGCTTTTTCAAAGAGTCCCGCACCGTGCGTTCACAGTTCGGTTGGCTGATTGCTGACTTTCCGATCGACCGCATGCCTTCGCGTGATAGTACTTTCCCTGCAGATCAACAGGCCTTTCATCGTCGGACGCAATGCGGACTCGTTCGTGCACCACAGACACGTTGCTCGCTACCAGTGTGCTGACCTTCCAAGCTCTGGTGTTGTCCTCGCCTTCGTTTCTCCGTCTCTCTTCTGGTTTGGCAGCGACTACGTTGTGCCTGATCCTCGCGTGTCGAGAAGCGTAAGCACGATACTCAGGAGCGGCCTTGTTTGATGTGCGCCTGACCTCCAAAATGCTTGATGCGCAGCATTTCCGGTTGTATGCTCACAGGTTGGGGCTCAGACTGCATTTTATCTGCCTGAGAAGAGCACACATTGACGCCTCTCCTCTGCAGAACTGATTCGAATCACTCATTTGTCTACTGCGAGGTGCGCTTCTTGGTGCTGCAAGCGTCGCAAATCAGGCGCTCCTTGCTTGAATGAATGTTGAGCGCTAAGCGCACACCGCCCTTGATCGTCATTGGGTCTTGCAGGACATCTCCACGCTCGGCCTTTTGCTCAACGGGGAGAAGATGAAAGGCTCCTTTGCGATTCTCACACATGGCGACGTTCTTCAAATCCCTGGATGCCAGAGCTTTACATATGTGCACCTCGTCAAAGAGGATCAGCTTGCTGCCAAGGAGAGCGTCGAGGTGCGCCAGGTGTGACGTGCAAGGAGATGAGCTATATGTGCGCTCATGTTGCTTATATCAACCCAGCTCAAGCGTTGGCGTATCTCGAGCAGGGTCTTGGGGACGTGAGTGTTGGATGTTCAAGGACGCCGCACGACGCGCGTCGGGCCATTAGCTGACCAAGAAAGGCACTTATAGCGGGAGTTACGCATTGGTCTTACTCGCTTCGGACAGCAAGACAGGTTATCAAGTGGCATGCAAGAGGCAGCCCAAGTCATTGTTAGTCAACGAAGAAGACCGTAAGAATCTGCGCAGGGAATACAAGCTGCTCAAGAGGTTGACGCATGTAAGGAGTGTAGTGTTCATCTTCGCGACCGTGACTGACTAGTGATGTCGACAACAGCCCAACATCAACAAACTTATCGACTGGACACAAGACGAGCAGCACGTGTGAGTGATTGCTTCTGACAACAGCGCGAGGCGCCAGCTACAGCTTGCGTCCTTCCTTCCGCCTCACAGGTACTTTCTCATGAACCTTGTTTGTGCTGGCGACCTCTTCAACTACGTGTGTGGCAACCACGGCCGCTTGACGGACTCGGAGGCAAAGTTCATCTTCTACCAGCTCGCCAAGGCCGTCCAGTACCTGCACGCGAAAGGCATAGCCCACCGAGACATCAAGCCAGAGAATGTCCTACTGCTCAACTATGGTCGTTTCCCGCGCATCCAGCTGGGCGACTTTGGGCTCGCGACGGGCTTCCAACTTGTCGGTAACCAACCACCTCGCTCGAGCAGCCTCTGCGGGACGCTCGTCTACCTCTCCAGCGAAGCTCTGAGAGTCAAGGTCACAGGGGAGGAGTACGACCCGCGCGGGTTGGACCTGTGGGCCATGGGCGCAACGCTGCACCTGACGTTGAGCGGATCGCACCCTTTCGATCACGGCGATCATATCAACCTTGAGCATCTGCAGTTCCAAATCCAGCAGCACCTGCTCGAGAGCGGCGTCATCGATCGAAGGTGGATTCGCCAGCATGGCCTCGAAGAAGACGAGGAGCTGATCATGCTCGATGGCTCCGTCGCTGACATGGAGTATGCCGCCAAGGCGAAGCAGGATCTCGTCAACCGCATCATGGGCGCCGTGTACACAGAGATCGACGACTATGTCAACCAAGATGGTAAGCCCGTCGCCCAACTTCTTCGCAGGTTAGCATCTGACTCGTCTGGGCTGCTCTTGCCATTGTGTCCCTATCAGCCAAGAAACTTGTTGCCGCGTTGCTCCATCCCGAGCCAGCCAGACGCCTTCGCGCTTCGCAGATCATGAGCTCTGCCTGGATCCAAAGCAGTGCCACGGAGCTGGGCAACATGTATGAGGCGCGCGTGCTCAGCAAGTTCGAGCAAGAGAGGAGAGCCATGGAATAGATGCTGAAGAGGGATGCAATGAAATCCGGAAGAGATTCTAGTCCGCGACGTGGAATACAGCGAGGTGATGTACTCTCTATGCACCGCCGCTGACAGTAGATGAAGCCAATATGTCAGCATTGCCCATCGAATAAAAAGGAAGAGAGTTGAGAAGGCACCCACACTAACTGCGACCCATTGCAGCGGGAGGATGCAGTGTGGTCAGAAAGATGGTCAGCAGGAGAGGAGGACGTGATGAAAGCCAGGCTCATCATCACCGCTACTCACGATATTGTTGATCGGAATGTGGATGAGCTTGACAAAGTACCCGATGAACCCCATTACGACGAACCCCATCCCGACCGCGCGGCAGATTTGGATGTATTCTGAGGCGAACGAAGTACCAGCCCGAGTGGCGATGTGTCAGGCCTAACGGGTGAACATCCGCCCACTTCTTGCCACACTCACCTTTTTGGTTAGGCTTGGTGCATCTTGTCATGAACTGGGTTCACAAGAAGCGAGCAAGCGGCCATAGTCGCAGTCCATACAGCCGCGGTCAGCCATTCTGCACTGAGTCGCTCGAGGCGACGCGCGAGGCAGGCCAAGCTAACAAGTGATCCTCACCTGAGTGCCTTCCTTGATGAAGCTCTGCGGAATGTCGATGAATTCCTTGACCTTTTCCGACATCTTGAAGAGACCTTTGAGGTTGGTGATTTAGGCGACTTGGTCCCGGCCTGGCAGAGCATTCATAAAGCAAATGGAGGCCTCCGTTAGATATGTTTAGCGGCTGCAGCGAGGCGAGAAGCTCGGTCTATCCAATGGTTGGCCAAGTCAGAGGCTGACGGATGCAACTACCTCTTCTTGGAGACACGTACCGCGTTCCGCTCTCGACAGAAGCACAAGCAGCCTGCAGTGTCTTGCGTCTAGTGAACACCCGCAACTGACAAGCTCTCGCAGGTCACAAGCTCATTCGATTGAAAGTAGGAGCTGTCCCTGTGGCCAGGATGCTATGCCGCGAGCATGACGCATGCAGCATGCTATGAACGCCTCCGCGGTTCGCTGCCGGCCTGCTCAGGTTTGCCTTGCGCTCGCACAATGCAAGCCGCCGACGAGGTACCTTCAGGTCCGCCTGCCATGCTTCGGCAGGGAGCAGGGAATCGTGCATGCCAGCGGTAGCAGCAGGATCCATTCTCTGCATTCTAGCACCAGGGCACCTTCAGGCTCCAAAAACGCGGCGGCTGGCTTCTTCGATGCAGCGGCACATCCCTCATTGTCGCAAGATGCGCCGCCGATCTTTATAGAGTGGCACCATGCCGTTCAACATGCAGATATGGACACCCTGCACCGGCTCCTCCCTTCATTAGAGAAGGAGATCGGGCGTTCAATTGGAAGGTTAGAGCGGATAGATGGCAAAACCATCCGCTTTTCTCTCACATCTGCATTTGATGTCGTCGCCAGCAGCCTGTCGCGCAACCCTCAGCAGTGGGTGCCGGCGCTCGACGCTCTGCTCTTTGCCAAAGTCGGGTCCCTCCTCGAAAAGTTTGGAACCATTTTGAGTACAGTGCAGGTCAAACTCATTGCAAGATGTCTGGCGAAAGGTGATGCAGATCCAGGGTTCGTTGGTGGACAACTGCTCGATCAGGCAGTCGCGCTACTAGCACGGCCAGGATGCCAGCTTGACATCGAAGACGGGTCATTCCTGCTGAATCGGCTCATTCGCAAAGGGAGGCTTGAGCTTGCCTCACGGGTCATCGAGCACAATCTGCGAGGGGCTTGTGAACTTTCGCCATCGCAAAGGGTAGGCCTTGACTGTCTATTTAGCCATCTCGCTTGGTGCCGCGGCGACACCTTGCAAGCTTCGAGACATCTGGGGGTCTCGACAAGCTCTGCGACACTGGCGTCGACTTCAACTCCAGGTCTTTCGCAGGCACTTCTTCAGCTGCATCCGGCACAGCATCACCTGGCACTGGCCAGAGCTATCGCCAATGAGCTTAAAGGTCGCCCTGTCACCGAGGAGGGACTCGATGGCCTGCTGAGGCATATAGCCGCTGTCGAGTCGCCATCCGCCGCTGTTTCATATTTTGTCGGTGTGGAATCGTCTTCAGTACCAGTGAATGACCCATCCACATTCATGACGTTGCTCTCGCTGCAGGCGTTGATCGAGGGCGTAGTGTGGTCATTCGAAGACGCTTTTCAACTGGTTGCCAAAGTCGAATCCTTGACAAGGTTGCCAGCCCCTCCACAGGCTTGGGAGTTCTGCGTGTGCGCCCTGGTGCAATCGCCTGACGAAAGAGCAGGAGGTGACGTTTCCAGCGCGGCGCAGGTCTCACCCGCTAGCAGAGCTGAAGCGGAGCTGTTGCTCCAGAAGTGTGCGCAGCAAGGCATAAATGTCCCCATTTCAGCGGCGGGTCAGGTCATCTTGGCGCATCGCAAGTCTTTCATCCCCGATGTTGGCAGTGCCTTTTCAATTTACGATCAGCTTCTGAACAGGCATGATGAAGCTCAGCTCAGTCGCCAAGGCGGCTACAGTATTTATTTGGATCTTTTGGAGATCTGTGTTGCGACTGCGTCGGTCGACCGCGCCATCGCACTCCTAGGAAATATGAACACCTCAGCGGTTATTGTTCTCCCGGAGCACCTGGTACCGATTGCCACAAAGCTCGCATTGCAAGCTGATCGCGAAGAGCAAGTCGTCCAGATAACCAGCCGCGCGCTGAATGTTTGCAAGCGGACGGCGCTCGGGCATCTCCCACCGAATGAGATCCAAAACTACATCAAGACGCTTTTACGTCGAAGATTCAATGCAACGACAGGCCACGGAAGGCCGCAGGGCCTCTCCCGCGATGCGCTTATCAGTGTATTCTCCGCGTTGGCCAAGGCCCGCGGCCTTCCTTCAGCAGCCGAGTATACAGACTTACTCGGCGAGATTATCAGCAGATGTTCGCCCTCGATGTCGGCCGCAGAGCGAGACAACCTGAAGGAACACGTCATTACGATTCACGAGGTGCTCCAAGCCGATCTGGACCTCGAGCCGGACATTGGGCTGCTCAACACGCTCATGAACGCGTACAACCATCTCGGCCATGTCGACGCGGCGCTCGACATATGGCACAGCCTGCAAGCCGGCTCGGCGCCGATCGACGGCGCGACGCTCGCGATCGTCTTTGACCTGTGCGCGTGGGCGAGGCTGCCGATGGAAGCGCGAAGGGCGTACGCGTGGGCGCAGAGCCTGGATGCACGCAGTATGCAGGGGGCCACAAAAACGTCGTCACGGCCGCTGCCACTGGTCCTCAATCCGAATGCACTCCTGTCGTACCACGAGTTTCTGTGTCGTTTATGGCGCCTACGCGAGAGCATTGCGCTGGCTTGGACGAGGGTGGAGCAGGGTGCGTTCGAAGGAAGCGCGAAGAGCAGAACGCCACGGCAATGGGACCAGCAGCAGCAGCAGCAATGTGACGCTGTTGAGAAGGTCGCAGTGGACCACGAGGAGGTGCGCTTGTTCCGAGTCCTGCTGAAGTTCGCCGCTCGAGAGCGGGACCGCGCGAACGCGCCGGAGGACGTAAAGGACCAATGGGAGATATTGCGGCAGCGCCTGCGCACTGAGAGGCCCGAGGTGTGGGAGCATGTCAAGACTGTCGGCATGGCGCGGCGACCGAAATAAGATTGGGGGTGCATTGTAATACGATTGCAATGGTGAGATGGCAGGAAGTAGGTGCAGTGCATGGTGCACCGCTTACGAGCACGGTGCTTCCGAGGGGCAGCGTTCTTTTTACTCTACATGCGATAGATTGGTACAAAAGTTCATTGAATGTTGAACAAAGCAGCGCGCAGAAAATGTTATGACGCCGGGAGAGTGCAGGAGAGGGCGCATAGTCCGTGTGGTGTGAGAGTGGTGCAGGCCGTGCAAAAGTGGCAAGGTCAAGGCTTGTAGTCTGACATGTAGGAATGCCCATATGCGGAGCTGTACCCAGGCGGCTGCATGGGATCATGTGACTCCATGGCGTCCGTGTAGTGAGACACGGACTGCGCATGCGTGTGGCCGTGCGGCGCGGTCGACGGAGTGGGCAGAAGCGCGTGCGACGGCTCGCGCGACGACGGGCTCGTGATGATGGCGTCGAGCCCAAAGTCATCCGCGGCGGCGCGTGCAGCGTGGTCGTCGGGCGACGTGTCGGCCGCGCGGTGGATGGGATGGGAGCCACTGTACGCGTAAGTGTGCATACTGTCGTAGTCGTAGTGCTGATGCTCGCGCGACGTGTTTCGCTGGTGCGGCTCTGGAGGCGGTAGTGGCTGCAGCATCGGCGGCAAGGGTGTTTGCTGGTCGTACTGTGAGCTGTAGCCTCTGTGGCCGGCTGAGTACTGATGCTGATGGTACGACCGCGCGTACTGGCTCGGTGCTGCGGACGGCGATCGAAAGTCTCCAGCAACGACAGCGGACGGCGTACGTGCTGGTGCATACGGCGTGCCGTGGCTGTACTCGGACGGCTCAGCGCCATGTGCGGGATATTGCGGTTGCGGGGCGAAGTAACGGGGCCCGGGTTCACCTTCACCGCCGGACTCGAGGCCGTCGCGATACGGCTGTGGCCCGATGCCAGGAGTGTATGACGGCTCTGGGTAGTGGGTGTACCCTTGCGGCTGCGACGGCTGGCGCCTGCCGTATCCTTCTCCGACGCCTGGCACGTTTGCAGGGACGTTGTGCGGATCCGAGTAGGCGTAGCCAGTCACCGCTTGGTTGTAGGGATCCGAGTAGCCTGCATGGCTGGGCGCAGCATGTGCTCCTGCGCCCGCGAGTCCTGCTGCCGGCGCTCTGACTGCGTCCGCTGGGCTGTCTTCGTAGTCGTCCTTGAGCGGGATTTCGTGCTCGGTGACGTATTCTGCGAACTTGGGCAGGTCCTTTGCGTTGCGGTCATAGTCGTTCTGGCGACGCTTGCGGTCTGCCTCAGCTTCGAGCGCGTCCATACGCATGCGCTCGGCGTAGTAGTCGTTGCCCATCGGCCGCTGCCCATAGCCAGCGGAAGAGTCCTTGCCGCGGTCGCCCCTGCGCTTCCGCCCGCCGCTACCGCCACCACACATTCCGCACCCGAACGTGCAGCCGCCGAGGGCGAGCAGGACCCATGCTGCGACGGTCAGCCAGAGGGCCGAGCCGAGTTGGGCCGAGCCGCCGTTGATGGACTCGATACGCTTCTTGGCGATCAGGAAGAGGGCCAGATCGAGCCCAAAGGCAATCAGTGCGATGCCCGCTGCGGTGCCCGTCGCACAGGCGCCGAGGCAGCCCATGGCCATCTCGCTGCAGTGGGCGAGGATGCCGAGCAGGACGGCGACAATGGAGATGGCGCATGCTGGGCAGATCGGAATTCAGCATGTCAATTTGCGATGGATCGTGGCATATTGGGGCTGTGCATTTCAACAATGTGCACTCACCAACAGGGTGAAGGACGAGTGTGTAAGTCAAGCCTTTGACGGCGAGGCCAGTATACTGGCGCGGGATGTAAGAGATGCCCAGCAGTCCATTTGGATCTACCGTGAGAGGAAGAGTGGCGGGCGATGGCGTGTCAGAGAGAGAGAGAGAAAAGGAAACAAAGAGAGAGTAAGCTGACACACCGAATTCATAGCCGAGCGCTGGCTTGCTGCATGTGCTGTCGATACAGTATCCCAGTGTGCCAAACGTCGCCGTCTTGCTCCCGGGTGCGCTGCTGGACCCGGAGCCATTGCTGCCGCTGCTAATGGTAGCCTGCAGAAAGTAGATGGACTTGATGATGGGCGTATTGACCGTGACAAGCGCGAGGAGGACGGCTGCAGCGAGCGCGAGGATGGTGCCGAATGTTGCAGGGCGAAACATCTTGTGCAAAGGGTGGTAATCACAGCAGTTAGTCGTGTCGCCAGCCCAGTCGGCCGCCTCGCCTCTCCTCTTGACGGCTGTGGTGAGCCCACTCGCCGCGTGTGTCCCTGGTGGCAAAGGGGGAGGCGGTGAGGCGCCTGGACGATGCCTTCGGATTGGGGCGGGGGAGGGAGGGGTGGCATTGGGGAGCACATACCGTACATGGTACATGCCCAGATAGCACGCCCAGTATCTATTATACACCGCTGCCGAGGGGGAGGCTTAGCCAAATCACGAGGGGCGGTCGGCAGTATGGGGCTATATGGGACTCCCCTTGGCCTGCCGAATCGGAATGACCGTAGCTTGTGTTGGCTGAACATCTACGTAATCGTTTTCCCTTGGCTCGTTTTTTGTGGCAGACTACATATATACATAGTGCATATCTAACTTATATATACACCATAGACTTCCCCCGCCCAGTGTTGTGCTGCCCACACGCTCACGCACCGATGCAGCGCCAGCGCTGCCGCCGCCGGGCAGGCGCTCCGCCGCGCCCCGAGCTGCCGCTGGGCCTCTGGCTGCTCAAGCACACCCAGCGCATCGTCGCGGCCACCGCCGCCGGCGCACTCGTCCACCTCCGCTGCAGCAGCCACAGCGTCTACTACCTCACTGCCGCGCTCGCCACCGCCCTCCTCGCCAAGGCACTCAAGCAGCTCATCCGCCAGCCGCGCCCCCAGCACGCCAATACGTGCCAGCCGCCGACGCATGGCATGCCCTCAACACATAGCGCGTGAGTCTTCTCTCGTACAAGCAAGCAAGCCACGCACCTCCCACCCGCGTCGATTCCCGCCGCTCGCTTCTCACTCGCCGTTCCCCTCTCGCAGCACAATCACCTTCATGGGCCTCTACCTGGTCCTTGGCGCACGCGGCACCATCCCCGCCGCCGCCACGGCGCTCGGCCTGCTTCTCCCGCCGGCGGTGATGTGGTCGCGTGTGCACCTCGGCTTGCACACGCCCACGCAGACACTCGCGGGCGCCGCGCTCGGCGCGTCCACCGCCGCCGCCGCCTTCCTCCTCTGGCATGGTGGCGGCTCGGCATACACTACTGGCGTCCGCGACGCCGTCGTGCGGCGCGTCGATCCACTCGTGCGCAGCGTGCACGCCCGCGCAGGCCGCGGGCATGCACACGCGCTGTAGCCTGTAACCTGTAGACTGTCAGTTCGTTTTGCAAATTCAATATAGATAGCATACATGGGCAAGGCGACGTGAATGGCGACCGAATCGCTGCGAAGCAAGCAGGAGGACAGTGCTCAACCGATGGGTGCCTCAGGGCTCGCAAGCCCTTGACGCCTGGCGACGCTTCAGCCAGAGTTGCGCGCTAGGCTCACGAGGTCTGCCCGCGATATAGGCTGCTCTCCGCGAGCGACACGGTGCTTGTTGCACACGGAAAGCGTCCGATCATCGATCAGATGGCTGCCAAGTAAAAAGGTGCGCGCGCGCGGCAAGTCAGTATTACGCGTCCTCCCCGAGCACACGCTCTCGCAAGCAACCCACTTGTACCGGATCAAGAACGGCACGCCGAGCTCCCACGTCCCCTCGGCCATGATGTCGCCGTCGTGCACTTCCGTCTGCTGGCACATGTGGAAGTACACATCGTCCAGGTCAATCTCACTCGGATGAGTGATCAGCGAGTCGCGCAGGCCGGGGAACGGGAGGCAGTCAATGAGCGGGTCGTGCGGGATGCTGAGCTGCTTGACCGATGGCCGCAGAAGCGACGGCAGGCAGTACGCTGGATTCCGCCGGAAGTTCTCCAGGTGGTGGCAACTGAGCATCGCCGCCTCTGATGTGCAAAGCGACGAAAACGTGTCGGGCCCGTCAGCATCGCCCCACACATGGGCCACCACACGGCGCAAAGGGCTACCCAAAGCAGTGGCCCGATACGGCGGCATGCACTCACCATTCAGCCGCTCCAGCTCCTCCTCCGTCTTGGTCATGCCGCTAGGGAAGTCGCGCCCTGACGCATCGAGCTCGCGCAAGCGCTCCAAGTCCGCCGGCTTCAACTCGGTGTGCGAGCACTCGTGTGGTGTCCACAGCGGAAGCAGGTCCGTCCGGCCAAAGCGCTTCCGCGCATTGTTGATGCGCTCAAACGTGAACTTCATGTGTCGTATGTCCGCGCAGTCTTCCTGGCATTTGGGACCGCAATTGTACTGTCCCGGCGCAGCAACCGAGCCTGTGGCGGAGTCAGACGCGCTGCATGCCTTGGAAAGATCAGAGTCCGCTCGACTGCGGCTGCCCTGCATGGACGAGTCCACCGCTGCAGCTGCCATGCTCGGGCTCCGATGCGTGGGGCCATGGCCCACTGAGGCTGGTTTCCGCACATGCGCGGATGCCGGCGAGCCGCTCGAAGTAGAAGGCGAAGCTGCTTGACCCGGACCTCCTTGCATCCCGGGGATCGTCTGGTATGTATTGTTCGTCAGCGGGCTCATCCTGGAGCCTGCGGCGGCCGCCGCTGCTGCTGCTTCATGCGTGCTGTTCGCAGCCGCCGGCGACGCAGCGTTGCTGTTCGGCTGGCTACGCCCAATCGCCTGGAAGGCGGCAGCCGCGAAGGCATTTGTGATGGTATTCTGATCCTGCCAGAAGCCGAGGTTGAAGTCGTTCTGCAGGCTTCCAGATATGGGCAGCTCGCCGATGGCAGAGAAGCCTGCTTGATGCAGCGATGGCCCGTAGGTAGCTGCCATCACGCCCTCACTGCCCTCGTTGGCATTACCTACCAACAAGTCTACACTGCTACCATCGCCACTGCCGCCATTTGCGGATGGCATGCCGCGCAAAATGTCGAGCCCTCCCAAGCCGAACGTGCCGTGGAGGCCAAACGGAGGAAATGGCCCAGCTCCTTGGTGTGCGGACCGCAGAGCCGAGGCAGCGGACGAGGCCAGAGGTGCAGATGCAGACGTGGACGAAGAAGGTTCCATGCCGCTGCCATTCCCCGTGACGGACGTCTGCGCTTGTTGCTGGTGATGGCGCCACCCATCCAAGTGGCTGCTCACGTTGCGCATCATATCCATGAACGCAGCTGCTGACGCTCCGGCAGGGAGGGTCATCGGGTCATGATTGGAGCTGGATGTCATCCGAAACCCCTGCTGCTGGTGGGGCTGTTGCTGAATTTCTATGGGCGACTGCGTGAGTTGATTGTGGTTCGAACTCGAGGAAGGCGGTTCCTTAAGCAGAGCATCAGGTGCCCGATCATCCGCTTCCAGGAAGCGTGGCTTCTTGAAGCCGCTGCTGACGACCCTTGAGCCGGCAAGGATGCTGTCCCCGAAAGGGGCTCTATGCTCATTTGGGTGCTGCATGCCTCCTTCCTCAGGCGTCGCACCTGTGCTTGCGCTGCGTGCGCTGGAGGCTGCGTCCCCGTCCGCCGCCGCAGAGCCAGCGCCGCCAGAAGAGCTGTCGATCGGAGGGGCGGTATCCCCCGCCTTGCGCTTCTGGCCTTTGTTTGTCTCGTCCGCGAGGCTGCTGGCTTTGTTCTGGCTCACGCTCGCTTGGTGCCTTTGCTTCTGTTGGTGCGCGAACCGGTCTGCGCTTTCCGGCAAGCCCTCAGGCGGGAGGTGCGCATCGACACGCATCTGGCGTAGCACGCCGCTCTCCTTCTGCCCGGGCCAGGTGTGCCATGCCTGTGTGACGGTGCGCTCAGAAGTGGTTAAGAGCAGCTCTTCGAGCTCCTTCTTGACATCCTGGTTCGAGCCGAGGAAGCCGCCCATGCCCTTTTCGCCGACGAAAGAAGACAGCAGACCCAGCACAGCACGCAGCTGGTTGTTCTCAATCAGCAGCTGGCGGAGCAGCCAGCGCAGGCGGTCGACCTGCGTGTCGTGATCGGTGGAGAGCAGCTCTACGCGGCACTCGAGCGCTCGGATGTACTCCTGCTTGCGCTGGCGGAACTCGCGCTGCGCGATTCTATTCTGCGCTTTACGGGCCTTATCCAGATCTGCACTCTCCTCTTCGATGCCGACGCCCCCCGCGCCATTTGCCGCAGCACATGGCCCGCCGTGCGCGCCGCCTGCAAGCACATTGAACATGCTGGCATTGTTCTCTGTGAGACCGCCGTCTGCGCCGCCGTTGCTGTGGGATCGCTGCTTTTTCTTACCGCACGCAATGTTGCGATGCACATCGTACTGCGCAGCTTTCTTCGGATCTGTCAGTGCTGCTTCATGCTGGTTTCGAGATCTATTGCCCGTTTTGGTTGCACTTTGCTTGCCTACGGCGGCGCCTTTGCCTTTAGAAATTCCAGCTACTGCAGACGCGTCGCCGGCAGTGGGTGCCTCCTTTTGCCCCTGAGCAGCAACACCGCTCTGGACGCCGTGGCTCGCTTCCTCCTCCTCGTCACTTACGCCAGAATCCACATCGTCATCCTCATCGTCATCCTCATCGCCTTGGCCAGTGGCTCGTTGCATCGACTTGAGCCAATGATTCCCCTTCCGCTGCCCACCGTTTCCACTTGCACCTGCCCCTGCAGCGCTATTTCTACTGCGCACGGTGCTGCCTGATGTCTCGGACACTTCGCCGCCGCCTGTGATTGGCTTTGGCTGCGGTCCGCGGAAAAGCATGCTGGAAAAGCCATGCTGCACCGCGGTGGGCATGGATTGGCCGAGCTCTCCGAGATCAAACTGGGTAGCATTCGGATTGGTGTGCGTCCTCTGCGCTGCGCCGCCGCTTGCTTTCTTGCCCATGATGCTGCTGCCTGTCGTGTTCTTGGTGGCGCTGGGGCCCACGGTGCTTGAGGATGACCCGGCAGCAGTACCACTAATGGTTGTACCTTTGCTCGTGCTGCCTCCTTCGTTACCGTTTTGATGGACAACGGGCTGAGATTGACCTGATCTGTCTACCAAACGATCGTCTTTCAGGGATTCGGCCTGTCAACGCGTCCCTTCTTTTCCTTGGACGCTTGGCAGCACGAATGGTCAACCTGATCGACGGCCAGTTTGCATTCCAGAGGACGTACAAATGCTGTTTAAGGCGGCGTGATGGAAGAAACCTCTCGTCTAGCACATGCGCAGCTGTTTCCCCTGGAGGCTTGACTGGTCCGTCTCCACTGTTTGCACGCTCCCACACTCGCTTAGGCCGTCGAGCAAGAACAAGGTTGTTCCCCCCAAGGTCAGCCACAGCGCCTTGCGACCGACAAAGGCGAGCGTCGTCGTCTCGGTGACTTGCATCCGATGCGCTTGGTTGATCCAATTACCAACATGGGGCCCAGGCGTACCTTTCAGCCAATAATGGGCCCTGGGCTAATGTTGACATAGCTTGCGTACGTAATTCGCAGAGCGGAGCTATTGTGAGCGTGGGGGTTAGGGTTAGGATCATGGCTAGACTCATAGAAGTCACAGTACCATACGCCGCATGTGCCGTATGGTCGGTCTACCATCAGCAATAGCACCCCACGCCCGCACCCGGCAACTAAGTCACGTGACTATTTCCCTTCTCGACGGGAAAAGGCAGGCTCGCTACTTGCAGAGTCCGCCGGCTGCCGTCCTCCCATCACTTCACCTGATCGCTCGGCCGGTATGTTGCCCACGCTCTCGCGAGTGGATTGATGAGCGGGGAGCATCCGGGCAGGCAAAGTGCCGTCAGCCGACTCTCCTCCAATGCGGTGGTCGTTGCGCGTGTGGCTCGACCGCACAGCAACAGAGTACTCTCTGCGGACTCCTGTAGTGCTAACGGGAATGATCCAATTGAATGCCACCTTTATCTCGCTCATTGCGATCGCACCCACCATCCTCTCCGTCATGCACTCGGTCAGTCTTGAGTATTTCAACACCGCGCCATCATCCAGCTCATCTGCCGATAGGGCGCGTCGAATAGGCCATCAATATCGTCTACCGCGCTTTACTCTTCAATCAACGTGGGCTGCGCATGTCACCTCTCGCGTACAATCGCGACGATCCACTCCGCGTAGGTTTCCCGCAGCTGAGTTCACGCAGTCGAACAGTAATCTCCCCCACCGAGCTCGTGAGGAAGTGCTGCATCACATCATCAAGACGTCCCTGTCGTAGAAAAGATTGGGACGGCAAGCTGGGAAGAAGCCTGCGACAAGATGATGAAAGTAGGTGCTTTGATCAAAGTACAAACAGGGCTCTGATCGAAGCCTTCATGCTGGCTAACGCGCTCACCGTGTCCTTCCCTTGCTTTGCGCAGGTTTCGCAGTTTCTGGGCGAATCAAAGCCTTTCAGCGCCGTCACGGATTGGATCGACAGACTATGTGGTCCAAAGGTGAGAGATTGCTTGGTCTGCGCAAGAGCAATTGCTGAAGCATGCCGCACACTCAGTACGAGGAAGAGGAACTGGAGGGCATTCCAGAGCTAGTGCAGGCCATCAATCTGCAGCAGACGGGCCCAACAGAAGCGTCGCGTGCAATCCGTAAAAAGCTCAAGTACGGCAACTTGCACGCCCAGAAGCGGGCGCTTACTATTCTCCGCTCACTCGTGGAGAACTGCAACGAGCGTTTCCATCGCACATTTGCTGATGCCATGCTCATCGAGCGCATCAAGATCATGAGCCAGGATGAGCTAGTCGACGCCAGCGTACGCCGGAAGCTGATGCGCCTGCTTCATGGCTGGCACAAGCAATTCCAAGGTGTTGCGTCCATGCATACCGTTGCCGGACTTTACGTCGCGTGCGGTGGCGGCAGGAAGAGCGAGCAGCAGCTGAAGAGTGAAGCCGCCGATGCCTACCGAAAAAAGAGGGAGCGCGAGGAGCGCGAGCGACAGATCCGCAGCGACTACAAGGCTGCAAAAAGGCTACATGAGGAAGAGCAGAAGCGGATCAAGCAGGGGGGGAAAAAAGGCCAGCGACCGCCATTCAACTTCCAGCAGGAGAAGCCGCAGATTCTTGCGGCTGTCGCGTCCACGCAGCAGTACGCAACTGCACTCGTCAATGCGCTGCAGCACGTGAACCGCGAAAAGGACTCCGTCACGGCCAATGCGCGCGTGCAGGATTACCTGGCCAAGGTGAAAGCCGAGCGTAAGAAGGTCGTGCGGTACATCCAGCTCGTGAAGGACGAAGAGTTCCTCGGCTCGCTCATCTCAGCGAACGACCAGATCATCCTCGCGCTCGAGCTATACGACAAGCTCGCCAAGCCCTCTGACGTCGACTCGGACGAGAATGAGCCGCTCGCTGCCATCAGCAGCGGTAACAGCAGCACCAGCGGCGGCGGCGGCAACGCAGCGGAGCGGCAGGCGCGCCTCGATGCGGAGATCGAGGCGGTGCGCAAGCGATTGCTGCAGGCGAGGCTCATGGACGCGCCGGACGGCGAGCTTGAGAAACTGCAGAATCAGCAGCGTGGGCGGATCGAGCGGCACAATTCGTACGCACGCAGCATTGCGAGCAGTCGGAATGGCGTCACCGGCGGCGGCGCTGGCAGCAGCGCCATGACCGACTTGATGGATCTCAACTTTGACGATGGTAGTTGCGACAACCTGCCGCCTTCGATTCAGCCAAACGTGCGCTCCTCTGTCGCTTCCAGCAGCGCCGTCGGCTCTTCCTTGGCGACGGGTGTGGCGTCAGGCCATGGTGGCGGTCTGTCGGACTATTCGGACCTTGACTCGGAGGAGGGCGAGGAGTCGTCCGACGGAGCAGAGGTGGCCATGGCATCTGCGTCCGGTTCTGGCAGTCGCTTCGGCGCTACGATCGGCGCCAACAAGAAGAGCCCGGCGACTGCGGCAGCAGCGGCGGAGTCCACATCCTCACTCGGCGCCGGCGACCGTCACGGCCGTGGCGGCTACGAGGACGGCGACGACGGCTTTGACGACGCGGCGAGCTTCGCGAGCCACCGCCCGCAGATTGGGCCGAAGTTTTCGGCGGTGACACACCTTGAGGATGACGATGACGGTTTTGATCCGTTTGCGGACCCAGCCGAGGACGACGCCACGGGGGCGCAGGACGAGCCGATGGACGCGTTCAGGCGCAGGCACGACGGGCCGCGAGAGGCGTACGCAGCCGTGTAGATTTACGGACGGAGTGTGAAAGCTGCCGCAGAGACGTGGGGATATATGGGGGGAAGGTTGGACAGCGTGGTTCTAGATCGTACGCTGGCTCGCTGGTAGAATCATGTCATATGCGCAGATAGAATCTGCCGGTTGGCACTCATTCACTACCAGAGCCTTGCATGCCTCTGTTTCCAACGAGGTACGAAAAGCCTTCGGTCGGGCCAGAATGGATTGATTGTTTGGGGGGAGGGAGGTGGTTCCCTCCATGGGTCGGCAAGCGGGGGAGCTCACCCCACAGCACGGGGATGTTGCGTTGTGTTGTACTGTAGACGCTTCCGACACGTCAGAAAGAATTGAATGAATGACCTTTCCTCGTGGTTTGCGCCTTTCTGGTGCCAAAAGGTAAAGTTCAAGGCAATCTGACGAGATTGTCATTACAATCTTTGGTTTACGCATCTACATTCTGCATTGGAACTTTGCCTTTTGACAGGGGGGGTGATGGCACTGATGCTAGCCGCTTTCAGCTGCAGTGCCCTCACATCCATCTGTCTCGCGTCAATCAAGCATGACAAAATGAGGGTTGTTTCTTTTCCGTAATAATTTAATTCTTTTTCCGGCCTGCGCGCCAGCTCACAACGCAACTTTTTCCGCATCAATATACGCACGTGTACTGTACAGTACACCTTCCTCTCCTTCCCCCCACCCATCCATTGATCCATCTGACCCTGACCATCCCAACCCACCATCCACCCCCCTCCCCCAAATCCATCCGCCCATCCCTTCCGCGGCCATTATCGCCAATCTGTCATATCGGAGCATCCGGCTCCTGTGGTGGATCCGCTGGACGACCATCCACTGTCGGCTCATCAGCCAGTCGCGGCCACAGCACGGGCCTTCGCGATTTTTCTTGCTGGCCGGCTCGCCCATCACCAGGCGCGGATGGCAGGAAGACAGGCCGGTCTGATCCGACCCAATCCAAACGTCATCGAATCAGTCGCCGGATTTCGACAACAACGTCGGCCGTGATCCATCCGGCTCTGCCAGTTTGATCGTTCGACTCTTCTCGAAGAACTAGAGTCGAGTTTCGTGTCGTTCCATCCCTAGTTAGGCAGTCACGATGGCCATCTTTGGAAAGAAGAAGGACAAGGCCGACGGCGCCACCGCCGGCTCTCCTACACAGGGCAGCGCTCCTCCCGGGACGGCCTCGTCTTCAACTGGTTCGCATGGCGGCAAAGGCTCCATCTCCAACGGCGCAGGCGCTCCATCAGGGGGGCCCAGTGGTTTGCCAGGTCAATATGGCTCGCCGAGCTCGCTGAGCAGCGCAGGCGGCGGCCCGCCAGGCGCCGCCTCTGGGTTCAAGTTCGGAGGGCCAGCACCAAGGCAGGACATGGGCTCCTCGGGCATCCCAGCACCCGGTGGCGGTGTACCAGACGCCAGGACGCGCAAGTTGAGTGATGAGGGTATCGGCAGTACCTACCAGATGCCGAGCATCGGTGCAACTGCTGGTGGCATGCAGAGCGGCCTGCCTCTTTCCTCGGCTGGTGCTCCGCTCTTCTCTGGCATGACCTCTGGCGGCCCTTCTTCGGCAACTGGCACCAACTCGTCGGGCAGCGAGCGTGGAAGCAGCCGTCCTCAGCAGGTCGTCTACCCGTGGAGCCAGCGGCAACTGATTGTCAATCCACCGCGCTTCCTCGACGCCAACCGCCAAGCGCCGCCAGGTACGCTCAGCCCCTCGCCTTTCCCTCGATACGGCCTCGCGGCCAACCAGACGGCGAGCGCAACAGGCGAAGTGTACCTTTTCGGCGGTCTCGTGCGCGAGAGCGTCAAGAATGACCTGTACATCGTTCACGTCGACAAGGTCTCTCAGTCTCCGGCGCCGCCAACGCCTGGCGCGCCGCCTACCTCGGTTTCCGTCGCCGGCGGTGTGTCCGCCACGCTTGTGCAGACTACTGGCGACATCCCCCCGCCGCGTGTGGGCCACGCAACCGTGCTTGTCTCGAACGTGCTTATCCTCTGGGGTGGCGACACGAAAGTCCGCGCAGACGACCAGCAGGACGAGGGCTTATACCTGCTCAACCTCAGCACGAGGGAGTGGACACGCGTCGTCAGCAACAGCGATGCACCCAAGTCGTGCCCCGTCGGGCGGTACGGGCACACGGTCTCCATTGTCGGGTCTAAATTCTACGTCTTTGGCGGACAGGTCGACGGCCTGTTCCTCAACGACCTGTGGAGCTTCGACCTGAACAGCCTTAAGGGCAACCCGACATGGGAGCTGCTGAAGCCGAACGGCGAGCTGCCGCCGCAGCGGACGGGTCACGCGAGCGTGACGTACAAGGACAAGATCTACATCTTCGGCGGCACCGACGGGCAGTACCACTACAACGACACGTGGTGCTACGAGGTTGCCACCAACACGTGGAGCGAACTCTCATGCATTGGTTACATCCCCGTACCCAGGGAGGGTCACTCGACGTGCCTCGTCGACGACGTCATGTACATATTTGGCGGCCGTGGCGTCGACGGAAAGGACCTCGGGGACCTTGCCAGCTTCAAGATTTCGAGTGAGTTCCCTTCCTTTTGACTTTCACATGCAGAGCACCTCGAGAGCTGAGCGTGCAATAATTCGCATTTTCCGCGCAGACCAACGATGGTACATGTTCGCCAACATGGGCCCATCGCCGAGCGGGCGCTCCGGCCACGCGCTGACGACGTTCCAGAACAAGGTCATCGTCCTCGGCGGCGAGTCCTTCACCGGCAGCAAGCCGGACGACCCGGCCATCGTCCACGTCCTCGACACGGGCAAGATCAAGTACCCGCCTGACAGCGCCAAGACGGGTACGACCGGCCCCGGTGCCGGCTCGACAATCCGCAAGTCCGGCGCGGGGCCCATGGCGTCCGGCATACCCGGCCCCACGCTCGGTAACACCAACGCGTCGCAGCGTGCCATGTCGCCCAATGGCACGGAGCGCGCTGCCAGCCCGACGCAGCGGGACGGCCGGCAGCCGCTTAATGGCATTGTCAGCATGATGAACTCGCAACAGCAGCAGAGTCCCCCTCCACCTAGCGCGGGGCAGCAGCAGCATTCGCAAGTGCAAACGCAGTCGCAGTCGCACTTGATGCAGCAGCCGCAGTCCAAGATCGCACAGCCTCCGGGTGGCAGCCAGATCTCTCCTGCAGCGGGCGCCATGAACCAGCAGGGAACCTTACAGCAGGCACCCGGGCCGGCGGGCGGCGCGCCGCAAAACATAATGCGCTCTGTTTCCCCTACGCAGCAAGCGGTGCAGCAGCAGCGCGCAGCTGCATTGAGCGGCGCTGGCATAGCACCGACGCAGCCGCCTTCCAGCCTGCAGTCACACGCCATTTCGCCTCCAGTAGTCGGCGGGCAAGGTAGCACGTACATAGGCCCTCGCAGCCAGCGGTCTCTCGAGAACATGCGCAGTAATCAAGGTCCCCGTGCTGGGTCACCGAGCATGATGGGCGCCACCGTTTCTTCGGTTTCTGCGATGCACACCAAGACAGTCAACGGCTTCATGAACCTCACCCCTCCCGGCTCGCAGCAGCTCACACAGGACGGTTTCTACCAACAGCCTAACACATTCAGCGGCCCAGCAGCAGCGGCATCTGCGCTTGCGCCTTCGAACAGCAGTGCTGAATTGGAAGTCATGAAGAAGCGCGAGGCCTGGATGAAAGCTGCGCTTGCCATGGCCGTCAAAAAGGGGTTCATCGCTCCCGAGCAGCTGCAGGGCGACGGGGTAAACGGCACCGACGGGTCTGTTAATCTCGACCTCGACGGCATCGATACCGGCGTCGAGGGCACCGACAAAGATCGGATAGTTCGCGCTTTAATCACGCTCAAGACCAGGCTGGCTCAGGCACAGGTGAACCCCCCTCGTGGCAGGGATCTGCGTATACTGCTTGCGCAAGCTTCTGACATTTCATTTTTACGTGCTTGCAGTCCACCATCGCCGAGCAGGCTCAACAAGAAGGTGACAAGGTGACGGAGTCAGAACGCAGTCGCGCTGCAGCGTTGCAGGAGGCGGCCTTTTACCGCGCCAAATTGCATGCGCTGGAGAGCAATAACCTGACGGAAGCCTCTCGTCTGGAGCACGAGCGTACAATGCAGCTCGAGACGCGCGTCACGGACGCATTGAGGGAGAAAAGCACGCTCGAACGGCAGCTGGCGTCGTTGCGCGAGCAGACCAAGCTGGAGCAGCAGCTGCGTACATCGGCGGAAGAGCGTCTTTCCGAGACGGCCAAGCGTGCCATGTCCGCCGAGGCTGCGCAGATGAAGGCGTACGAGGAAGTCTCAGCGCTGCAGAAGCGGAGCTACAATGCGGAGAGCGCTTTGCGGGAGCATGGCGAGCAGCTAGCACAGCTTACATCGCTCCTCTCGCGCCAGAAATCGGATCACGAATTCGTCCGAGGGCAACTCGACGATGCAAACGCCACGGTCGACCAGCACCTGGCCAGCCTGACGCAGCTGCAGGCTGCCCTGGATGCAACGAGCGCGCGTGCCTCCGAGCATGAGCGCTTGCATTACCAGCATCGCGACTTGACGACTTCCCATCAGCAGAAGGCTGCGCAGCTACAAGCGGAGCTGCAGCAAAAGACGAGCGAGGTGGCTGCCAGCGCGCAGCGGATCGAAGAGCTCGAGGCCGTTGTTGCAAATCTGCAGCAAGAGGCTAACACGCACCGTCAAGCGTCACAGGTTGGTCTCGCAGAGGTGCTCAACACGCGGCAGCTCCTCGCTTCGAGGAATGCCGAGGGCAGCGTGCCATCGCATGTTATTGAGAAGATGCGCGCTCTCGAGGACGAGTCAGACTCGTTGCGCCAGATGCACGCTTCCACCAGGGCTGCTGCCGATCATGCGGCTGCCTCTCTATCCGAGACGCGCGAGCGCAACACGCTCCTCGAGAAGCAGCATTCTGGCTTACGCTCCGAGCTGAGCGTCGTCCGCAGCCAACTAGCCATTGCCCTCCAAGAGCTTGCGCGCCTCAAGGACCAGGCTAGCGCCAAGGATGTGCAGCTTCGGGACAGCTTGCGCGCCGCTGAGGCGGCAGAGATCAAGGCCCAGCTCCTCAAGTCCTTCATGTCTGAGCGGGGCATCACAGTACCGGGCGACTCGGAACTGAGCACGCAAGACGGGTTTGCCGAGAGGAAGATCCAGTCTTTGCAAGCTGAAGTCGACGAGCGAACCAAGCAAGTCGAAGATCTGCAGAAACGCGTCGCAAGCTCGCAAGCGCACATCGACAGCCTCGGCCGCAATGCCGGTATGGCTGACAATGCATCCCTTGTCGAAGCTCAGCGGCGTGCTGAACTGGCTGAGAAGGAGCTCGCAGACACAACTGCTTCATATAAGGAGCGAATGGCGCAGCTCGAGAGCGATTATCAGACAGCCGTGCAGTTCGTCAAGGGCACTGAGAAGATGCTGCGCAGGATGAAGGATGAGCTCACGAAGTACAAAACCGAAAATGCACAGCTCCAGGCCGACGTCACCGCACTCAGGGCGGGAACCGCTACCGAGGATGGCTCCGAGGCAGCGCGGGATATCGAGGCTCTTCGGACGCGTCTGCAGGACGTCACGCAGCAGAGCGAGGAGGTCGCAGCCGAGAACCGCGAGCTCGAACGTAGGATGGCCGTCCTCATCAGCGAGCAGAAGGATGCACACGATCGCAGCCGCGGCCTCGCCGACAGTCACGCAGATTCGACCAAGAAGGTGCAGGTCCTTGAGAGTGAAGTCGGAAAACTGGAGAGCAACCTCAATAGCGTGCGCGAGGAGCTTCAGAAGACTCTAACACTCAACCAGCATCTGTCTGCTGAGCTCAACAAGACGGGCGACAGCGGTGTCCACGCTGCATCAATGACGCGAGATCTGTCGGCTGCTCATTCCTCGAACGACCAACTCAAGCAGGAGAACCAATCCTTAGCACAACGCCTACACGAGACGGAGGAGAAGGTAAGCTGATCGGCAATGTTATCCCTTGCTGTTGTGGACGCTCACACTATGCTTGAATCCTACAGCTTCAGCTGCTTCTCGGCCGCATGGAATCAACCCACGCTGGGGATGACTCGCACCGCGACAGCATCCCGTATGGCAGCATCACCTCTGAGCTCGACAAATGGGAGCAGGACCGGGGCATAACCCCAGCTTTCTCAGCACAGTCTTGATTATCTCTTTGTCTGCGGACTTTTCGATGTCTTCTGTTCTTACTTATGTGCATTCTATCACCCACAAGCACGTCTTGGGATCTTTTGCTCCGTGTACCCTTTAAAAATACAACGACGTGACGCGCTGACGCCGAATGCTTGCGAGGTGGGGCAATACGAATGCGCGCGATGCGATGCACAGCAAATAGACAGGATAAGAGCACAGAGATCAATGTGTAGATGTAGTGCAGCTCTGAATCGCGTCACGCCAAGCGGCTGCTTCGGCTGGCGTTTGAGCCGCAAAGTAGATGATGGTCTTGGAGTCCACCACTCGAACGTCTGAGAAAGACGGTAAAATTCGTCAATCCGGGACTTTCTCTCATAGATACGGGCTTGCAACAGCACTCACTGGTTCCACCGACGATCTCACACTCCTTTTGTTGCTTGATGCGCAACACAGCGTATAGCTCAAACGTGGTAGGCTTGTCCGTGCGAGCGCCGAGCGGCGTGGAGAGCACGACAGCAATGTCGTTGCAGAGGAGGAGGACCACTGGCTTGTTCATAGCCTGCTGTTGCAAAGCGTCGATGGCAAGGACGCTAGTCGACTGGGCTTCCGCACCGGCAAAGCTCGGCTGGTCCGCTTGCACATACGCCGATGACCGCTTGACAACACGCCTGATCAGCAGTGCACCGTCCTTGATGAGCCGGCGGTGTGGCTGAACAAGAGGACTCGGCCAATGCCCCGTGATGCGATCTTGCCACTCCCACAGTCGCTTGTCTTGCTCTGCTTGCCGTTTGCTCTCATTGACGCTCATAGCAATGTCTGAGATCTGCGTCAAAGCATCTTGGACAGTTGCTTGGTTACGTAGCAGCGACGGCGGCGTACTGCGCAGCAAATCTTCGAGGAGGAGACGATAACGCGGGATGCGCTGCACCGGAAGCAAAAGGTAGCTCTCGATGCTGATCTGGGTATGTCGTGGGTTCGAGCGGCATCGCTTAAGGAACTTCTGCATGATCTTCCTCTGGCTAGGAGTGAGGTCTCCTTCGACGTGGTGCGAGCCTCCGAGCTTTGCATTCTTCAAAGCTGCTGCCGCGCCGGACGGAACGGGTGCTAGCCACACGGCCACGCGCGCTTGGGCCGCCTCGCAGTTGTTGATGTACGTCGAGTACATTCTGAAGAACGCGGCGTGGCGCGAAAATACGCTCGACACGTCCTCTGCTGTATGTGCAGAGAGCTCCGCGGGCGCATCATCTAGCGACAGTAGTGGCGCAGCGGCTGCTTTCAGCGCCGGTAAGAATGCGCCTTGATGAAAGTGCCGAAGGGCTTCTATGTTGCCGAACACGATCCGCTGCTCTGCTAGTGGGATCGGTGCTGTTGTGGGGTACGCCTGCGCTGGCTTGACGTAGATGTCCACCAGGTCCTGAAGACCTTGCACGTAAGTTTCTTCCGAAGAGATGATCTCTGCGACAATCTTTTTGCGGCGCCCAGCATCATCCTTGCATTTCGGCATATTTGGCATCGGCGGCAGTGGCGGAGGACAAGTTTCCTCGGGTGTTGTGAAACCATTGGTCGACATCGACTGGGCCATGGAGTTAAGCGTTATCTCGCTCGGCCGGCGTGACGAAGCCGGAGTCGGCCTTCCACCGAAGGCATGATCTGATGAGCGAGTCGATATTGCGCTCATGGAGATGTTGCCCGAGCTCTGCATGCGCTTGAGATACGGCCGCGTTGGCGCCTCGCTCTCCGCCTCTTCATCCTGCTGAACCTGGTCATTGCAAAGATCATCGAGATCTCGAAGATACTGCATAAGCGCCTTAACGCGCTTGAGGTGCATTCCCATCTCCACCTCATCCCACACGCCGTTCGGCTCCGTCGACTGAGTCATCACACTGCTGATGGGCAAGTACGACAAGCGATTCCTGCGGCGCATCTCCGCGGGTGACGAGACCTGTGCAAAAGTGGGGGGAGCGTGCGCTGCAAAGGGCGACATGGGCGCCTCAGTGACGCCGAATTCTGCGACCCGAGCAGAACCAGAGGAGCTGGACATGGCAGATGTGACGGAAGGCGTGGATGAGGCGCCGCTGCGGCTCGCATCATCTTTGCCTGAAGACATGTCGGGCATGATGTTGAGTCGGTTCGAGTGCTCCTTGCGGGACTTGCGACGCAGACTGAAGGCCCACTTGGACGATGTGCCGGTCGAGCCATCGCCGCCTATGCGCAAACGCAAACCACTGCTGCGGACCGTGCCATCTTCGAATGGAACGTCGTCCGGCGGCATAGGCGGCAAGGGAATTGATGAGGTCGAGGTCGGGTTCATGTTCTGGATAGGAGGAAGCGGCTTGTCTGCTGTCGGATGCGACTCGCCTTTTGACGTGTCTGGAGAGTCTGCTGGTGGTTGAGTGGCACAGTCCTTACCACGCGCCATGTCGCTGATGCTGCGCATCTGCCGAAGGCGTCCTAGAGAGCTCCGCGATGTGTTGGCCCTCGGCAAGGTGCCAGAGGGCGAAACCTGCTGTTGCTGGGCTTCCTGCAACGAGATCAACGAGGACACAGAAGTCGAAGCGGATATGGCAGGTGTCTTGAGGGGAGCCGATCGCAGCGGACTGACGACAGCATCTTTCGAGATTGTCAACAAGGGCCCTAATATAGTCAACCAAGGAGCGAAGAACGGGTTGCCTTCGATGCAGAGTCTCTTAACATTGCGAAGTAGGTGCAGCCAGCTTGGCAGCTGCTGCAATATGTTGTTGCGCACACTCAGCGTCTCGAGCTTGGTCAGCGAGGACAATGCGAATGGCAGGATGGCCAGCGAGAGGTCGTCAGCGACGAGCACCTTGAGAGAGGCGAGCTCATCGAGCCATGAAGGAAGGAGGCCGCCTTGGATAGGGTTGCAGGATATGTTCAGCTCTTCGAGGAAAGTGCAAGTGCAAATAGATGTAGGAAGGGAAGTGAGTCCGCAATCAGAGATGTCGAGAACACTGTGAAAGTATGAGGGTGTCAGTGTGCAATTCCGAATGGATTGTCGTGCGCCTCCGGACAATGCCTTTTCGAAAGGAGGCAAACTCACAGCAGCTGGGCTTGCAGCGTCAGCAGGCAGCTGTCGAGAAATGCAGGAAGCTTATCGTCCCTCGTAGCCGGTATTTGCAGGTGCGTGACAAGATCTGCGAGCGAAAGAGAGAAACGAAGACCAGTGAGCACCTTGGTGATTCGCACGCGCGTGGTGAGGAAACAAACAGATGCTTCGACGCTCCTCCAAGACTTGGCACAAACAAACGTGCAAAAACCGGAGCCAATCTGGCCCGGAATTCGGAAGCATAGGTGACTCGCTCTTAACTCACTTTCCTTGTCGCTAATAGCAGCCGCAAAATCCGCGATGCCTTTTCCTACCATGTGCACGACGCGAGCGGTGCCCATGACGACGGCATCCACTGCAGAATGTTCCTGAGGTTGCTGCTGGTGCTGCTCCTGACACTCCAGGTCGTCATCGTCAATGTCATCTAGGTTGTCACCTTGTTGTTGGAGGGTTTGCTGCTGCTCGAGATGATCACCAGCCGCCGAAGGTTGCGACGCGGTCGTCGTCAAGGAGCGCGCGATGTCCGAATCAGAGCATGAGCGCAGATACGCCAGGTCCGAAGCCTCGCTGCCGGTACTGCTGTTCGCCGATGTGCAGACATGCATCTCTGGCTGAAGGTGAAAACCTGCACCATCATTGCTCTCCAGTC